TCTTGACTTTTTCCAACATCATATAAATTTTCATAAAATATATTTATGTAAAGGCTAAATCACAAAAAAAATTAAATTAAATTTCAAGGTTTTAATAAATTTAGCCAATATTTATAATTTTGTCAATTACTACACCAATCTTATTTTTCTTTGTCAATTACATCTCTATTCAGAGTCGTTAATTTATTGCTTATTTAAATGTTAGTTAGCTCCACAATACGCCAGCTCACATCTACATCTACGTGATCATTCTTTGTACCTTCGTCCTTACTTTTGAAATCTCTAAATTGGAATATTATATTGTTGAAACAATCTCCTTTCTATTCCATCATAAATTTTAAAGAATTTAATACGATTGTCAATTAACAAACTTTTGATGGACCAGCGGCGAACAAATTGCACTATCAACAACTTCAGAAGTTGCATCACTTAACCGCATCAAATCGAACTCTAGACATGGGCTATAATTAATAATAAAAAATAATTTTAGGATATTGAACGATAAAATTAAAAATATTGGTCAAATTTGAAAAAAGTTTAGAAGTTCAAGCTCTTTTTTGTGATTAAGCCTTATATGAAGTATGTACATGTCGATTATTCTATATAGTAAAGTTCTAATGTTTATTTCTACATCAACATACAAATTGTTCTGTTCAAATATTATTTTTTTTTTAATGTTTTTGACAATTTTTTCAACAATTGCAGAATTCACATTGAAATAATATAGTCTAAAAATTAAAATAAATTGGAAAATTCAAAAATGGCAAAATAGCAATGCCAAATTGATCCATAATGAAATTAGTTTGATATTAATAATTCACTTGTTTCTCTTTTATATTTCTTGGATTTGATTTTTCTTTCTTTTTTGTTTAGAAAAATGAAAATATTTATCAAATTAATTTATTTTGAAATTTAAATAAAAATGAATGCATAAGCAAACCTCATATATATATATATATATATTAGTTGAACCAAAGAGAAAGTTTGAAGGCCTTATATTCATTCGGCATTCCTTTTTTTTTTAGAAAATTTTGAGTTTTTGCTTATTGTTTTTGTGTTTTGATTGGCCAACGTAATTATTTTTTCAATTTAATATTTTAAACATAATCTAATTCAATTAAAAGTATATATATATAGTTGAATTGAACAATATTATTGTATATTTCCACATCAAAACCTTCGTGGATAGAAGTAAGGAATCAATTAAATTTCTTTAGTTACAAAGTCGTTGTTGCCATGCCAAATCTTGATGAATTGCTTAAGGATTCACCAACTGCTGTAATTTTTGCTAATGTAGATTAATAGAAGTCCTTTATTCTTGGGTTATAGGACGAGATTGCCTGTTTTGAATGAAGAAAGTAATTTGATTCCTATGGAAACTGGTAGGGAAGGTCGGGTCTCTGATTCTGCATCATCTTCTGAGGTAATTTTCAATTTCCATTATTCTCCCCATTTATCTGTTTTGTTAATTTAAAAAGGTTCTTAGTGCTAATTTTGCTATTATTTTATGTCTGATCAGTCTAAAAAAGTGGGGCCAACGGGTTAGTTTCTTCGGCTTTTATATTTATTTGTTTTCATTATTATTTAATTTGAGTTTTTTTTTTATCATAATTGTTTTTTTTTTATTTTTTATTATAGGGGTAACAATTCTTTGCAGAGTCTTTATTTTTGTCTTTGTAGTACAGAACATGTTAACAAATTGGTGTTGCGGATTGTTTTTTTTTTTTTTTTTTTTTTTTCAAATTGGTGTTTGCGGGATTGTTTTTTTTTTTTTTTTTTTTTTTTTTTTTTTTTCTTTGCAAAGCAGTAGCCGACGAGTATATCAATTATTTTTATTAAAATCTTTAACAAAAAATATTATTATAATATTTAACTGTTTAATTAATGAATAAAAATTATTTATATTTTTTTATGAATTTATCTCTGACTCAAACTTTAATATAGTTATAATGTTTAAATATGACTCTAATACATTCTATTAATTGAATTCTAAATACAATTAAACATCAAATTTAAATTTTTTCCATAAAAAAATATCAAACTTAAATTTAAAGTATTGTGGAAACAAATCAATTATATATATATATATATATACACACACGGAAACAAATCAATTTAATTTGGATTTTTATTAAAATATTAAAACATTAAAAAATATTATTAAAAATATTTAATATTTAATTGATGTTTTTTATATAAAATATAAGATTTTTATAATGTAAACAATTTAATTAAAATATTTGAAAATAAAATATTTCCAGAATTCTCTTTTTAATTGTGTTATCCTTTTCTTAAAATTTCAAAGTTAATCAAAATTTGTTTATTTGAAATTTTTAAATGACTTTATTATAAAATGTTTGAATATAATAATCTATTCACTAAATATAAACATAAAAAATAAAAATTATAAATCACTCTCATTTCATCTTTTTGTTTTTCTTTTTTTTTAAATTTAAAATATAGATTTTTATAATTAAAAAATTTATATTAAAATATTGAATAAAAATATTTCAAGAATTCTCTTTTATTGTGTATCCTTTTCTAAAATTTCAAGTAATCAATTATGTTATTTGAAATTTTAAATACATTTAATTATAAAATGTTTGATAATAATAATCATTCAACTAAAATATAAACAAAAAATAAAATTATAAATCACTCTCATTTCATCTTTTTGTTTTTCTTTTTTTTTAAATTTATAAAATCTTATTTTATTTTTTCACAATTTGATTGAATTTTAAATATATTTTTAAAATTTATTTACAATTGTTTTAACTAATATGTGGATTATTATGAGTTTGAAATTTTTGAATTATTTATTTTATTTAATTTAATTAATATTTTTAAGTAATCATATTTAAATAATATAAAATTTAAATTATTTTATTTAACTAATATTTTTAAGTTAATTACATTTAGGTAATATAATCACTACGCGAAGTGCGGCTCACCGACTAGTTTTTTATGAAAGAAGAAGTCTCATGCCTCAAAATAGAATATGCAAGGACTTGACTATGTAAAAAACGTATTGAGACCAAATACATTTAACAAAAAACGTATTGAGACCAAATACATTTAACCTTAATCATAATAGTAATATTAGTAACATGAAACAAAATAATATTTGTCTCGTACTTTAAGTATAAATTCTTCCTTCTACATGTAGCATATAATCTAATTAAATATTATTTCAACGTGTAGAGAGTGAGATATTTCAAATTTGTAATATTGTTTGCATTACTGTGTTAATTTTGAAAATCAATCCAAATTTTCAATAATCCATAAATAATTTTTAAATATTTTATATAGAATTTTAAAATTTAAAATGATATTCCTTCAATCTCATAGTAATTGTTTATGTTACTAATTTAGATTATCCTAAATTATTTGTTCTTCTTTTAAATGTCAAAAATCAAAAGTTATTCTGACAATAATATTTTGCAACATAAGATTGAAGGAGAAAAAATTCCCTAGTTCGAATTTGTTTCCTTTTACTTATTAAAAATTTGCAATTTTATTTTCGAACAACTAATGGATAATTATTAGAAAGTTTCTTTAACCGGCTACGTTGAATATGTATCTGTTTCTTAAACTCGTTATCCGATTGTTTCTTAAACTCGTTATCCGATATTTTTTTCATTATTACTTTTTTAAGATCAGTGAATTTTATTATATCGTTTAGTTACTACAATTTTATTTGATGTCTAATATTTACAAAAGGGTCCTATTCTCTCTGGCTTAATTGCCCTGATTTGATTTTAACTATCGAAATTTAATTTATATAAGTAATTTAATTCGAATTATTAAACTTTTTAAAAAGAGAGAAAAATACAACATTCACGAGATCTCTTCTGGAAATAAGAAGAGAGAAAAAAAAAATTATATTATTATAGGAACAAAGTCAAATTTTACCCACATGTTAAAAAGATATTCCACAACATCCAATCCTTTTTTAACTAAACATTTTATAAAATATTACGTTGTCTATTAATAAAATTTAAATCTATCTAAACCAAAGAGTATAATAATGAATTAAATTTATTAAAACGACTCCACTATTGTCATGACCACTTATCATTTATTGAGACTAAATATATGACGTTTTTAGAATATGATTCAACAATGAGAGGTAAGGAAGATTTATCGCAATGACTAAACAACTCTATAACTTTAAATATAGTTAATAATCCAGCTTCATTAGAATCTAAGTTTTCCACTAATTAATAACACAAGTAACCAAGTCAATAGAGTTTTTCAATTTATTACCAAATTAAGGCTCAAATTTTGAGAATTGAAACTCGTCTCTTTCTTTTCTTTTAAACTCTTTCGATGATCGTGGATCGAATTCGGATTGGATTATTTTCAGTTTGTGAATATTTAAAAAAAATTGAGTAACAATATTATAAATTATGATATTTAAATTGCGATTGTTTATTAAATTACATATAATTTTAAATATTATTTTTATGTTATGTGTATTATAATACTAGTAAAGAATTTTATAGGAATAATTAAAATTAATCATTGAATTGTAGTCAGATTAATATATTAGAACCTCCATTTTAAGAGCCTAACTATGGGATTTTTAATACTTTCATCTAAAATAACTTTTTTTCATGGTCAAATTGATCGGAAAATTGATATTTAAATTATTATACTCTAAACTCCATAATTATGGTCATGTTAATATTTTGATTCGTCTATTTTAGACAGAAGTACTAAAAAGTGTTAACATGTTAATGAAACCATAAATTAAGAACCTTACAATTAATTTATCAATTTGAAAATAATTCAAAGACCAATTTATATTTTTTTCCTGATTTTATTTAATAGGAATTGAGTAGAAATTTCTAATATTGTTATATTAATTTGATTAAGATTTTGCAAATTAAAATAATTTATCGGCTCTTTTCCCAGCTTCTTAACTCGACCCAATTCACCACGTCATGAAACCGCGACACGACGCGTGTAATAGATCTGATTTCATTTCGTAAAAAAATCAGACAAATCAAGTGAAGCATCCCCCAGAACGTCCACCCTGCACTACACAGTTTAGCTTCCGCTTTCCAAAACCTCCATTGTTCTCTCGTTAGATTTTTAACTATTAACTTCAGTTCTTCAATGGTGAAAAACTTCGTGAGAGAGAACATTCCTCTCTCTCGTTTCGGCGTGTTAGTAGCACAACTAGAATCCATTGTCGCTTCTTCCTCACAAAAATCCCCCGACCCTCTCCTATGTTTCGATCTCCTCTCCGATCTCATTTCCGCCATTGATGAAGAGCCCAAGGTCTCTTTCTTTCTGGATCTCAATTGCTTCTGGACGTTTCGTTTTTAATTTGTTCCCATGGTTGATGTAAAATTTCTGTTGGTTTCAGGAGTCTATTTCCTTGTGGCAAAGAAAATGCGAGGATGCGTTGTATTCATTGCTCATTCTTGGTGCACGACGGCCTGTGCGTCATTTGGCGTCGTTAGCTATGGCGAGGATTATATCTAGAGGCGATGCTATTTCTATTTACTCCAGAGTGAGTACACTCCAAGGATTTCTTTCCGATGGGAAGAGAAGTGAATCGCAGAAAGTTGCTGGTTAGTGGAAAAGCTTCACTAGCTTCACTTTCTTGTTAGTTAGCTTCACATCTATCTAACTTTTTCCTTGTACATTTGCATATGGGCTTTTTCTAGGCGTTCACCGACTATCTCAATTCAACTACACTAATACCTGGACTCCTAAAATATGCTCTATATTTTCAGCAACGCCAAAAACTCTCAATGTTTCAATTGTTACTTGTGGCATTATTTTTAAAGATTAATTTAAGGCACGAGAATATTAGATTGCATCAATATCCCTTTTGAATACTTTCGATAGTCAACTGGATGTTCAAACAACCCTTTATTCAAAATAATTATCATGCACTAAAGGAAGTTAACTAGTGGCAGCACCTGCTATACTATTTCAATGGCTGAATCCTTTGCCTTTGTATTTTTGTCAAATTTACTGAGAATGAAATCAACAGCTGTGGTGGTATCAAAATGTAACCGTATGCACTAGACTCCTTCAAATGCTTCATGAGTATTTAATTTGTTAACAACTTATAATTATGTGATGATGGTGTTTTTTCCTTGACATGCTTTGGTCATTTGTATTTTCAAGGTAAAAAAAATTTGATGATAGAAGAATCCCAATATATGAACTATGAAATTATTTCCATGACTTTTACCTTCCAAACTTCATTTTAATGCGTTTTGTGCAAGGGACTAAGCATCCTAAGGTACAGTAGGACCATAGTACACATAAAAAGGGAAAAAGAAAATAGACAAACTGTTGTCATGTACAGTCTTTGATGTCAGAAGGACAAGGCAGATCACTTGATATGAGGAGATGCAACATTTATGTATAGAGATGGAACTAATATTCTCTCTACCTCTCTGTATGCTGAAGGTGTACTCTTCATCAATATTTTTATTCTAATGCTTTGATTCTTGTATGGCATATGAGAATGTGACTATAAAGTGCATGTTGTTGTTTTATTAGAGATCATTAATACAGTTCTTTGCTCCTAAACTTTATTTTTGTATTAAACTTTAAGCAAGTTTGTCTTCTATTTATCATGTCTTGAATAATTGTAGGTGCTACACAATGCTTGGGAGAATTATATCGGCATTTTGGAAGAAGAATTACATCGGGTTTGCTAGAGACAACTATCATTGCAACCAAACTTATGAAGTTCAATGAGGTAGTACAATCAATTGTGCAACGTCTCCTTATATTTTTATCCACAATCATGGAAACTCATGCACAAATATGAACAATCAACATTATTTTTATACAAAGGAGTGAGAATATATGACAAAAAGGATTATTAGAAGGAATTTCCTTTCAGTCAAGTTCAAATGGGGTCTACTTCTATCCTAATGTGGATAAACGACCCTTGGAGGCTGATGACATATTTTATTCAAAGTATTTAAGTACAGTCATTGGAGGTGCAACTGTACAAGGTGCAAGTGTAGGCTTGCGAGTAAGGCTGTAAATGAGTCTAGCTTTGATGAGCTCCAGCTTGGCTCCACAAGGATATACTCGAACTCGGAAATCTGATCTCGAGCTCGAGCTTGCCTATTTTGACTTAGGTTTTAATTGATTTTGACTTATTGAGTTAGGTCGTGAGATTGACTTAGTTCGATAAAGCTAGGTCGCGAGCCAGCTCGCGAGCTAATGACCCGAGCTTGAGCTCACCTCATTTACCAGATGAGCTCAATAGCTCGGCTCGATAAGCTTATCGAACGATCTCGAGCGAGCTTGTACTGAGTCGAGCTTCAAGCACTCACAAGCAGCTTGTCTCATTTACAGCCCCACTTGCGAGAAGTATCATAACATAAAAGTTGCGATTCAAAACTAAGATACAATATTTATAAGAATATCAACTATCAAGATAAGACAAGGTATCATTTATTTGACCAAATTGACCAAAGCTAACAATTGTCTAATGATGAATTGAAATTCGGAAGTTAACAATCTGGTTGTTGCATCAACTCCACCACGATGTGCACTGCTGTCATAGTTGCTGGTATAGTTTTTTTTGCCAAATTATTATCCATAAAGATTTAAAGTTGTAAATTTTACTTCTGCAATAAAGATTTATAGTCATAAATGTTCCTTCTGAACTCTCGTTTGATAGTCCTATATTAGATGCAACCTTAATTGAATGTAAGAAAGCTGTGGAGACTAACAACAAAAATGAATGTGGTCTGCAGTTTTCCATGGAAACTAAAAATAGGAAATAAAAAACAAAATGGTGATAAAAAAATAGAAAACTGCTTCGTGCAGCTGAACAGAGCCTTGATTTTCCTTTTGTCAATCGTCATCAACATAGATGGAACTTTCCCGTTAAGGGTATAGATGTACAGTAGCAGAGGTATGATATGCAAGTTACCTTCCATTTCTTAAATAGACAGCCAAATAGCAAAACAGAAGTTTAATTCATTTTTCCCCTTTACTTCTTATTTCTTTTAGCATTTTCTCTGTATTCTGTTTTGACTTAAAATGAGGGAACACACAGATAAGGTAATTGAGTTTAAGTGCTGTTTTCATATGGTTCATAAGTTATAACTGTGCTGATGAGGATGAATTGCCTAACTTGATATGGTTTATAACTGTGTTGATGAAACATTTAGGATGCATTTGTCTAACATTTAGGATGCATTTGTCTAACGTAGGGTTTGTTTAAGGAGATTCTGTTTTGGATCATTTGATTATTTGGTTTGTGCTAAACTAGTGGTGAGAATTTGCTATATTTTCGTCACTTAGGTTTCTTTGATGTGTATCTTGCGGTAAAGGAAAAAAATAGTTGCTTTCTGATTCATATCTCTATTTTTTGGGTTAATTTGAAAAGAACAAAATAAAAATGTTTTTTTTTTTTTTTTTTGTGCTAAACTAGTGGTGAAAGAATTTGCTATAGTTTTTCGTCAACTTAGGTTTCTTGATGTGTATCTTGCGGTAAAGGGAAAAATAGTTGCTTTCCTGATTCATATCTCTATTTATTTGGGTTAATTTGAAAAGACAAAATAAATGTTTTTTTTTTTTTTGGGGGGGGGGGGGGGGGGGGGGATGAAAGGACCGCTGTCGATCTTATTGACAAAGCTGAATATCTAAGATGGGGGGGGGATGAAAGGCCGCTGTCGACTCTTATTGACAACTGAATATCTAAATGCTGCTTTTGCTGCTGTTGATTTTGATGGTTCCTTCTTTTGTAAGTAAACTCTTTTCTTTTAACGTGGATTTCACCTCCATTTTTCTTTTGCCGTTCTGTTTTACCTATCCAAAAAGAGAAAAGGAAAAAATTGGATAGAGATATTGCTGAATACTTATCCAATATGTGGATGCAGGAGTATTAGCTTGTTGTCTTGGCTCTTTCTTTGATTTGACTTATTCTATTTCTTTTTTAATTTCAGGAATTTCTTAAACAATGTTTAATTGAGAACCTTGTGGCCTAGGAAACTATTGGCATGGTGTAGTTAGCATTTCTCTTTATTCCTTTCTGTAATTTAAAATTACTTTGTTGTTTAATATGTATTAGGACTTTGTGAGACAAGAAGCTTTGCTCATGCTTCAAAAAGCTTTGGAAGGCTGTGGTGGTACTGCTGCGTCCTCAGCATATACTGAAGCATTCCGTCTCATCACACGTTTTGCAATTGGGGATAAGTCATTTATTGTTAGAATAGCTGCTGCACGTTGTCTGAAGGCATTTGCCAACATTGGAGGGCCTGGTTTGGGAGTTGGGGAACTTGAGAATTCAGCATCTTATTGTGTCAGGGTAGGTGTTTGTTTTTGTGAATATTTCCTTTATCCTTTTTTTTTCTTGTTAGCTTTCAGAATTTGAGAAGATGTCATGAATACATACAAGTCCAATCATATTGTAGGCCCTTGAGGATCCTGTATCATCAGTCAGAGATGCATTTGCTGAAGCTTTGGGTTTGTTGCTAGCTCTAGGAATGAATCCAGAGGCACAGGTATATGATAAGTTTTATTTGTTTCCTTTTTGTCCATCCTCCCCCTTTTCTTGCATCTCCATTTCTTTTTCTAAACACTTTCTGCAGTCTCCCAATTTTCATCTTTTTTTAGGTTCAACCCAAGGGAAAAGGTCCTTTTCCTCCAGCAAAGAAACTGGAAGATGGTCTGCAGAGGCATTTTGCTTTGCCCTTCACAAAAGGTATTTTAGTAGCTTATTAGGTATACATTCAATGGCTTTTTACTTTCAAACTTTCATATGGGAATAGTTGTGCTTAAATCATAGCATTATTTTATTTTTCAATTTTTGTGTGGGTAATGCTTCGTGGCACTATGGTTTTTCAATAATGAGGACTGAGTAACTTGGATCAACTTATTTCCATAATCAAGAAAAATTTCCTGTTTTTGTCTATACTTGTGTGCTTATGTCCATGTTACTTTATTTGAAGCAAGAAAATAACCAAATTATAATCAAGTCTTGTCCTAATGATTCCTAAGATTTTTAAAATGCATGATATTTTGCTCGATCTTCTAAATTTAGCTACTGGAGTTGTCCATTAGTGATCTGTGAAGGGTTCATTTAAATGGCATTCTGGTTTATATTCCTATAAGCAATCATAGCAGAAGCAAAAATGCTCTTTTGGGGGGGGGGGGGGTGGATTGTTCCATTTAGTGAATCCTGTGAAGGGTTCATGTTAAATGGCATTGGGTAGAATTTATAATTTCATATGAAAGTATTCAAGCAATCATTGTGCAGACGCAAAAATATGCTTTGGTTCTCGGAGGGTGACGAAGGCTGGGATCATCTACATGTATATTGAATATGATAGTCTTCCTGCTTATTTATCAACAATCAATCATTTTAAAAGCTAGAACGTGTCAACTTCTAATGGTAGTGACCCTCATTTCGCACCAGAGGTGAATGGCCTATCTGAAGTGCTTGTGTGGAGGATAAGGGAAGTGTCCTATGGTCTGAAATACCTTAGTGTTCCGCTATAGTGAGTATCGGGTAAGATCAAAAGTGAAAGCTTCTACGCGCTCGTCTAGATTTTAAAAGAAATGACCCTCATCATGTGGTCGATGTATTCAAAGTTCCTCTTAATTTAGTATTGTGGTTACGTATCCTAGTTTATAGCGTTGTAATATTATGCATTTTGACAAACACTTTTTCTTCCAAGATGTTATTTGTGATATTATCTGGTAGAATCTTATGAGTTGTCATGTTTGAGATGGTTATCTGGAATATAGAAGAAGGATTGAAGTAGGTGGCTAAATAAAAAAAAAATCTATAGCCTTTTCATTCGTCAGATTTTTTCGAAAATTGGAGTGCTCAAAGCTTTTGGTATCCTCGTCTGATAGGAATTTTGTAGAATAGTGGTTAACCAGGATTTGCAGTCCATGTATATGGGATCGGCAAATAATAATTTTTATTTTTCCAGTAATAATTCTAATCGGACAAGTTGTCTAACACATATTGGCACACTCGTCTTTGTACATCGTGAAAATTATTAACTTTTGGGTTTGATTTTATTAAAATAAAATGAAGGGCTCAAAAGCAAATTGGCCAAAGTACATTGGACCTTTAGATGAATTTGACCATTCCTTTTTGTGATGGCTTTTCGAGTTGATTATGAACATCTTATAGAAAACTATGACCAGATTTAGATAATCTTATTGGTTTTCTGCAGCTGCTGATGAACGATTAAAATTGCAGCAAGGTGGAATTCGGATTTGAAGGTAACTAAGAAGATCTGGCTGAATAACCTTTAGTTGGTGTCGTCCTATATCTTACAGGTAAATGCTAACTATCCTTGCACTCTCTGCACTCCTTTTTCTCTCCCTGTGTCGCCTTTTATCTTCCCTGTTCTCTTCTTCTTCTTCGATCCCTTATCAAATCTCTTTGTCTTGGCTTGTTGCCCTACAAGGGTTTTTTCTATGTAACACTATCAAAAAAGTAAAGAAAATTGTAAAACATTTTGTCCTCAAAAATTTTCATTAATTGTGGTGGTTTTTGGCTTGAATTTTTAAAATGGTGATGGAAAATTACTTATATCAAATTGTTTGAATGTTTATGAACATTTTGCAATCATCAATTGATTTGAATTTATTGTTGTTGTCATCACCAAATTACTGCTTATGAATCAATTACTCTAGTTTACATCAATCATTTTGTCTAATTTTCATTTCCATTTGTTGCTATACTTTAGAATGATTTAATCTTTATATATGACTTCTCAAACTTTCTTGGATTTTGCTAGGTATATTGAAGAGCAAACTTTGGGTATTTAGACTCTACTCTGATAACCTTCCTTCAATCACATTTTCTTTTTTTTTATATTTATATAGGTATTGTGCTCAATTTTATTTTTATATGCTCATTGAATTATCCCTTTCAGGCTATTCGGCTCCTCTGGAAGTATCTTTACAGTACAGGAAAAGTGAGCTGCAAAAACTATGTTCCACAGTGTTTAATCGGGGGGGGGGGGGGCATCCTTTTTCCCTTTTATCACCAAACATGCAAAGTGTCAAATGTATGCCTCCAAGGGGCATGGCCTTGAAGTGCTTGTGTGGAGGATAGGGAAGTGTCATGGTTGAAAATTAGGTCTTGGAGTACGGGTAAATCAGGAAGCTCAGCGTTGTCTAGATTAAAGAATGACCTCATCATGTGGTGAGATCCAAAGTTCCTTCATTAGATTGTGTAGTATCCTGGTTGCGTTGTTATATGCATTTTGACAAACATCTTTTCTTCAGAGAATTGGAATCTGGAGATCTTGCATTTGATGGTTCTGGATATGAAAGGATTGAGTGTGGCTAAAATAAAAAAAAATCAGTTTATTCATCAAATTTTCAATTGGAATTGCTAAAGCTTTGTATCCGTTTGTAATAGTGTTACCTTTCATCAATATGGATGGCAAAATATTTTATTTTCAGTAATTAAATGGACAAGTTGTTACAACTTGGACCCGTTTGACGTGAAATTAAAACTTTTGGGTTTGATTATAAAAAATAAAATGAAGGGCTCAAAAGCAAATTGGCCAAAGTACATGGACCTTTAGATGAATTTGACCATTCTTTTGTGATGGCTTGAGTTGATTATGAACATCTTATAGAACTCTACCAGATTTAGATAATCTTATTGGTTTTCTGCACTGCTGATGAACGATTAAAATTGCAGCAAGTGGAATTCGGTTGAAGGAACTAAGAATTGGAATAACCTTATCTTGGGTGTCCTTTCTACAGGTAAATGCTACTATACCTTGCACTCTCTGCACTCCTTTTTCTCTCCCTGTGTCCCTTTTATCTTCCCTGTTCTCTTTTCTTCTTCATTTTCAATCTTCTTTTGTTTGTGTTGCCTACATGGGGTTTTTCTATGTAACACTATCCAAAAAAGTAAAGAAAATGTAAAACATTTTGTACCTCAAAAATTTTCATTAATTGTGGTGGTTTTGGCTGAATTTTTAAATGGTGATGGAAATTACTTATATCAAATTGTTTGAATGTTTTATGAACATTTTGCAATCATCATTGATTGATTTATTGTTGTTGTCATCACCATTACTGCTATGATCATTACTATTTCATCATCATTGCTATTTCATTACCATTTGTTGCTACCAAATTATCTTTTACTCAATTCTTGGTTTTGCTAGGTATTGAAGAGCAACTTTGGTTAACTTGAACCTTCCTTCATTTTTTTTTTTTTTTGGTATTGTATTTTATTTTTATATGCTCATTGAATTATCCTTTCAGGCTATTCGTCTGAAGTATCTACATCCAGACAGTGAGCTGCAAAACTATGTTCCACAGGTTATGGAAATGCTTCATGTAGATGATTCTGTTGATGCACATGCACTGGTATGTCTGGCAAAAGTTTTTGTTTGTGTTCCATCTTATTCTTTGACGTTGTTAAGTTCTGAAAGAGGAACACTTCATTTCTTTGGCAAATTAGCTTTTTTAATTATGTGTATCTTTGTATCCACAACGGGTTTTAAATAATTGTATTGGTTGCAGTGTCTCAGTCTTAGGCCATACTGGACTAATGCTGTGAATTTCTAACAAAATAAGCAGAGTGATTCAAATTCATAATTTAACACCAAATATACCCACATTTGTATTCTTGACATCTAAAAAAAAAATATGATTATGAGGTCATAACTGATTAATAGCAGTGAATTTTTATAAATAAAAATAACAGCGCTTTAAAATTACTATATGTCACAGAAATTAATAAAGAATTAAATATTCATTTTTTTATTTCACAATTAGATTTTTACTTTTTACATAAATGGGTTTGTGGAACTTTTTAAAATATGAACAGTGAAGATCATTTAAAAATAGAAGAAGGCCTACCATTATATGGTTCTAAAAAGAGGCCCAAATTTAATATTAGAGTTTTTAAAAGGAGGGGTTAAAATTAAAAATGAAAAGACAGGAGTTCAGGAGGAAAGAAACATAGAACTCCTCTTATTTGTGTTCTCCTTGTCTTCAGATATGATAAAGAATTTGCTTATGCCTGTAATCAGATGTCCATATTGTTCCAGCACAGAAGATATTGACCTGGCAAATCACAGTCTTGCATCAGAAAATACTGTTGTATCTGGCCACAAACTTGTTAAAATTGCAATGGTTAATATTGAGATTTAAGAGTCATATTTTCTTGTTGAAATTGATATGGAAGTAAGGGAATATAAAGACTAATCTCCTAATCTAAACAAAGCAAAACAAACAAACAATAACAAAGGACGACACTGAAAACACAAAAATGCACTCTGCACTCAAGCTTTGTAACACTTAATGACATTCCTTTAATAGCCCGTCCAAAGTATGAGTGAAAAGGTATTCAGATAGCCATTTTGTCTCATAGCATATTACAGGACAACATTTGGTTTTTGAAAATATTGGTATTACTTTTAGCCAAATAGCCAATAGTTCATAGATTAGCATCTTTTCTTTCCCAAACTGTCTCCATTTAATACCAATGAGTTCCAAAAAATGCTTCCAAATTGACTCGAGTTTTCATGACTGATTGCTGGCATTGCAGTCAATGCCGAAGTGTATGGGCTTTTGGCGCATCTGAGAACGTAAGGAGAGGTTAGATCTTCAGAATATATAAATGAGAGCCTATCATATTTTATGGTGTTTTATAGTCTGTATGAAAATGTAATTAGCACAAATTTGGATATTTACAATTATGAATCTCCCTTAAGTTGGAAGCAAATTTCTCTTAAAATCTTCAGTTGGTGTTTCTCCACAAAATTAATATATTGACCGGTTAATCTCTTTTGCGTTTTGAAGGCATGCATTCTATATATATTGCGGGTTGGCATTACAGATCAGATGAGCGAACCTACTCAAAGAGGCTTTTTGGTTTTCCTGGGGAAGCAGGTCTGCTACGATTATTCTAATTTGGTCTGTTATGTCACGATTCAGCTATTATCTTAATACCATTCATATGGAAACCTGCAGCTTGAATCTACTGATGCCACTCCTTCCATGAAAATTGCTGCTTTACGCACTTTGTCATACACCTTAAAAACATTGGGTGAGGTGAGTCATGATTAGACTGTTCTTTCTTTGAAAAATGTTCTAAATTTTGCTAGATGACTCTAAGCTGTTTGCCATGATAAACATAATTTAGACTAATGAAAATTATTTTTCTTCAGTGAGAGCAATATTAGGGTGTAAACGCAGACAATGCATTTGATCTATAAAAAATTTGCCTCAAGAATTAAGCTTTATCTTGTATTCCGGCGAGACCATTTGTGGAAAAATACGATATAAAGTTCAGAAATGCCATCCATGCAAAAATTAGTATGGCTTTCTAGAAGATGTATTATTTTTTTAGGGACTTTGTAACCTCTGCTGTATACTAGTACATGGAAACACAGCAAAAATTGATCATATTCATGCTATCTTTTGCCATGGCACACTTATATCAGTCCTAGAGATAGAAGGTCATTAAGTTCTTTGATCCTTCTTGATCTCTATTATAATTCTTATCTGAAAAAGAAAAAATAAAGGAAAAATGAAAAAATTCTATAGAACTATGGTTAAGACAGCTATAATTTTATATATAATGAAATTTCATCACTGTCAAACTAGAGTGTTCATTAAGTAATTTTAATTGAAAGGAGGAGGTTAAGGTGGGTGTATATAATGCTCTGAGGAAAAGGCCAAATAAGAGATGATTCATTTGTCAGAAGGTGGAGATGAAACTTTTTAAAGACGAGGTAGGGTTTCCTATGATTGTTCATCCATGTTTAACATTTACATATAGATGCACAACTCATGTTGTAGAGCTGGAGAAAACAGGAAAGCTAGAGAAAAACAGCATGCTGAAGTGGTCCATTTGGTTGATCATTTGCTTACTGAAAATTTTGATCTAAATAGAATTAAAACTTTCAGGAAGAATCCATTTAGTGGATCATTAGTCAAGGACTGATGCTTAGTTGAGTTGAGTTAAATATATGAAATTGAGCATTCTATTTTAGGGGAATCGATTTGGAACCCTAGTGGCTACTTTCTTTTTCTTTTCTCTTGGATAGCTTTCATTTTCCATGTTTTTATTTCTATTTAACTTAAAATTGAGTTAAATATATGTTCTTCTGCAAATTCTGGTTGTTTTGTTCTAGAGTATTTTATCTCTATTTTCTTTCCCATGTTTTTTCTTATCCTTTTACTTGTCTTGATGACTTGAAGCCCACTGGATCGCTAAGATCTCAGGATATCACTTGCAAGTTTTATTTTTATTTTTACTGTTGTGCTTGATGATTAGCTGTTGTGCCATTGTGATACTTTCATTTTAGGAAAAAAAAGTTTTGATTGGATTAAGGAGGAGGAAGGAAGAAAGCGAGTTGGTATACTAATTCCTTATAAAATCAGTCCTTCCTGTGGTTTATTGTCAACTTTCATTTTTGAACTTTATAATCAACCATATTAGTCTAGGCGTGGACCAACATGTGCTAATTTTTCCTGAAGGTTTTTGGATATGTCAAGGTGGAGGATTAATGTGATTAAGAGCATTTTCACATTTGTAGTTAAGATATGTTTTGGAGCTGCTTTTTAGTTAGTTGTAAGGGTTGGAATAGCCGTGAACTTTTTTAAGGTAATACCAAGTTGATAGTTTTGCGACCTGGTAGTGTCTTAAGATTGTGAAAATATTGGACATTTGGTTGGGGGCCTTTCTCTCTTTAAGCCCTACATTCTGATTCAAGGATCTTTATCTAGCATTCCTCTGTAGTTTCTTTATTTAGAATCGCAGTTGAAGTAGAGGAAAAGAATGTAGAGAGAGATTAACTTTTTTCTGGAGTAAATGCTTTTAAGTGGGATCAATTTCTGAATTGGGAGTACATTGTAGGCTTTAAATTCAAGGGTTTAAATCTTCAGGATTTGGTGACCAAGAATATTGATCTGGCGATTTCCTTTGGTATAAGTTTGTTCAAAATAAGTATGCCTTGCAATAGAATAGTGGTACGCCTTGGCAAATAGCATCAGGATAGACCATTGCTTTCTTGGTCTGTGTTTTCATTTTTGATGTCTCTTTGTTGCTCCCTTCTTGTCTGGCCCAGTTTAACTGGTTCTTATCCTCGCATGTTGTACCTTTTCCTTTTCCTTTGCTCAATACCGTTTTTTTTTTGTATTGATTTTTATAAACCTTTTTCAATCCTATTTTATAAATCACTTTCAAACTGTTATGAACAGATTTACGTCGATATAGTTTTTGAGATGCTTTAACTTTCTTTGTATACTGTTTTGAGTTTATCATCATGGGACTGGATTGAAATGCATATTCTGTATGTTTCCTGATTACGTGTAGAGGTTCCTTATTATTAGTAGTTATTTGAACTTCCTTCTGCAATTTAATTTGAGAATTTGTTGTGAGATTGGCTTTACTCTTGTCTTGCTGGATACATTTTTATAGGTTCTTTGTGTGTGACTAGTGCTTTGTGAAATCATAGAATTATGATTTGTTTTACTAGGATGTGTTTGACCTGTCGATTGACAGGTTCCATCAGAATTCAAGGAAGTCATTGATGACACAGTTGTTGCTGCGGTATCTCATTCTTCACAACTTGTAAGTACTTGAGCTAGTTGTACTAGACCATTTGATTCTTAAACATCTTTGCTAATGTTAATAGATCTGCCAGTTATTTTCTATGAACTCTTTAAAAATTTGAATCTAGAAGAGCATCATTTTGTTTTAGGAAGGTGTGAAATATATGGAAAGTACTTGTATATTCTGACTCTAGTTAGATCATAATTGCCATCAATCACTTTGTAAATGATTTTCTCTTTTTTGGTTGTTAGTGGCAATTTGAAATTGAAGATTCAGAATACTGTTGAAAACTTATGGATTTGGATAGTGTTATTAGTAAGTGCTGGCTTGTAGCATTTCTTTAAGCAAGTGACTAAATGCTTTATGTGAAAGGTAGTGAGGTCCGTATGGAATTTTACATTCGTTATAGGTAATCCCATCAGTTGAAAATAACTAGTTGGACTATCGCATTCTTTGCATGTGGTTTCCAACTTCAAAAAATTGTAGAAGTATGTGGGTTATCCCACATTGAATATATATGGGATGAATAAATGACCATTTTGTGTTAAAGATAAGTACAACTCATTGTAAGCCCAATTATTAAATGAAGTGTTAATTGTTAATGAATTTGATTTATTGCTCGTAGGGCACATATTTAACATGGTACCAAAGCATGGGATCCAAACCCGTATTGCATAAGGGAAGTTTCTGAGTGGGTCATACTCTGATGGACCCTTGCTGGGCCATCTTATCACTTGAGAGAAGAGTGTAGAAGTATGTGGGTTAATCCCATATTGAATAAATATAAGATGAGTAAATGACATATAATGAGGAAGATGAATCAATCCACATGACTTAGGCTATTTTGTGTTAAAGGTAAACCAAACTCATTATGAGCCCAATTATTAAATGAAAGTGTTAATTGCTAATGAATTTGATTAATTGCTCCTAGGGCCCAGATTTAACGAAAATCATATGAAATTTACCTAAATATTTTAAATAAGTTATAGAGACAACAAATGGAGACTTATTTGTGAAAGCAAAGACAGCAAATATTATGATTTCATAGATTTTGACATTTAATTAGCATTTTCGTTAGTCTATGATATGAAACTTAACAATAAATATACATATTTTGATAAAGGGAACAATACACCTAAAATAGTTGATCATGCTAATTATGATCAAAATTTTCTGTAATTAAACAAAATTTACTCAGGTAATTAATTTTTTATGTAACCCTGTAGATAATTTAAGAAAAATTGAAAAAATTAAATTGCTATAATGGCAAAATTGTAATTTTAATGATAGAATTTATCTCAATATATATATATATATATATGGATGGATTTGATTGTGTTCATAATGCAGCATAGTATAAGTCTTCTGTTATTTCTGTAATTGTTGAATATTAATTGGAACTTTATGGCTAGGTGCGCATTGAGGCTGCCTTAACATTGCGTGTGTTGGCTGAGGTTGATCCTACTTGTGTTGGTGGCTTGATTTCCTATGGAGTAACTACTCTAAGTGCTTTGAGAGAGAATGTTTCTTATGGGAAGGTATAGTTAATATCGCATTTGTGAAACTTTCTAATTTTGCCTCCTTTTATTTCGTAAAGATCCTCGGTTAAAAATATGACTGTTTTAACTAACTTGGCATCTATTTGGTATTCTGAGTAAAAGGTGAGGTGAACCCCCCATCCTTTTTCTCGTCTCTCTATTCCTCTTCAAATCAGTTGATCGAGATACCCTAAATTCTTGAGTTTAGCAAGATAAAAGTTCGATTCTTGATCCAGGTCCTTTGTAGGGATTGAATTCCCGTTAGGTTCCAATGATGGTTTTCAAATTACTTGCACTCTCAAAATTGTTTTTCATAGATATGCTTCTTGTTGAAGGCACAACAACTTTCACAATACGCTAATGTATCTAGGTTTGTTAGAATTGTAATATAACTGTACTGGCATGTTTCCATATAATTCTAATTTAAGAACCAATTTGTCATATGCTGGCAAGGATAAATTGTTGATGATCAACATGTACTCCATAGCAGCATAATTTCAAGTTCCTCTTATGAAAAACATTGGTAATATATTTTAAGCCTGTTCTAGGTTGTTTTCTAGTTGAGTTCCTTAACTTGTCAAAATAGGAGGAGAACAATCTTGAAACAATAAGAACTTCTTTCACCTTTTTGAAAATTGCGACATTTATTGTGGTCAATGTTTGCTTATGTATTTATAGATTTTAAAACCTTTGCATACTGCAATAGATATTTATCATATTTTTTCCTTTTTACTAATATATATATCTGTCACATCATTTTGTCCTTTTCACTATATTATATCCTTGCTAATAATAATGTTAATCCAATATTTGCCTCATCATATTTTTAAATGTTTATTGTTGAAATAGCTAATTGCCGTTATATATATATGTATTATGTGCTTATTATTGAAATTGTAAGTGCTATTTTTTCCCCTTTGCAATTTCCTTTTATTTATAAATCCTTTTGATCAGATCTTATTGTCTATAGGGAAGCAATTTGCAAATTGAACTTGATGCTTTGCATGGACAAGCTACAGTGTTGGCAGCCTTGGTGTCTGTTTCACCCAAATTACCTCTTGGTTATCCAGCTAGGTAATGGTCCTATTTTATTTATTATTTGCAGAAGGCATTGTTTGGGTTTACTTACGAACTCATAGTATGATTAACTTGTGTCCCAGTTTAGAGTGGGGATGGAGTGATTAGGCTTCACCAAATTACCCGAATTCTTCTTCTTTTTGGTATTTGGCTGTTTATGGTGATTAGATATGATTTAGGGATCTCAGAGGACCCTATCAAGTTTGGTATGATATATACATACATTCATTTTGAAAATGAAACATTTTCGCCGTTGATTTTTGTAAAAAATTTGAACTTCACCTTATTTTGTGGACCAAAACAATGTCTTTTTGTAAAGCTAGAGCAATGTTTTTATCCATCTTTTAAAGGAACAAATTGTTGATTTTTAGATCCTCAAGGTAATTATTTGATTTCTAAAAAAGAGTCAAAGTGTGTCATTAGGTCAAGCATTGTGAACCTTAAAAATGTTTGGGTCCTCACAAATGTTTGGGTCAAAACAGTGTCAGTTAATACTATAAAGCAGTATTTTATTGGAAACTATTTTGGCCCATTGGCTGTTGAGCTCAGATATGTGTGGCTATGGTGTTTTTGACTTATATTTTCTTGCTAATGTGCTATCATTGTTGTAGCTTTCTAATATTTTACCTGTGTTACAAGCCATTATAATGATCATATTGTACTCAGATTGCCCAGATCAGTGCTTGAAGTTTCAAAGAAAATGCTAACAGAATCTAGTCGGAACCCTATGGCTGCAACAGTTGAGAAAGAAGCTGGATGGCTTCTTCTGTCCTCTCTATTATCTTCTATGCCAAAGGAGGTATATATCAAACAATCATTTATGTATTAATCAGTTGCTGTGCGCAGTGCGTATGTGTGTCTGCTTTGATTCTATTCTTGAAACTTGTAGGAGCTAGAAGATCAGGTCTTTGATATACTTTCGTTATGGGCCCCTCTCTTTGGTGGAAATCCAGAACAGGAAATCAAGCAAATTGGAGATTTGGTCCCAAGGATTTGGTAAGCCAATTTATAGAAGGATATTTGGTCTTTGTAATAGATTAGTGTTACCAAAGCTAAGCTTGGCAGTTTCCTGGATGCTTGGACGAGGCAAAATGGCGTCATAGTATTTTCTCTAGTTTTTATGTGAGTCAAGTTAATTGAGGGACTTTGTGCAAGCGCCTGATAAAAAATGCAAGGCACTTGCCTTAGCAATGAAGCTGTTTTGGGGCATGTAGATTTTGTAAAGAAATTATTATATTAGAAATTTACTTAACCAGCCTGTGTTTATTTTTAAAAAATTCCATATTTTTCTAAGGGCAATTTGGCTGTTAGTCTTTTTCTCTTCTCTACAAAAGTTAAGAAAAACCACTACTTTCTGGAAAGAGATTTGAATTTTATAATTCCATAATTTTCCTATTACTTGCTTTAACTTTGAATCAGGAATGTTGTTGTCGTGACCAAAGTCTTTCTCTATTTGGTGTTATCATTGACTTGGTATGTCCTTTTTGCCTTTTCTAGTGTGTGGTCTGCTGCTGTTGATGCAATTACAGCATTTATAAAATGCTTTATTTTGTACAATGCTGTGAACAACGGAATCCTACTTCAACCGGTGATGGTCTACCTCAGTAGGTACAGTTATATCGTGCCTTGCCCCCATCCATGCGGTGTTGAATGCTTTTGTTATTGTTCTTATTCTTCTTGCTCTTATTGTTACTGTTGCAACTTCAAAACAAAGTTTTGGTTCAAGTTATTGAAAATTTTTCTATATATTGGAAATCAGTGCTCTGTCCTATATACTGCACCTACAAAGCAAAGAACTACCAAATATTAAGCCAGCAATTGACATATTCATCATCAGAACGCTAATGGCTTATCAGTCACTACCAGATCCAATGGCTTATAAAAGTGACCATCCCCGGATTATCCAATTATGTACGGTTCCGTATAGGTAATCACTTCCTATATTTATGTTATCTTCGCATGCAAACTTTTATCTTCAAACGCATACATTTTGAGTCCTGCATGACTGATTTGTTTTTTCATGTTTGGTTATATAAAAAGGGATGCTCCTAGATGTGAGGAAAGCTCATGCTTGAGATTGCTGCTTGATAAAAGAGATGCATGGTTGGGTCCTTGGATTCCTGGAAGGTATCTATTTCTATTTCATTGATTGATTATTTTCTGTTTTGTAGTCTCTTTGTTCTGCACTATTAACATGCAGCTGACCCCATTTTGTTATAAATTTATCTGCTGTGCTCTTATTATTATTTCCTGTCCTCCACAGCTACAACCATTTATTTTGTCTCAATAATTTATTTTTCCGTCTAAAAGATTTCCTTTCATGTCTTCAATTAGAGATTGGTTTGAAGATGAACTTCGTGCTTTCCAAGGTGGAAAGGATGGCCTTGTGCCTTGTGTATGGGAGAATGAATCTTCAAGTTTTCCTCAGGTAGTAACTGCTTTTTCTTAGGTGATGTTTCTGGTCCTCAAAAACACAGTTGTTTGGCCTGTTGTCATTAGTCATCATTGGCATAATTATTAATCTGTTATTTGGAAACTTCCTTTTATTTCTTTTCGTCTACATTAAGGAATTTCACTCTTGACATATTCTCTTTTACCCTATATGAATTTTATCTTGGCCATTTGAAGACAACTGGATCATGCAAAATCTCTCTTCACTCTCTGTCTCTAAATTGAGTGCATCTTGATTATTCTAGTATTATAACTTTCTTCATTGATTTGAGGGTATTTTTGGTTCAGTCTTGGCCTCATTTTCTTTCCGTTTCCAACAGTTTTTCTAATTTTTCTTTAATTTTTTTGTTTAAATAAGAAGGGAAAAGAAATTTTATTTGGGATAAAATAATGAACATCTACAATGTGGAGGATATGGTATCTTCCCATAAGGCCCAACACACAAAACACAGATGTAAAGTGCCCAGAACGGATCTGATGTTCAATCAAGCTTAGTGACACTCAAGACACTTTTCTAAAGGCCCCTGAACCATGAAGCAGATGCCTATAGAGAAGCTCAAAGACCACCTTGTCCTAAAGTAAATTGAGGACAAGGTTTGGGTTTTAGTAATTCTTGCATTCCTTTCCACGCAGATACTCCATGATATTGCAAAGTGGTGACAAGCCTAAAGAAATTTAACATCTATTTTTGCCGCCAAAACCTCAGATTTTAAACAAAGAAAAGTGTACGGAGACTAACGTATTTAGAGTTGCATAGTTAGATGTTTCATTGTCATTGCTGTTATGCTGTTTCTCATCTTTAATTTACTGTAAAACTTATGCTGAAGAGTACCTTTGCTCTTGAAGCCGGAAACAATAAACAAGACATTGGTGAATCAGATGCTTCTCTGCTTTGGCATCATGTTTGCTTCTCAGGTATGGAGGTTGGATGTGTCTTCTACATTTCTAATGCAAATATTGGATGTATGACAACTATTGTTGTCCTTTTATTTTTTATGTTTTTGTACAGGATAGCGGAGGGATGCTTCTGCTTCTTGGAATGGTTGAGCAGTGTCTAAAAGCTGGAAAAAAGCAAACATGGCATGCAGCCAGTTTTACGAATATATGTGTTGGATTACTCGCTGGGTTGAAGGTACTTGTTGACTTCTTTGACCCACTTAAAGACCTGCATACAGTTTAACATTTTATTTGATTATATGTTCTTTTTAGGCTTTGATTGCTTCTCGTCCTCAACCTTTAGGATCCGAGATATTAAATCCAGCACAGGCTATATTTCAGGTACTGAGTTTTTAGTGGGTACCTTATTCTCCACGCTGTAATCTCTGTTCATTCTTCTCTAACAACATTTGTTTTCTAAAGCACAGAAACTTTACCAATCAAGTGTCTTGTTACCGCCACACTTTTTTTTTTCATATATTATTTAAATTTTACAGAGTATTCTGGCAGAGGGTGACATCTGTGCATCTCAACGTAGAGCATCATCGGAAGGTCTTGGTCTTTTAGCTCGCCTTGGGAATGATATTTTTACAGCCAGAATGGTTAGTTACAGCTATGATGTCTGTGCATCAGACTTGATCTATTTATTCAGTTGTAGTTATCATCTGAAGATGGTCGCATATTTCATTGAAGTTAAAATCTTATATTTTGGATCAAACTAAATACTACCTTTCCTGTTATGATAATGTTTGTACAACCTCTTACTGAGTTCCAGTATTTATTTGGTACTTCAGAGTTCTGACCTCCTCCCCCCCAATCTCTCTTTGTCATATGATGATAAATAGACTAGGTCGCTTCTTGGTGACCTTAATGCGGCAACAGATTCGAATTATGCTGGATCAATTGCTTTTGCACTTGGGTGCATTCATCGCAGGTGAACTATCAAATCCTGTTAATTTCGGCTCCCTTTTTCGACACAGATGCAAGCACACATTCCCAAGTTTTCTGAATTTCTGGTGGATATATTGGATGCTGTTGACTCTGTACATTCTTTGTAGTGGTGTGATTTAATGAAAAGTGACTGTATGGTTTCAAATTTTTGGCTGTTCAAGAAGAGTAATCAGTTTTCACATGCTAGGTTTATGGTCGAGAATCATGGTTATTTTCCATCTCTCTTTTATAATAAAATTAAAAAGATGCAATTTACATACTTGAAATCCTATAATTTTTTCAACCCAACTCAACTCAATGAAGCCTTGTTCCCAAATTTGGTAGAGTCTGCTATATGAATGAATTTTATTCCATTTGAGCCAAATTAGGACTAATTTTCAATAAATATAATGGTGTATTAGTTCTTTCTCTTATTTTTTGATCTCCTCCAACTTAAATGTACTCAACCTTCTATAATGGTGTGTCTGGTGTTCTATGATGCATTGCTCAATCATAGTTACCCTTATCACTAGAAATGTATTCATTCGTTTTTCAATCTATCTCTATATTTCTGCACATCCGTCTCAGCATCCTCCTTTTTGCTTGTTGATCTTGTTTACATAATAGCTGGTCAAGTCACTGTTCTGTAAAACTTTCCCCTTCATCTTAACTGTTTATATAACTTCCACCACATTTTTCCACTTCACCTATTTTGCTTTAATTCTATGGTTGACATCCTCCTTTCTCCAGTTGTTACTTTGTATAGTAAAGCCTAGGCATTTGAAATATATGTAACTAGCTAATCCCACTTAATTACTAGCCCTTCAATTGTCAAATTGCAGTGTGCATACTCTGTTTGGGTTCCAATTAACTCGGAAACCCTTAAATATTAGTGAAAATCTTAGAAGCAAGAAGGGGGATAGAAGCATACTGCATGGACAGAGGTGTACCAGGTTAAAGCTGGTGATGACAATTTTACCTGGATCTAAATGGCTGAATGAGTTTCCTGCTCAAAGAAATGGAAATTTCAATCATATGTTCTAATAAGTTCCACTATTCCTCTATTGTTGGGGAAGCTGATAAATGCACAACATATGTCTACACAATTGAATGTGGGTTCTATCCTGCGTCATTTGGTTGTTAGCTGTTGTTTATATTATTTGTTTTTTGTCTTTTTAGTTATGTAGGAGTATTCCTTCTCCTACACAGTATACACTCCCTTCTCTCTTTCTAAATAAAGCCTTTTCCTATATTAACAAACTTGCAGAGAATTGAAAAATAAATGTTTTAGATGAACCCGAAAACGTTTATCCATTAAGATTCTTTCAGAAAATTAGGGTTTATTAAGTGAATAACTAATCTAGCAATCACACAATCTGAACATCTTGCTCTTCGTTGATTGTCTAAATGCATGTACAGATAGATGTCTGCACGGATAGATGTATGCTTAGATAGTGAATAGAAGTAACCTACTGGTTGATGGTGAGAATTGTTATCATGGTTCAGATTAAAATATCTGGTCATCCCAAAGCTTATAGGGAGGTTGAGTTGGTGTATTTTGTAATTGAACAGATTTTCTTGGTCGAAAATTCGTGTAAGATAAGGATCATTTCTAAACCATATGGCATTACAATGGCGATGGGGAGCTATTATAATAGAGCTGGGTTCTTCATCATGGTTTTCTATTGGTGTCACTATTGAAATTGTGCTACAATAGTGTCACCTATATGAACTTTTCCGTATTACATATATTTTTGAATCTCCATGTGTCTTTTAAGCAAACCTCAGAAGTTTATTGTATTTTTATACTTACTTTTTAATTATGCTCACCTGCAGTGCAGGAGGAATGGCATTGTCAAGTTTGGTGCCTTCGACTGTGAGCTTAATATCATCGTTGGCTAAAAGTACAATTGCTGGTTTACAGATCTGGTCTTTGCATGGTCTTCTTTTGACCATTGAAGCTGCTGGTTTCTCATATGTATCTCATGTCCAGGTATTTGAACTTATTGTTTTTTCTCTAATTTCTGTTTGTGCTCCTTTTCACTGCCTACTAGTCATTTTCTTGAGCAATTTTATGTTATCAACCCCATCAGAACAAATCCTGTTTCAGATATTTGGGAATTTGTGTGCATGATGTCTTTCTGCTGCTGGTTCATTAAATTCATTTACATAGAGAAAATTGAGGCAAGTACTGTGCTTGCTGGGAAGGATAATATTCTTCTTTTTCTTATGATGTTTACATGTATGGACATAAATTATGAATTGTTTTTGACATGAACAAATTTGATTCAACCTGTTTCTCAAAATGAATGTACATGTCTGAATTCTTTTACCACTTAGGCTTGAGGCAATCTTTCAAAACTAGCCTTGTCAAGCATCAAGTGTATTGGTCAATCATCAATCTTGGTTCTGGCCTTTCTATTTCTCTAATGGCCAATGCTCTCTTTCTCTCTCTCTCTCTCTCTCTCTCTCTCTCTGACGAATTCTTCGTCAGAAAAACTTTAGGTTCAATAATTTTCCAATGGTAATGTATGCTTGGTGGCGATCTCAATGTATTGCAAAAAATTCTTTGGAATTTGTTATTTTTTCAGTTACCTTTCTTATTTGAGTTTGCCATACCACTCATTATGCTTTGATGTTATAATGTTATGTTTTTTCTCTTTTATTTTGTCTTTTATGTGCAGGCGACACTTCTCCTTGCTATGGACATTCTTTTGGCTGAAGAGAATGGATTAGTGGACCTTCAGCAAGGAGTGAGCCGCCTTATAAATGCTATTGTTGCTGTACTGGGTCCTGAACTTGCCCCTGGCAGCATTTTCTTTTCACGATGCAAGGTGATTCTTTCAGGCTCTGAACCTTGTACTAATCTTTGTTTTGACTTTCTGGCCTTTGGAAAACTTTGTTATCATCTATCTCTATATAAGTGAGTTTTTATGACACTTGGATATGTGATTATTTCATAGTACGAGATGAATTTTCTTGTTTTGATTTTTGGCACTCTAGTTCATGATAGTGGATTAATTCAGATGTTAAATTCTGTATCCAGTCTGTCATTGCAGAGATAAGCTCCTGGCAAGAAACTGCAACCTTGCTCGAGTATGTCAGCAAATTACTCATTCCTGTTTTACTTTTCTTTTTTTTATATTTTTTTCTGACACTTTCTGACCATAGCTTTTATTTTTCCTTCCTAATCTTTATGAAAGAAAATATACTCATAATTCCTGGGTTTATCACTTAAAGCTCCCAAGGTTTGATCAATTTACTGTTGTGGAAAGTTTTTTTTGTAAATGATCAATTTTTGCCTATAATCAGTTATGAGGTGCAGTTGTAGCTGGGTCAATTTTGGCCATTGTTCACTCATAATTGAAGTATATGTTATAATTGATTATTTGCAAAGAACAGCCATAGTTGTACATCCACATGAAGTCCAGGACTTCCAGAGGGATTAGTCAAATGTTCTTTCTTGTCCCTTCTTTTTTTTTTTTTTTTTTTTATTTTTTTCTGACACTTTCTGAAACGCATAGTCTTTTATTTTTCCTTCCTATCTTTATGAAAGAAATATTACTCATAATTTCCTGGGTTTAATCACTTCAAGCTCCCAAAAGTGTGATCAATTTACTGTTGTGGAAAGTTTTTTTTGTAATGATGCAAAATTTTTTTGCCTAATAATCAGTTATGAGGTGCAGTTGTAAGCTGGGGTCAATTTTGGCCATTGGTTCACTCATAATTGAAGTATTATGTTATAATTGATTATTTGCCAAGAACAGCCATGTTGTACATCCACATGAAGTCCAGACTTCCAGAGGGATTAGTCAAATTTTCTTTCTTGTCCCTTTTTTTTTTTTTTTTTTTTTTTTTTTTTTTCTCTCTCTCTCAAGTTGATTATTTCATAATGTGTTTATTTGGTAGGAGTGTCCGTTTTACTCAACAACTTGTTCTTTTTGCCCCACAAGCTGTTTCTGTGCATTCTCATGTGCAAATTCTTATCTCGACTTTGTCCTCAAGACAGGTTTGTCTTTTATATCATGACAATTGTTCATAAATAATTGGCAATTTCCTCCTGTTCTTCTAATACAAGTTGTTCCGATGGAGTAGCCAACTTTACGGCACCTTGCTGTCTCCACGCTACGACATCTTATTGAGAAGGATCCGGTGAGTAGTTAAAGACATACTGTGTTCTATATCTCTTGTTCAGCTTCCAACCAACAAGCATGTTCCTAGGTGGCAGATGCTTGTGCTGATATTATGTGTAACAGGTTTCTGTCATTGATGAGAAAATAGAGGATAACTTGTTTCACATGCTAGACGAAGAAACTGATTCTGAGTAAGTCAATAATAACCTATGATGCCTTGGTGTTTGATTAGTTCATAGGGTGTAACATCCTTGAAAGTTGACATACTAAAAAATGGTATGTTTTGACATTTCTGTTTCCTTTCTTTTTTTTTAAGGTAAAATTGTGCATGTGCTCTTACCATTTCATCGCCGATACTTTTTACATGCTTGACATAGTAATTTTTATTGTCTCGATACATAAATTCACCTCTTGTACTTTTCACAAAAAACCTTGTGGCACTCTCAACTTTTACTTTGACCTATTGAACACTTCAACTCATAATCTTGGACCTATTAAACACTTTTTTTGGTCTATTGAAGCGTTAACTTGTAAAATTAGATCGATTAAACACTTATTGGATAATTAAAAAATATAAAATTATTGTTCCAAAAGTTGTATTAACCACATATTAAATCAATATTTTGTATGTAAAAGCCAAAAACTTAAAGTTGGTTATTTTTAGTGTAAGTAGGTGTGAGATTATTACAAAAAATGAAGTTCAGGGTGCCATAAGGTCGATTTTAAAATTCAGGGTGCCACAAGGTTTTTTTGTCAAAGTTCATGGGTTAAATTATATATTCGACCAATTTTTATTTTTCTCCTTCACTTATGTTTGTGAATTATTCGGATTAGCCTGCGTTACCATTCTTCCATCTCCAATCTACCACTAGTCCTTGGCCATGTTTTCTGTTAGCTCACAGCTGAGTCAAAACTACTCTGACAGAGGAAGCAGCTCTGACATAAGCGATTGGAAGATCTGATCTTTCTTTGAAGACCGGTCTGATTGATACCCTTTGTTTGAAGGATAGCATTGTCACTTGCTCCTACATAGACATGAAAGGGTGTTGTTAGATTGCTTGGATATTTAAATTAAAATAAAAAAATGGAAGATAACCATATTAATTTTACAAGATCATCAAATGTTGCTAACATGAACAGTCAGATATTTTGGTATGAATCATCTTTCGGTCTTATAGATAGAATCATAGAAGTAATAGTGCTCTGGCCTAATTACTGTTGGATTTTTCAGATAGAATAAGTTGTTAATAGTATCTTTGTTGTTATCTTTAATTTTCAATATAAAGTGAATCAAATCTCACTTAAACATTCTGAAGGCTTTGCCAAGACTTGCTATTAGGGTTCATATTATATTTGGAGAGGGGGAGGGAGAGCATTTGATTTAGTATTTTATCTTTTCCATTACTAAATTTTGAATTGCTTTCACTCTTTTAGGATTGGTAATCTGATACGTGCTACAATTATGCGATTGCTGTTTGCATCATGCCCTTCACGTCCATCTCACTGGATATTGATATGTCATAAAATGGTAAGCTCCTTGATCCACGAGAATTGACAACTTGATATAGAATTCATCAGAAAACATACCAAACAATTATATAAACTTTTGCTTTAAGAAACTTAAAGCGAACTGAGAAGAAATAGATGGAAAACCTCACTTCCGCCTCTATGAGCGTTGAACCCTACTTTTGAGATTTCTTGAATCGGTTCTATTATATGCAGCCAAATTTTGGGTTTTTCATGGCCTGGTAAGGTTCTCCCTAACCTGTTATTAAATGTAAATATACATAAAAATATGACTATCTTGATGGCGTTGTCCTTAGAGTTTTTTTTAGTATGCTTTCTGTTTTCAAATTTGGGATGGTGGAAACTTTAGCTTGATCAGTGGTGTGTTGTGGGGGGCTTCAAAGGGCATGCAGCTGTCACTCTTTGCAGTGGTCAGATTGTGAGGCTCATCTGAAGCCTTTTAGATACATAAAAGCTTATTGAAGCTTTGATTCATGTGATTCAGGATTAGATCCAATTTACGGCATATAGCAAGACAAAGAATGGAAGAATAATTGCATTGCTGTATTGCTGTTTTCAATGTAGAGGCCTACTTATCACTCATGCTCATTTTTGGGCATTGGAACATTGGGACGGTGTTTGAAATATGTTTTCCATAAAAACAAGAGAGCTAGTTGAAAGAGTTCTTTAAACCTTGTTCAGGTTCTCGCTACATCAGTAGGACGTGATGCTGAAGCCAATAATGACACTGCAAATCATCATCTTAATCGTCCAGACAGTGACTCTAGTTTGAACTTTGGAGAAGATGATGAAAATATGGTCTCTGGCTCTAAGGGCATGCCGGTGCAAGATTATGCTTATGAAGCTTCCACTGTTAATCCTAGCAGAGATAAGCACCTAAGATATCGAACAAGAGTTTTTGCTGCTGAGTAAGTCCTTTTCTTTTTCCAATACACTTTCCATTAAGCTATAATGTATGTTCTTTCAGTGAGTTCCCTCTCTCCCTATTATGTTAACTTCTTGCCAAAATTATCTTTAATCAAATTAATTGGTTATATTTACTAAATTACCTCTGCAGTTTATCATTATGTATATGGCTCATAAAATGTTTAGTTGGACTTCTGAATGATTTATAACCTCTAAAACTGAGACGTGATTCTCATTCTTGATTTAATGATGTCGTCTCTAAGTGAGTGATAACTCATAAGTACAGTATGAAATGAGGAAACATATGGCAACGTAGATTGTTGGTCTGATTAGCTTGTCATTTCGATTGTAAATGCTAAATTTGTTTTTGTGTGTGTATCTCTAATGTGGATTTGAGGGAGTGATATGAAAGGGTATGTGTGAACAGTTGCACACCTGAAGTGGTGGTTGACCTGAGTGGTTGCTTTGGCTTAAAGTATTGCTCATCTATTCTTTCCCAAGTGTCGGTCACTAATTTGACCAAAATTTGATGATTAACTTGTTTTCTTTCATCATCTTAATTTACCTAATTAAGTAATCGGTTTAGGTGTTTGAGTCATGTACCTACTGCTGTGGGTACAAATCCAGCTCACTTTGACCTCTCTTTGGCAAGAAAAAGACAAGCAGGAGTAATTTCTGGAGATTGGCTGGTCCTCCATGTACAAGAGCTTATTTCATTGGCTTATCAGGTTCTCAGCTAAGAATTTGGCCATTATCTTAGTTCAAGTAAATGTCAAGTTGTGAAATATAGATTAGAACTGACATCTTTTTCATTTCCCATATGTCATAGATAAGCACGATTCAGTTTGAAAACATGCGACCAATCGGTGTGGAGCTGCTTAGCACCATTGTGGATAAGGTAGATTTCTGCAAGAAAAATCTGTTACTACAGAACTTATTATTTATTGTTTCTGTTCATTATTTATTGATTTTTTTGTAGTAACTTCTCTTTGCACCAGTTAGTGGAATGGAGTTGGTAATTGATACACATTTCCAGTTCTAACTTCCCTGCTCCACCTTTCCTAATGAAAATAAGCAGACACCATAACGTTATTTACTCAGTGAGTGGTTTTGCTACAAGTAAGAAAATTGAGATCATAGGCGAGTTTCTTGTGAAGTTCTTTTATGACCCTAGTTATGTTCATAAACGTTCATCGTATCACACTGCAGAAATGTTATTTTTTCAGTTAGTAGTATAACAAAATTGCTTAGTCGGATTTTATAGGTGAGTTTCTCATGAAGTTCTTTTATGACTCTAGTTATGTTTTATGTCCCCAGTTATATTCACTAAAACACTTTACGAGACTTGCAACTATACTAGTTTTGGAAGAGTATTCAGATAGGTGGGCAGAATTTTTTCAGGATTGTTACAGATTAACAGGGGATGGAGACAAAATGTGTTATTTCTTGTGGGAAGGAAAGACTAGAGAGCATGCTTTGGCCAAATAAGAATGCAAAATTGCTTATTACCTGAGTGCAGGGGAGGCAATTTGAACTGGAATGAATTTCTTTGTCCATGCATTTTGAAGTTGGAGGATGGAATCAGTAAAGGCTTCTTGACTTTTCTTAAGGCTTAAACTAAGTAACCAGGGACTTCTTGTCTTATTCTAGAGAATTATTAAACAATGGTAAAATTTAGGTGAATTTGCAATTTTTTATATTATGCTTCAGCAAGGTTGTTTTACAGGAAGAACATTTCTTGTGGGTCCACCAGTATTTCCTCTCTGCTGAATCTATCATTCATTCCCTTTTGTTAAACTTATGAAAATTGGATAACTGGAAAAAGTATATTCAAGTGTTTTTCAAATGTACAATTTCAGAAGATTCTTTGCTTTACTCATGAGATTTGTCTATGTTTCCACTGTTGTTATGGTGGTTTGTGTTATTGGTTGACAGGTTGATGGGATGAGTACAATAGGTTTTTAGGACAAGGAAAATAATATAATTTTCTGGAATGATGCCTTGTTGTTGTACTTCTACTTCAAGATTCTGAGACCAACCAAAATTTCAGCTGTGTTGGTTTTGCCACAAAAGCATCAAAATTAAATAGATTAGTCATAATCTGTTGGTTCTTTTACATTCTCTGCTTGATACTTGCGGTGTTTTCTTACTGTAATTTGTTCCTTATTTGTTCTTTTTGAAACACAGTTTGAAACAACACCTGATCCAGAGCTTCCGGGACACCTTCTTCTTGAACAGTACCAGGTACTTTGATGGCCTAGTTTCCAAACCTGATCAGGATATTCACCTGCTAATGCCTGTTCAAATATTGTGCTAAATGCTAATTGATGCAAAGGCTTTAGTAGTTGCATAAAGTATATCAAGTTAAAGGAAGAAAAGAAAAAAAAAATGTTTTTAGCGTTTTTATTAATGACTGTCTTCATTATGGAAGCAAATGAATTTCAACAAGAAATTTTACAGCATCACCGCCGAATAATTGTAATATTTATCAGGTCAGTTTTTATTAAGATGGTACATAAACATAAAATTCCTTTCATGTTTACATGCAGACACATATGTTTTGTGTGTATCTGGTTGAGTGACTACAAATTCCCCAACATATCTTGAGCAATTTAGGTTTTCTGGCATGTAGGCTCAACTAATATCTGCTATTCGAACCGCATTAGATGCATCCTCTGGACCTATTCTTCTGGAGGCAGGGTTGCAGTTGGCTACTAAGGTTTGAAGTGCACAAATATGGTTTTTATTCTTAAAACAGTTTCCAACAGCCGCACGTAGATATAGATGAATTGACTTCTTGGCTTTTCAGATAATGACAAGTGGAGTTCTGGGTGGTGATCAAGTTGCAGTTAAACGCATATTTTCATTAATTAGTCGGCCACTGAATGAGTTTAAAGATGTTTATTATCCTTCATTTGCAGAATGGGTCTCTTGCAAGGTATCTTCTACTTTGAATAGGTTTCAGGGGGCAGGGAGGAGAGATGGGGTATAATGGAAAGGGCTGTGATTCTATTTAGACATTTTAAGAGAGCATACTTGCTGTTTACGTTCTTTTTACTCAAACTTCTTCTATTAGGAGAGAATTGTACTAACTTCTTCAATATGAAATAGATCAAGATAAGACTTCTGGCTGCTCATGCCTCTCTCAAATGTTACACATTCGCATTCTTGAGGAGACATCACAGTGGAGTTCCAGATGAGTACCTTGCGTTATTACCTTTGTTCTCAAAGAGTTCAAGTACTCTGGGGAAGTACTGGATTGGTGTTCTTAAGGACTATAGTTATATTTGCTTGCGATTGAATCTCAAGAAAAATGTAAGCTTTAAAAATTTGAGATCTGTTTGAATTTTTACTTGTGGACTATTATACTGTTTCATCTAGTGTCTATTCTTGTTTCCTGCTGCTGCGAGAAAACCTACTGAGTAATGTCTCTCATCGTACAGTGGAAGCCACTCCTTGATGGAATTCAATCGCCTCTAGTTTCGTCAAGATTGCTTCCTAGTTTAGAAGAAGCTTGGCCAGTGATTTTGCAAGCACTTGCATTGGATGCAATTCCTTCAAATGTAGATGGGAGTTTTAAGATAGCTGTTGAAAATGCATCGAGAAATAGTTTAATATCTGGTTATAGCATGGTTGAATTGGAATTGGAGGAATATCAATTTCTATGGGGTTTTGCTCTGCTTGTTCTATTTCAGCAACAACACCCAGCAATAAATAAACAAATAATACCGTTAAGCACCGCTAAAGTTCAATATGGTGGAGATTCACCAATTGAAGAAGCAAATCCTATAGTATTGAAATCATATGAAATTGTGCTACCTGTTTTCCAGTTCCTATCATCAGAGAGATTTTTCACTGCTGAATTTCTCACCACAGATGTTTGCCAAGAGCTGCTGCAGGTATTGATCTGCCTCTGTTCCTTCTTACAGCTGTATAAAAAAATTGTTTGCTCTGTTTTTTATGTTCTCTTTTCTGTACCTAGTAAGAAGAATTTGTGGAATCATTCACTCGGTCCTAACAGCAGAAATTTTATGCGGCACACATTTTGAAAACTACAATGTAAATAAAACAAAAGGAACGCTTTCTGTTGTTGATGCATCTTAGTTCCTAACTCCATTTTTCTTGTTAATTTTGAGTGGGCTACAGCCTTATGTGACCAATTTCCAACAATGTTTTTGCCATGGTAAGACTCTTAGTACCATTAGTTATAATGCAACATGGTGAAAATTTAATTGTGCTATAATCATCAATTTCAGAAAGAAAAAAAAAGTTAATTTTTTGTTACTTATAATATTTTTTCTCTTTTAAGAATATAATCTTTCAAAAATTCTAAAGTAGAAATTTGAAATGTGATTTTTACATACATGCGTTTTATTTATGCTTATGATAACTGAAAAAGAAACATGCTTTTTACTGAATTTCCTGCAATAATATTGAATCATATTTTATTTGCACTGATTGAGCCTAACTTAATAAAAAGAAATTGTAAACATCATATGCTAATCTCTTAAAAAGTTCGAACTCCCTCCAACTTGTACAGTCTTTGCGAATGTATTTCTCTTAAGAAGCTTAAAATAAATCATTTTCTTGATATTTTATGGAACGTTATCTAAATATTTTCTTGGCTGTATCTAGCCTGCAACTTCTCTTCTGATTATTAACATAAATACAGATCTAAATTTGTCTTGTTTGTGGCAACTTGGCGTCATATATCCCTCATGAGGAAGACTTAAGTTTTCTGTTCAGTTATAGCTGTATTGTTTGCATATCTTGAAATTTTTTTTTTCTTTTTTTGGCATCACAATAGAATCATGCATAAGATGTGATGCATTTAGTCCATCACAAAGTATTGCCATTATAAGCCATGCACTTTTACCTTAGTATGATGCTAAGATGACTTCCTTCTTTTGTTCAGTATTGGTGGCTGTGTTCCTTACAACACTATTAAAGCATTTATCATATTGAACCAATGCAGGTTTTCTCATATTGCATGTACATGGATAATTCTTGGAATAGTCTTGCCATATCGGTTCTATCACAGGTATTAAATTAACTCAGTTTTCTTTCCGTAGTTTCTGATTAAGTGGAAAATAATAGTAACATTGTTGCAGTGTGTAGAACCATGCGTTTTATAGCCAAGAATTATATGTTCTAGACATAACATGCGGACATATTCTCTTTGGTGGTTGAAATCTGAATAAATCCATTGCAACAAGTGTCATTGGCCACATAATTTACAAAAACTGGATATTGTAATATTTTGTCTATGTGACTGCTTAATGATATTTTGTTCCTGGTAAACTGCAAATTCATACTTACATAATTTAAATGCATATTGATAAATTGAATGTTGGATGGTCAATAGTACATTGTAGTGTACTCCATATCCTATAGTGAGATATTTAGCACTTACACTAGCCAAAGTTGATTGTTAATCCAATATCCTATTCTAGTTTCCTGAATTGATCAGCATTATATTCTGATTGGTCACTTGTGTCAATGAATTTTATATCAATTTTGCAGCAAAAAATTGCTGACTTGTAGTTGGATATCTGTTGGGGGTATTTGCATGATTATGAAATGCTTTATCATGTTTCACGCACATGATCTGAATTCAGGAAATGTATTTTTCCAAACAGATTGTGAAGAATTGCCCTGATGACTTTCTTGAAGCTGAAAATTTCAGTTATCTGGCTGTAGAGCTTCTCATGGCTTATATCTTCAATGTTTTACAGAGGTCACAGATTTTATCATTGATACTGAAATTAATTTAAAAAGAAATTTTAGATTGGGTGCGTCCCTTAAAATACTGTTGGCTAATAATTCCCTACTTTTTGGTGCTCAGCACTGATGTATCTGATCACCCCAACTGGGAGGACTTGGTATCTCCACTATTTATCACTGCGATGACAATTGTGCAGCGTTTTGAGCCAACGGTGAGTCAGGTTTAACTGGTTCATATTCTTCTGATGTCTTTATTGGTTGATCTTTATGGTACATTATATTTCTCTTTCAGAATTTTACTAATCAAGAATATTCACTTATTATCTTCTGTTATCATTATTATCATCTTAAACTGTTAACTTAATTGTCTTTGACTTGTCTTAAGATACAGAAGAAATTAAAGTCTCTCGTGTTGGCCTTTCTGTTAGTTGGTTACAAGTGCATCTGTGAAGCTTCAAGTGAAGTATGCTTTTCAATAGTTAATGATTTTGTAAGGTGCATCAGCCCCTTGATGAAGGAATTTACTGATGGTGAGAACTTCTTGTTGCGAGTTCATTCTTTGCTGACTAATTGTAAGGGACCTCATATCAATTCAACATTGAAAGATTTTTCATGTGTCCACTCTTTGGTTTTGATGTGACACATGACATAACCCCTTGTGTTTCACTCCATTTGCATTGCTTTGTTTGATGAAATCAACTGAGAATGTAAATTTCAATCCTAAAGCAACATTTCTTTGATGATTTCACGTTGCATAAATGTGTGGTGGTAAATAAAAACTAAATCTAGTCAAATTTAACAATTTTTTCTTTCTAATAGGTCCAATGAACTTAACTGAAAAGAAAATGGATGCCATTGTTATGCAGAAAAGCAATGGGGGAAAAATCAAACCATTTTGTTTGTGGCCTTGGGAGGATTGTTATGCAAATCCTCTTTTCCCTTGACAACTTTAGGTCTTCAAAATTTTTCTACACCAAATACTTGGATGATAAGATTTCTTCTATATCTAGTCATATATTGATGTAAAATACATCACATTAAGAGTGTATAACTAACAAGAGGCACTATTCAGTTATTAGTTTCCACCTTTTGATGTATATGAAGGTGGCACCTTTCTTGATTGGCTAAATTCTCGTTCAGTTAGTGCATAATTTGATACAATTATAACAAAATAATAAAAGAAGAAGGCTGATCTCGGGGTCCCACAGAAGTGGGATGAAATTTTTTGAGATAGCACCCCCTTGCATCATTTTCCTAGAAGTGGCAGATTTAAACAGTCAAATTTTCACCTTTGGGTTGCAAGCTCATTACTTTTGCCAGTGCACCAAGAAATGTCCTGGATGTTTTTACTGTTATTGCGCCAGCAGATAAAATGCTTAGCAAATGCAAAACTGATAATATGGAACAATATTATCTTACTTGTTCCAATGTGTTATCCTATAATAATTAACTAAAATTTGTAGCATACAATAAAGTGCTTTTGATTTTATATTGTAGATTCTGCGGAACATGGAAATGATCGCAATTCCCATCTAAGAGCAATCCTTGGAAGCTGCCTGAATTTGATTGCTGACTTGATTGAGGACTGTATGAAGGGCATTCATTTTCTGGACAATAAAAGATCCAACTTACAGAAGCTGCTGCAATTAAAGCTTTCTTTCTCTCTGGAACAAACAATGTCATTGGCCAAGTTAGCTTGTCAAATTAAATGTGCTGCAGAAACCGAAAGTAGTAACTCCTTCTGTTTTACTATGTTCAAATGCTTCTGTAGAAATTTCCAAATCATGCTATCTGACTCAAATCTACAAGTAAGCTGATCTTGATATATTTGTATCTATGCTTTGCCCTGTTTTGTTTGCCAATCACTGAAAGGTATCTAGGTAAACTTTTATGTGTACAGGTTCAAGCAACTGGATTGCAAGTGCTCAAGACTACACTACAACAGAGCACTAACATAGAAGACATTAATTTCATCATATTCTTTTGTGGAGAGCTTGTTACAGATTTCTTAACCATGATTCAGACTTTGTTGAAGGTTTTCTATGAATTGCTTTGTTCTATGACCCTGCTTTTGATTAATGTTGTTGTTTTGAATAAGTCATATTTTGCTATGGTAACAGAAACCTGTGAGCAAAGAATCGGTGGCTGTTGCTGGTGAGTGCTTGAGATTCCTAGCACTTCTGCAAACGCTTTCCAAAGATTCTGAATGTCAGAGAGGTTTTATGTGTCTGCTTCTCAATGCCATTCTCATGGTCTTCTTCGCGTCAGAGGATAATTCTTCACAGGTTGATATTTGTTGATACTCCCCCTTAATCAAACAATGTTAGCCACAGTTTTTCCTCCTTAATAAACATTTGTTTTACTATGCAATTAAATATCAGGAGGTCATTGATTTAAGAAGCACTGCTGTAAGGCTTCTTTCTCATCTTGCTCAAGTTCCTTCCTTAGCAGTTCACTTCAAGGATGTCTTGTTATCAATGCCCACGGCACATAGGCAGCAACTTCAGGTTCTTTCTCACTATATTTCTTGCTAATTGCTATATCTCTTTATAAGCATCTAGAGTTTGAACTCTGAAAAAAAAAAAAAAAAAAAAAATTCTCAAGTTCCTTCCTTAGGCAGTTCACTTTCAGGGATGTCCTTGTTATCCAATGCCCACGGCACATAGGCCAGCACTCAGGTTCTTTCTCACTATATTTCTTTGCTAATTGCCTATATCTCTTTATAAGAATTCTAGAGTTTGAACTCTGAAAAAAAAAAAAAAAAAAAAAAAACAAGTAATCATGTTTTTAAGCTTTGCAAGGCAGCAACTTCAGGTTTTCTTTCTCGCTACATTTCTTGCTAATTGCTAATCTCGCTTATAAGCATCTAGTTGAACTCTGCAAAAATAAAAAATAAAAAAAAAAAAAAAAAAAAAAAAAAAAAAAAAAAACATGTTCTTAAGCTTTGTCACATTGTGTTGATAGGTGCTGTTTATTATCACCATCACATTTGTTCATCATCAAATAGAATAAAACTTGTTTCATCAGGAGCTATATCTGTTACATGCATCTGTTAATCACTGAATTATTATTATTTAGGAGGTATTCTACTTTTGCTTGATGAATGCTCCTGCTGTTGATATATACTGTAGTTTTCAATTCAGTGCTTAACTAGGAATTTTCCGTTTTGGCTGCTCATTCTCTACTTCAGGGGGTCATTCGTGCCTCAGTAGTTCAAGATCACAATGTGATGTCAGCAAAACCTACAACACCTTTAGAAATAAAATTACCAGTGCCAAAAGATACCCGACCATTGCCCGCCCCTACACTGCCAATAGAGGATGTTAGAGAGAGAAATTCTGCCACATCAGCAGCTTCTGTTAACTCTGATAATGACAATATAAATGAGGAACAAGATGATGAAGATGACTGGGATGCTTTTCAGTCTTTCCCTGCCTCTACAAATGCAACTGGAAAGGGTTCTGAAGCTCAGAGTGATGCAGAAGAACGTGAACTGGTTGAAAAATCTTTGGAAATCAAATCAGGAATCGATGACAATCAGGAGTTCTCTACATCACAGCCTATAAAAGATGATTCAGAGGTAGGGGAGCATCTAGAAGCTGGCAATATGGAAGTAATTTCTGTTATCCCTGCGGATGATGACAATATGGAAGGACCCCATGATTTACAATTTACGAATGATGTCTCTGCGCTGTCAAAGGATAAACATCATAAAAGAGAGGAGGAAGTGGAGCCAATCCAAGAGAGTGAAAGGGGAACAGAATCAAGCCAAGGAAATATTAGGATCTCATCTGATCTTCAATTTATTGGAGATTTAGAAGGTTCGAATCGAGTGAATTTAGCGGATGATAATGAAGAGAGAAAGGGGAACTTAGGTGATGATAATGATCTTCAACCTGTTGAAGGCAGGGGATCAGTTGAAGTGAGCATAGATGAGGATTGATTCTTTGGATATTAAAAATGATTTTCCAGTAACATCTGATGCATCCCCAGCAAAACCTTCCAATAGTGAAAGCTAGCAGGAAGCTAGATTAGTAGGCCTAGAGGGAAAAACACATTGGAATCAAAGATGCAGAAAACAAAACAATGCATGAGAATTAGAGCAATCAAACTGGTGTCAATTTGAAAAAATCATTAAAAGGTCAAGAAAAGGGAGAAATAGACATTGAAACTATTAGAGAACAGCATAATGAAGCTGACGAGCATATGATAGACTGAATAGTTGCTGAAAACTAGAGCAATGATCGACAACAGTAGAGACCGACTGTTTTCAGTTTGCCAAAATAGCCAAGTCGCCCTTAAACTAGAACCAGTTTTGTTAGATAGAGCGCGTATTTTCCTTGTAAGATAAATTCATTTCTAAACACAAATATTTACTTGTAGCGTAATGTTTTTTTTTTTTTTTGCAGCGTGTACATTTCCATATTATAATGTTTTTTTTTTTTTTTTAAATCATCAAAGAGCGATTAATTGTTATTCAGGCAGTTTATATTGTTGGTTACATGCTTTAATGTTTTGGATGGATGTGGCCCGGACCAGCAACTGAATTTTACCTAAAAATACTGAAGGTATGGTATCAGATGTGATATGAGTGCTATTGTTCTGTCTATGGTGCAAGTGATGAATGCAAATCAGACAGGTCATACTTTTTATTTGTTTGGTGTAGGCTAAGGGCTACTTTGGCTTACGGAATGGAATAAGAGAAAAATAGAATAACCAATATATGCAATGGGCAATGGGATAATTATTCTTTATTTTTTATAAACTGTGTTTTATAAATTTTTAAATATTTAGTACAAGTAATAAGTTATATATATACATATCTTCAATAAAATCTTGAGATGATGAAATTGTTGTTTTACAACAATTTTTCCGTTTCCAAATTCGAACAAAAGAAAAAATAGTTATTTTTTATTCTTGTTGTGTATTTTATTTTACTTTTGTTGTATTCCTTTGCGTTGGATCGGGTAGTTTTTGAGACTTTAAGATTATTTCACATTTAAGCTTGAAAGTTAAAGAGAACTACTTTGTTCTTATTGTATGTTGTATTGTATTCTTTAGAGTTGGACAAGAGAAAATTTAAAGATTATAATTAGCAGGCATTTATATATTTTTAGACACTTACACAATTGATAAAAAAAATTTGGTAATTGATGTGTTTTTTCACGCATCTGACTCAAATTTGCAATTAATCCAATGGAATTTACAGTTGAATTTTGTTAGCTTAACTTTTATTTTAATCTATCGAACATTATTTATATTAAGATGTATTTATTAAATATTTCAATTTGCAATATCATTTTATTGAATATTGTAATTTTGTAAAATTAAATTAATTAAACATTTATTATATGGTTGAAAATGTGAAAGTTATTGTTTCAAAACTTGTATCATTAAATCTATATTTGTATATGAAAGCTAAAATCCTAAAAATAGTTGTTACCGTATAAAAGTGTGAGCGATATTATTAAATTTATAATTTTAGAAGTGCAATAAAACTATCTCAAAATTAAAAGTGGCATGAGATTTCAATTTATATATTTAGCCTTTTATCAAAATACTTGATAATAAGATTCAATTTTTCTAGTGCAAAAAGAATGTTTGATTTCAAGTTCTTCAAAAATAATAGCAATTTGAACTTTTTGTGAGTTTAGATATAATTTCTAAAACAATTTCAGAAATTTTCAACCATCCAACATTGATATATTTGATAAAGGGGATTTTTAAATTTTTTTTAATTGAAATCAAAACATTATTTGTATTTCCAATAAAAATGTTTGGCTCAAGTTGTGCATGGCACAACAAGAATCTTGTGATGTATATTTACTCGAATACCCGATGTTGCATGAGTTCAGCGTAGGTGCTAAAGGTGGCGCTCACATCACCGATGATGGAATTATGTCTACACTTTTCCTCCCCGCTGGGACCCACTTTCTCTCCTCCCTCACAGAACTACTGTCCTCCTGTAATTATTAAACCAAATGTTTGGATTCTCAGTGACTAAAAATCCATTTTCATTTTTATCGAATCCTACTCTCACGTCGTCATTTTCGCTATTAGCAATTTTATGCGACCGGAAACTGAAAACTACATTGTGTACCTCAGTAAACATTAGTCTTCCACTCTCCTACTGATTTTGTCTTTTCTTATCTTCTCGCTTACCAGTTCAGCTTCTGTGACCCCCATTCCAGACATGTACATGCTCGTCTAGAAGCAAAATCCCGCAATATCAGACTCACTCATCGGATCTCCAGCATTTTCAAATGCATCAAAAATATTGCGATCATCACGGTTGAGCACAAGCAATAAACCTAGAGGAACATTGTGGATTTGGTCACCGGAGGAAAAGAAAACTCCGATCAGCATACTGAATCTTCAAACCGTCAAAGCCGGCTAGGGAAGTGTCTGCACGGAGATTCTCTCGTCTCACTTCCATATTTGTAGGTACTTGAGGGAGTGATCTTCATGACGGAACCCTTTCATATTTTGTAGGTATTTGAGGGAACGATCTTCCTTATAAGAAGAATGATTGAGCTTTGGAAATAGAGAGAAATTTCCATGTAAAAGTAATTTCTATGTAAAAGTCTTGCATTCTGCAAACAACCAAAAAATAAGATTTTAACAGCACATGGACATTTTATTTACAGAGATTCTAGTTGGATCAAATTGGACTTCAAGCATTGCTTTTATATTTTTTTGCTAAGATTTGGTGCACTGGTAAAACAAATGATAGATAAATATGTTAAAGCTTGGATTCCGAGACAATTTTTTTTATATATATAATTCTCCTCGAAATTTTTCGGCAAGACAATCATTTTTGTTAAATCAGATCAGTAAAAAGCTAAAAACCACAGTTAAACAGTATCAATAGGTGGGTTTAAAAAAGATTCCCTTCCCTCTCTGTTTTTTCTGTTACCCCTTGACGCCTTCTCTCCCTTTCCCTCCGCCCCTCCCAGCCACCGCATCGCCTACGATTCCTCAACCCCTCCCTGTGACTCTCGTCCACTGTCTCACCGTCTGATCCTCTCTTTCTCTATTTATATACGGAAAATTGCTTCAAAATCGAAACCCTAATCCCTAAAATCAAATTACATATTTACTATATATAACACACATCTCAATATTCAGAAGATTGTGTTAAGAGGAAAACTATAACAGAAAAATTATAAAATCTTAGAAATTTTAAAAGGTATTCGTTTTTCTCCTTCCTAGCTTAAATCTTTCCATTTTCATTTTATTTTTAGTTTCAGATTTCTTCGTGAATTTGGCGTTTTTGGCTTGTTTTCATGAGAAAATGAAGTAATAGAAAAAAATAGAAGATGAAAAACGGAATAGTAGTAGATGGAAAACCATGAAAAAATTTGAGCTTCTATCACCAAACAAATTTTTAAAGTACTGCTTACTGTTCACTTGCTTTTAGCTTTATTATAGTGCAATGATTCAGTATTGTTTCTTACGATTATAATCATCACCATCGCCATCTTTGTTATTTACTGCTGTATAGTCATGGGGGAGAAACATAGGCAGCTGGTGATACTATATGCAACTCAAACCGGAAACGCATTGGATGCAGCAGAGCAAATTGGCCGTGAGGCTGAGCGCAGAGGGTGCCCTGTCACTCTTAGTTCTTTGGATGAGTTTGATGCTGTAAGTTTGCTTGTACCAGCTTATTGCTTTTTCCTACTTTTTAAATTTCTATTTGATTGCATAGAAAACGTTTGAGAGTGGGCGAAATTATAATCCTGTAGTGGTGGAAACTTGGTCAATCCTTCCGAGATTTTGATTATTCTGAGAAATCTAGGAAAGTGAAAGAAACGACTCTTTGATGTTAGTAGAATTTTTTTTTTTTTTTTTTTTTTTTTTTAATCCTTCCGAGATTTTTTGATTATTCTGATAAATCTAGGAAAAGTGAAAGAAACGACTCTGATGTTAGTAGAATTTTTTTTTTTTTTTTTTTTTTTTTTTTTTTTTTTTTTTAAAACAAAGAAAGAAAACTTAAAGCTGGAAGCCTAATGAAGTTTACATTTTCTCTTCCAAAAATTCGAAGAAATTGTATGTTATTGTTGGTTGAAAGCTAATAGAAACATCGCTCAAGTATAAGTTTTTGTTTTCGCCTAGTATTTCTATTTGTTTCCTAAACGTGCAAGAAAACGAAAGAATTGTAGACTGCAATTGTTACCATGTAGTTCTTGTAAGACTCTAAATGAAAACAAGGTCACGATGCTGTCATCTCGTATATAGTCTCTTATGCAAATTTTCATTGATGCTTTGAAAGCAGTTACTAACATCTCATTTACTATGTTTCAGAGCTCTTTACCTCAAGAAGACACTGTAATTTTTGTTGTTTCTACGACAGGCCAGGGAGACACGCCAGATTCAATGAAGGTTGAGGTTTCATTATAGGAAGTTTAATTTATTTATTTTGGGAACATGGTCTGAAAAGTCTCATTTTTTACTCTTTATTTTCCCTAAATTTTCCTTTTAATCTTCTACCTGCGTAGGCTTTTTGGAGGTTTCTTCTGCAGAAAAATCTTACTAAGGGTTGGCTGGAAGGAGTTCATTATTCTGTTTTTGGTTTGGGTGATTCTGGCTACCAAAAATATAATGCAAGTAATCTCTAGTTTTTTTTTTTTTTTTTTTTTTTTTTTTTTTTTTTTTTTTTTTTTTTTTTTTTTTTTTTTTTTTTTTTTTTTTTTTTTTTTGGGTTGTAGGGAAATGTTGTATGTCCATAATTTCTACGGGGTAATGTCATTAATTAGTTGTTTGCATGGTATTACTATTGCTATTCCATGGACAACTGACCTTTGAACTTTTTTGGTTGTTATGAATTTTCACGTGTACTTTTTTGTGCGTTTTAGGAATTTCTATATATTTTTAGGTTCTTGTGAGTATGCAACGACGTAACTTATGCATAATTTCACTTAAATATTTCACTCAGGTAATTTGTTTCCCTATACATGCATTAAGGATGACATATTGAATATACTTACCTGCAAAAATCATTATGTTACTTACCATGGTTGTATAATGCTTAATGAGCATAAACCATGGAAGTGTTCTTTTAGAATGTCTGTTTCTCTTAACTCAAAGAAAATGGAAAAATGACTGTATCATACTTGGGGTTTTGGTGAGGGCATGTGGAAGGTGGAGCATCTCATTATAATAAGAGACTACTTTAATGGAAGATACTACACTGGAGAACAAACTCCTATGGCATTGGCTTGTGCATCATTGTTAAAGGTTCTTTCTTTTGCACACGAGTCTATTGGTCCTTTTCTTCTGATAATTTTTAACATGTATGAAAATACAGCCTTAAGTTATAAGTTGAGATTAATTTATCATAAATCTTAAATACACTATTTCCTAAACTCTCCTTTAGCTTTTATGCAGAGCTTATTTATTTATCTTTTGTTTCATAGTTTCTGAATGTCATGGAACTATGTGTGTGATTCTGTGCATGTCATTGCAACTTCTGTTATCTTAAAGACCAAGACTTCAGCTCACTTTGATTGGCGGTTTCAGTTTGTGGCAAAGAAGCTTGACAGAAGACTTTTAGATCTCGGGGCAATTGCTATTGTGGAGAGAGGTTTGGGAGATGATCAGCACCCTTCAGGGTACACTCATAATACAATTCAGTTAATTAAGAAAAACATGCTTTAGCCAAAAAAGAATATGGCATTGAGTTTAAGGTAAAATTATGTTGCAAAAAACGTTGATTTTTGTTTCTACTTTCTAGGTATGAAGGTGCATTGGATCCTTGGATGTCAACCTTGTGGCACAAACTGTATGAAATCAATCCTAAATTCTTTCCAAATGGTCCAGATTTTGTGATTCCAGTATCAAAATTGATAGATCAACCAAAAGTCCAAATAACATATCACGAAACTGACAAAGTGGACTCACAGTTATCTAGTGCTGCAGGTAACTCAGCTGTTTTCAGACATTAGAATACACTTCGTTTTTTTTTTTTGGGCTTCTGTAGACGTCTAGTTAGTTATTTTAACATTTTGACTTCCTGGGATATTCCTATATTTTGTTCGAACCTATTTTCATAAAAAAAGTATATACAAGTGCATATGCTTGTAGAACTAGGGTTTATGCTTTTGAAAAGATGAATTGGTGACTGGGGAAGAATCTAGAGTAGAGCTGCAACTGAATCAAAGGGGCTAAACTTAGGCCTCCCAAAGCTTCAGTTGGCACATTTGTGAAGCAAACTTTAAATTTAAGGTAAAGTTTCATGTTTGTTAAAAACAAGGTGACCGGAGCTCAACATGCTTTATGTAATGATCGTAGTTTAGAAAAAAAAGGCATGACATATATTAGAGGAAGAAGCTTACATAGAAAGTAGATAGATGAAAAGAGTAATGAGACATAAAATACCGATAAATTAGAGAAAGGGTAGAAACAAAGATATGAGAACAATAGAGAGAAGAGGAAGAAAAGTAAACAACAATGTTAAGATAAACAGTTAGGCAAACTAACCATCAGATAGTGGCGTCTGTGGGGCTACTGAAAAAAAAATTGTCAATTAGACTCTTGGTTGCAGTTGTTGTCTTATGTTTTAAACTAAGTTTCTCTATACGTGCTCATAGAAATATTAGTATATTTGACCAAATACATTTTTTTTAAAGTAAATCAATTAGGCCATTTCGTCTTTCTGAGAAAAATAGGATCCATAGATTAATTTTGAATTTTATAGATTAATTTAAGTGAGGTTCATGATTCAAGTGCCTGGTACTTGGCATAAGGCATAAAAATTAAGCACAAAATGAAGTTCTGGATAAAGACACCTTGCTTGCAGGTAAAAAGAGGCCAAGGCAGTGCATGATTGCCTGGGCGAGCAGCCGTGTACTTGTAACTGCATTCTTAGTATCACAGTCATCATGCACTTTGTGGTGCTATTATGACCTCTATTTATATATATATGTTGTCGGCCATTTGATCTGGCACCTCTGTTTATAATTGACACTAGATAATAGAGCTTTGTCTGTATCACCAGAGGTGCTTTTAAGTATGTATTCGGTTCTTTATGCCAGTTACCCATAACTCAATGAGAGGTCAAAAGGCCATATTAGTCAACTACCCCCATGATGCATAAATTTAGTTAGATATGGAATGAATATCAGCATCTCAGTTCAACTCAACTTGATCTCTGTCCTGATCTACTTGGAATTGTATAAATAGATCTATCTCCAATGCATTGCTCTTCTGCTCAGTCTGTGGGTGCAATTCAATATGTTATATTCACCACCGGTGCTAAATCCTTCTTGATTATTTCATCATATACCATTCTTGTTATGTTGCTCAGTTTCGTTACTCTCATTGCACGAATCCTTGTCAATTGCAAAAGAAGTCTAGTATGTTAGTTTGCATGAATATAAGTCGCCCATGTTGAGTTTTCTCATGGTTGTTTCAGGTGTAAACTATATTCAAAAGCAAATTGAGAGGGCTCGCTTAATGTCACCAGGAAAATTTTCTAATAACAAGTGCAAGCCTGATTGCTTTCTTAAAATGGTAATAATTCATGCTTGCTTATGGTATATCCTGAAGGGTTCTTATCTAAGTTCTGAAATAGCAGTTCTTACAAATTTGAATTAGTTTGTAGTCCAATACATTGGAATATTGCTTCTGTTTTGGATAGAAGTTGAAATCATTGTTTGAAATGCAAATGGATATGTTCTCATTGAACAGTGCTTTGAAAATGTTAAGATTTATATATGGAAATAATTGGCCACATGAATTTCCCTTAAAAATATTTAATGAATTTCCAATTCCTTTGCATGGTTGATCTTTTATCTAGCAAGAATTATGAACACCTGGAATTTTTATAAAGATGATTTTTTTTTTTTACAACTATTTCCTATTCTTTTAATTTACTCATTTGGGTCACCTGCTATAATTAGTATTACAATTGTATTCTTAAACTTTTATCCAAAATTACCCTTAGTTTGGTCAATGTTGAGGTAATTGGGAGCTATGGTTCCTCAATGAGCTGCGAATGAGCTAATAAAGTATGAAGTTTCAATTTTTGGAGCATATATGGCTATACAATCAAAAGGACTGTTGTCAAATAAGATCCAATCAAATCATATATTCTTTGGGGGTACACCTCATAACTCTTACTTAGTGCATACATTAACAAATTGGTGGCAATTTTGATCAGAAGGTTATCTGTAACTCTAATTCAAGTTTATGGCCTGAATTGATAAAATTTAAAATAAAAAAAAAAAAAAAAAAAAAAAAAAAAAAAAAAAAAAAAAAAAAAAATAAAATTTAAAATAAAAAAAAAAAAAAAAAAAAAAAAAAAATTAAAAAAAAAAAAAGTAAAGGAAAAAGTTTGAAGACACAAAGTGTCAAAGTTCATTTGTTGCCTTTTGCAACAGGCCAAGCAGATACTTTCATTTTTTTCTGCGAAAACTTTAATATAAAAAAAAAAAAAAAAAAAAAAAAAAAAAAAAAAAAGTAAAGAAAAAGATTTGACAACACAAAGTGTCAAAGTTCATTTGTTCCTTTTGCAACAGGCCAAGCAGATACTTCATTTTTTCTGCGAAAACTTTAAATAGATGTTTTTTTCTGGTGTTTCTTGTTTTCTCTTTCTAACTGTCAAATTGCACTTGTTTCCCTATATCCTAGATTCATTTGAATTTGCTCATGTAGGTCAGGAATCAATCATTGACTAGAGTAGGCTCCAGAAAAGATGTGCGCCATTTTGAATTTGAATTTGTTTCATCTGTAAGTTATTGTTGAGCATCTTGATTCTCATTTTATGTTGAATGAGTTAAATTTAGTGCTTTGTGCATACCATGTTTGCTTTCTGTACAGGCAATCAAATATGAAGTTGGTGATGTCCTTGAAGTTCTACCGGGCCAAAATCCTGCTGCAGTGGATGCTTTTATACAGCGCTGTAACTTGGATCCTGAATCACTCATCACTGTATGCCTTTCCCATGATTGATTATGGATTGATCCTACCTTGTAGAGCACAAATTCTCGTGTTGCTGCCTGTGTAGAGGTTTTCTTCCCATTATTGCTGTCTATTAGGATTTCACTGATTGTTGCAGTGGTTGGTTGTGATCCATGTGATGTTGTCAAACTGGTTATGGTCATAATCATTTGCCATGTAATCATATAATAAATTTGTAGCTCACTTGCATGGTAAGCTTATATTCTTAATTCTTCTTTAGTGTTGGTGTCCCAGTCAGTTTGTAAAAGCCTTATTTAATTGCCTAAAAGAGAAAATGTTGAGAATTTTACAATGAAATATAATTATGAAAGGGTCTTTAGAAAACATGCCGAATATTACTTATCTTGTCTTCAAGCACACATCTATAAAAGTAGCTAAGTATGATATTATTTATTTCACCAAATAGTGAGTGAAAGAGCTAGATTACCTTGTGCAGCATGAGAAATTGAACTTGTTGAGCGCTGTTATTATAAAATTACAGTACCTCGTTTCACATAATGTCTGTTTTATCTTCATTATGATGCTGCTCTTTATTTTTTCTTTCCATTTCTCAATTACTTTGGGTGTAACTTGACACTAAAATATCTGAAATTCAAAATAGAGACAAAACTATGCATGTTGACCACAATATCGGCTCTCAAGGTCAAGAATTTCTCTATTTTGAATTTCAGATTTTTCGAAAACATTTCCCTTTTTGATGTAATGATTACTGCATTAGCTTGTCATGCCTTCTTTCAATGCAAGCTATCTCATACTTGCATGGTAAGAGTGAATTGCCTTTTTCCTCTTTCTTTTTGTTCCAATAATGAAAATGTTTCATTTCAGGTGCACCCTCGAGTGATGGAGAATGCTCAGGGCAATGCCCCTAATGTCCCTATCAAGCTAAAAACTTATGTGGAATTGACAATGGATATTGCATCTGCTTCCCCTAGACGTTATTTCTTTGAGGCAAGGATCCTGTTTTTCTTGTGTTTTATCTATTTTTTCAATCAGCAAGTGCTAAAGAAAGTACTTATACCTCTGTTTTTACTGTTTTTGTCCTGCTTATGAAGCTTGAATTTGAGGTTTGTGGCAGTGCATAGATATATCCTGGAAAATGAATTAAAATAGTAGAAAAGCATTGTTCCTGTAAATCATGATCGAGGACCCTGAACTTTTGATTGTACTTTTTTGTCTATAATTTGTGGAGGAGTTTCAGTAAATGGTAATTTGGTTAATCGGTAGTGGTCATACTAGGTCTTCCTGGTTGTGGGAGAAACTCAAATTCTTGGTATTGATTGGCTTTCTAGAACTTGTGCATGATCATGAGAACATAAATTCTCTGCCTACTGGAGTGACCTTAGCCTATCTCTGTCAATGAGATGAGCACTATGTGTTTTTTATCTGAGCTTTACATTGTTGGAAAAATAGAATTTCCATCTTGATGACTAGTTCAAGCGCTCTGGCACAAAAGAATTTATTCTAATTACTTTAACATGCTCAACTTCTCAGCCTCAGTTTATAGGTATGTGTTGCCTTGTTGTAGGGGCATTGTACTTGCTGCTATCAACTGGCACATACAATTTTGTCTGAGCTCTGGTCTCGAGGAAATTATTGATGATAAATAAACTAATGAGATCTGCATTTCATAATAAGTCATGCTTTTGCCAGCTGCATTTGATGATTTATTTTCCCTGTATGCCTGTTGCTTCTCCTCCACCATGCTGATGATACAATTTAAAATTTTTCAGGTTATGAGCTTTTTTGCAACAGCTCAACACGAAAAGGAGAGACTTGAATATTTTGCATCACCTGAAGGAAGAGATGATTTATACCAATACAACCAGAAGGAACGGAGAACTGTTCTGGAGGTGAATGCAATGGAATAAAATTTATGCATTTTTTGCATTGCAAGTCAGTTGATTAACATCTTTCTTTGAGGTTTGATTCCTTAAAAATGTCTAGACATTTTTTTGTTTAGTTGGCTGAAGCAAAGCCAGTAATGGAGGCAGTACCATTTCATGGTAACATAAAGAGGTGAAATGGGTGAAATATGCATCACTATGTAACTGTCAATACTGCCAGACAGATGCATTATACCAGGCATCTCTTCTTCAAGTTGCAGAACTGAAACAGGATTGTTCTTTTTTATCCATATGGTTCATTTGTGGGTGCCCTATGAATCAAGGGCTCATGCGAGAGGGTAAAAAACTTGGCATACTATATTAATGCAAGTTGCTTTGTCTCATGAGATTAATTATAGCACTCAGCAGTCTCTTTAAGTGATAAGAAACTTCGTCTCCTACATTGATCTATTTTGTCCTTTCAGAAGTATTTGTCCTCTTGGATTGTGTAAATTGAAAACTGGCATTCTAACTAGTTTATGAGATTCTAACACCTGAAACCTGTCTAGAGGATTGATTTGTGTACTATCTCTTTCAAATACAGGTATTAGAGGATTTCCCTTCTGTGCAAATGCCTTTTGAGTGGTTGGTGCAGTTGTTTCCTCCATTAAAAACAAGGGCTTTCTCTATTTCTTCTTCCCCTTCAGCACATCCCAATCAAGTGCACTTGACAGTGAATGTAGTATCATGGACAACACCTTATAAGAGGAAGAAGACTGGCCTCTGTTCCACATGGCTTGCCAAACTCAATCCACAACAAAGTAGGGGTGACATTATGTTATTGAAACTTAAAGTTTGTTTCTAACTTGAGTAAAATTTGTTTATTGCCTAAGTTTGTTTGCCATTAGCAGGTTTATGTATTCCAGTATGGTTTCAAAAAGGTTCCCTCCCTCCTCCTCTACCATCACTTCCGCTCATTCTTGTCGGGCCTGGGACAGGATGTGCTCCTTTTCGTGGATTTGTGGAGGAAAGATCCTTACAAGATGCATCTCACAAAGCTGCACCAGTTATGTTCTTCTTTGGTTGCCAAAATGAGGACAATGACTTTTTGTATCGAGATTTTTGGTCGTTCCATGCACGAGATGGTGGGCTGCTCTCAGAAGAAAGGGGTGGAGGTTTTTATGTTGCATTTTCAAGGGATCAGCCACAAAAGGTCTATGTGCAGCATAAAATGCGAGAACATAGCCAGAGGATATGGAATTTGGTGTTAGACGGGGCGTCTATTTATGTAGCAGGATCATCAACCAAAATGCCTGCAGATGTAATGTCAGCCTTTGAAGAAATTATAGCCAAAGAGGCTAACATTTCGAGGGAAACTGCTGGAATGCTGCTTAGGAGACTGGAAAGAGAAGGTAGATACCATGTTGAAGCGTGGTCTTGAATGCTGCCTAGTTGTCGACTTCATGGAGCAATTTTAGGTGGGGGAGGTATGGTGTGAGCAATTTATACAACATTTGATTTTAGCCTGAGAGAAGAAATGATGATAACCTGTACCAAATATGATAGGAAGCGTGATCTTACATTTGCCTTCATTTGGGGCTTCTCAGTTTTTAACTTTCCACAAAACATTAAAGACTCTGGATTCATGTCCCTTGTCCGGCTGCTTTGATATTGTCCTATGGGTTGCAACATTGATTTTTCTTTCTTAAACTACAAGTTTATTTTATTTTTTTAATCATTTTTGGATTTTATGGATGTGATTTTATCATTCTATTTTTATGTTTAGTAATAAAGTTTTCCAGTTATCTTGTGTTTGAAACTTAGAAGATTTGAACAAATGAAAGCCACAGCAACTATATACCATTTTCCAATCCATTCCTTTTTCTTCTCTCTCTAAGAATGTATCAACCATAGGAAATGCACAAATTTTGGACAGATTGACTTAGTATTATAACAGGAATAAATGACAATAACATTCATAAATTTTTAGAATGCAGCGACCAAACAATCGATTTCACCAAACCAGGAAGACCAAATGACAATTTACCCAAAAAAGATTTTCGGTTGAAAGGCTGAGAGGTGAATCAGAGCCTGCATTTAAAATAAGCTAGTCCATCACTGGCTGTCAAGCTACATTTTGCCTATGTACTAAATAAAAAACAAAAAGTTGCCTTTTTTTTTTTTCCTGAAAAATAAATGAGGTTTACAACAATAAGAAAACCTTTATTTTTCAAAAAAAATCTCTTCATTCTTTTATTGCAAACACATTTCAAAAATGATTGGGAAACTTTTCACTAACTCAATATCTTACCCAACTCTCCAAATTACAGTAACAAGATAAAAGAAATGAAAGTAGAAAAGAGATCTCATAAGCCATATTCCAACACAATTTTCTATTAAATAAGGATGGTAACAGCAACCAATATTTAAACAAAGAAAAGAGAAACTAGAAAGTGCTATCTTTGTCCAAGGATAAAATTTCACAAGACAAATAGTTGGGATAAGATTACATGATAAGAAGTTCTTCACCCAATATGGAGTAAAAGACACTCCAGCGGGCAGTCGCTTGGTTTCATTCCTCAAACTCATGCATGTGATCTAATAGATAGTTGGCTGCTAGTTCTTCATTCTTATTGCATGCAAAGAAAACCTCCAATACTATTGCACGATCAAAGCCCATTGCTTCAAGCTGCCAAATTCATGCGGTCAATGAAGACCGACAAAATTATTATAGTTTGAAACAGGGAGAAAATCTATTAAAAAGCCCCTATTTGTTTGTAGTTCTTTTTTTGCTTTCAAGACCACTAAATGAAAATTTAAAAAAAAAAAAAAATACATTTGGTATTATCGAGTACTAATTTGATAACAACAAATATAATATTTGTTCAAATATAGGGTGACTTGCTAAGAGACAATGCCGCTAAAGTAATTTTACCATGTCACCTAGATGGAACCAACAAAACTTTTGGATAAGTAACAGGCAGTCATGAACTTACACGCTCAATTGCTTCGCGCTCCTCAGGGGTAACAGTCACAGCCTGAGGCATTGCTGAGGCCATTGTCAACCTAGATTGGAACCAATCAAAACTTTTTGGAATTTAAGTAACAGGCAGTTTCATGAACTTACCACGCTCAATTGCTTCGCGCTCCTCAGGGGTAAACAGTTCACAGCCCTTGAGGCATTGCTTGAGCGCCAACTCGGCCAAGGAACATTCCTAGTTACCCATTAGAATTAAAGTAATTAATTAGTATTTACAGGGCGAAGAAAAAACTCAATAAAAAAGATTCCAAGAACCAAGATTGAAGAAAAACTCAATAAAAGATTCCAAGAACCAAGATTCATCTCACCCCTCTCCTTCAACCGGTTCATTTATCAAGCGCAAGAAGTCAGCTTGATGCTCTTGAATGAGCCGCATAAGATGTGGATTTTGCTTCCCCAGCTCCTGAAGCATAGGCTGCAATAAATGACTAACATTATTGGCCATCCAATCGGCTAGTTAAAAATCAACATCTGCCAATAGAAGAAACAATCAAATGAATTATCAAAACAAGAATTACCTGCAGGATTTGGGGGTTAGCTTGCACCATGGCCCGCAACGCTTGGAACTGCCAGAATAGTTAAAGCAGTTCAGAAATCCCAAAGCAATTAATCTTATTAAAATAATTCCAAGTGTAACATCTTAAATACCTGTTGACTGTTACGCAAAAAATCCAAGGTGCCTGCACTAGCATTGGAACCCATATTGGGAAGGCCCTGATGGCACAAAATTATATTCATCACTTATAACTCCATTCTAAGGCTCAAAAGTTACAAAATCAAGTATATACCTGTGGAAATAAATCTAGAGGGTTTGCATTCGGCCCAGCACTAGTAGGTGCTGCTGGTTGTCCAACCTGAGCTGGTGGATTCGTAGCCTGTGCACTAGCAGGAATTTGGGCAACAGGTTGAACCTCAGCTTGCTCAGGAATGCCCTGACATCACAGTTTAAAATGATCATAGGATTACCAGTAGAACACAGGCAATTCACAATGATCTAGCGATCAGAAAAACAATTGAAAAAAGATACAAGTAACATGTAGATCTTATTTTTTATGCTTTCCCTAGAAAGGGGAAACAGACGAGAGCTTAAGATGAAAAACCAAAACTAACAAAAGAATTCAGTATTTAAGCTTGAAATGACAAACAATGTCCAACCAAGAATAAGCTAGATCTAGTCAACAGGTCACGTTTAAGGGCCCTAATTGATCCAGAACTTACAGAGTAAAGATATTCAACAGCCCTTTCAGGGTTATTATATGCAGCACGTAAAGCACGCACAACAGTTTCACGGGTCCAACTTCCTCCACCCATGTCAAGTATCTGTTGAATAGTAGCCTCTAAATTATTTCCTGCAACAAGATTTGATGCTGCTTGTCCATATACGTCTGATTCTGAACTGCTTTAACACCAAGAAATGAGTAAAATAAAATATAAACAATAAACAAAAAAAATCTAAGGGCAAGAAGATTATGCATTTTGAAAATCAAACATCATGGCAAAATGGCAGGCCAGAGAAAGAGGGTTCATCACATCACACACGTTCACAGCCCCGAGCTTCATTTGAAATTGTGAATGGACCCATAATAGAACAGAATAATCTAAAACTAGCACAAGAAATACTCACGAAACAGGATTAACTACAGCTGGTATAGTTTCAGCAGCAGAAGGTGGACTGCAAAATTCCAGAGTTCAGAAAATGAGTGAAGCACTGTCATAGAGATGCAGTATTTTTTTGCGCAAAAAAGAAGAAACCAAGCATTTAAAGAAAAGTAGAAGATGAATAAAGAAAACAAATTTAAAAAACCCACGGTGCTGCAGTTGGAGCAGGAGCTTCAGTAGTTGTTGAAGGTTGAGTTGCACGAGAAGGCAAAGAACCTGCAGGTTGTGCCTGCACATGCAAGGAGGTATGTTAAAATGACCTTCAGATGGCAATGCATAGCATGATTTCAGGTCATATTGCCAACTAAATAGGAATTCAAGTGGACATATGGTATTATCTTTGCTTGAAAAAACATAGCAAAACAATCATGGTAGAAGGCATGAAAAATTTAGTTACAATAAGGTATCTCCTATCTCGCACAATCAAAAGATATCAAATAACCACATATTTGTCCATGCAACAATATTCAAAGACATGCACAATTTGTCCATGCAACAATATTCAAAGACATGCACATGAAAAGTCTTGATCATACAACTATTAGTCAGAAACCTATGACAAGAATGGGAAGTTATTAAAAGGAAAAAAGAAAAAGGAAAGGAGCAGCCATCCCAGATAAAGGAATACCATTTGCATGTCACGTTCCTCCTAGACAAGCAATAATATCTCTTAATCTTTAATTTTCTCATGCTACAATAATCGTGTTGCAGTCAAATCATTTATCTAATGACTAGGCTCAAAAATAATTTGCACATTATATGAGGTACAAATACATTATGGAATAACTGATACATTAAATAAAAATAATAAAGGAAAACAATACAAGCATAAAAGCTGAGTCATATTTAGAATATTTAAAAGCATCAACAAATATTTTCTAAATTGATCAAAATACACATAATAATCGAAAATCACTAAAATAAAATTTCAGGCATGATGATTGTCGAGAGTGAACAAGTAATTTTGCAGGCTAAAGCATCTCATATTAGATTTCACCAAACAATGCAGTTTTCCTCACTCATTATAATTATGCCAGAAACATCATCCAAAAGTTAGGTAGCCCCAACTAAGCTGGAAATTAAAATGTAATTGGATTAAAATTTTCTACATACTGGGCTTGGAGATGCAGTTGAAGCAGCTGATGCTCCGCCAGATGAAACCTTGCTCTACATATGTTCCAGCATTTGTGAATCAGATAATAGAGTTTGAATAATTTTGCGCTTTACAATCTTAATAATAACATTATTGCAATTGTAAAAAAAAAAAAATTACAATCTTAATAATAACATTATTGCAATTGTAAAAAAAAAAAAACCCTCTAATTCCTTTTATTGCTATTCTTAGTGGAAAAATAAATTCAGATAAAGGAACACAGCAAGGAAAACAGAAAACACACCTTGCTTAACATAATGACAATAAAACTATTTTCAGCAACTTTATTTTCCTCCAGTGTCGTGCCATCCTTAAGAACTTTCCCCTGATAAATCAGCATCTGCTGTGCAGCAGGGTAAAGATCTGCACCCTGAGCAGTCTCTATAACTTTCTTGACATCGGCAACCTGAATTTCATCGTTAACATTGTTGTTCTCAGTCAAAAAAGCAAGAAGGTAGGAAAGTGACATCATATGAGAGAACTTTCAAAAAGAGATCAACAAATCCACTAGCAACTACCTGTGCCAATAGTTCAATAAAGTGACAATATCCAATCACAAAGGATCTTATGAGGCTGTGACAATTTAACAAACATGAAAGCAACAGAAATTACAAGTTCACAACCAAAAAACCCGCGATGCCAAACGTACAGGAGCAAGCGGATAAACACGCACACAGCTCGAGATAGTATATTCTCCTCAGTTTTTCTTCTAATCCTAGAACTCATCAATTCCCACTAATTCGCGACTTTGATGACTTCAGCCAAAATTTTCCTTTCTGTCGTTTTATTTAGGATATGAACGAGTCTATCTTTGGCTCTACCCACTACTAACCAATTCAAGATCCTACTACAGTACATTCTTAAACGAGTTGAACTAACTCATTCATTTATTTCCCAGATATAGTCTCAGAATTTATATAAACTTTACAAAGGTCCAGTTGACAAATTATTAATCCAAAACTTTCTATGACTAACAACAACACAAAACTATCCAAAACTCTCACTCCATACGACAAGTAGTTCTGAATCAATACCACTGGCAGATATAATCCACAGCGTATACACTAACACAATCAGTACATTCAATCGACAAAATGAATCTCAAACACATAATTATCAATCTATAATCAGGACAACTAACATAAGAATCGAAAATTTGTCAAACAATTAAGAGATTAACGAGGAAATTATACCGTCTCGTCGGGTTTCACTTCGATTTCGAAGTTAGTACCCTTCAAAGTCTTAACGAAAACCTTCATCTCGTCCTACCGATCCGCGATTGCCCGGGAAATCTACGATGCCCGGCGATTGCCCGGGAAATCTACGATGCCCGGTCGCCGGCGGTAAAGTCTTTTCTCGGAGGTGGAGGGGCACGGATATAATAAAAAATAGTTACTATAGATACAAAAGCAGAAAAGCCTAGAAAAGAAGAAGTCGCTAGCAGTTTAAAAGCTGGGTTATCAACAGAGAATACGGAGTGATCAAGTAAGAGTGAACTTTATAGCAGTTGCTGCAAAGCCAATCATCTGTTTCAAATATAAGGTATGTGGTACGTGTCTCGCTTTTATTGGTTAAAAAATTATCTGAAATGAATTGGAATTGGAATTGGAGTTAGAGCTAACCGACTGAAACCAGGGATTAAGGGCTGTTTGTTTAATTGAACTCTGGTACCTCGCGATGGTTGTTCAAAGCTGGTAGTTTGGTAAATTGGTAATGGTTAATAGATTTTGGTTAATAGAATTTATCATATATTATTTTTCATTTTTTAAGGTGTATTCTATTTTTTCATTTTAATATACAATATAAATAAAATAATTAATTCCATTATTTTTAAAATAACTATAAATAAAATAAAAACTTATAAATAAAATAATTACACAAACATATCATTTTTTAAAATTAATTTTATTATATTTTTTTAAAATAACTATAAATAAAATAATTACACAAACATATCATTTTTTAAAAATTAATTTATTATATTTTTTATAAAATTAATAGAATTTAAATATAATATAAAATACAAATACTTGGTAATATAAAAAAAAATACAAAATGTATCGATGAAATTAACGATTGAGACTTCTATCAACTATTAGCTTTGTATAGATAAATTATTAGCTCTATAAACCAGTTGAATCTAACTCTAAGTTAGTTTTTACATAATTTTATCGATAGAAATATGAGAATTTATTGCTTCCACTAAGTATATAAATATACCTAGTTAGTAATTAATTTTAATTAATTTTTTTTTTTTTTAAAACAACACACATGCCTTTATTTGTACCGATTGTCATCCTTAAATTGGTTGAATATATAAATTCGATGTAAGGAAGTTTAAGTGTGGCCAATAAACTGGTTTAAACTAAAACTGAATTGGATTATAGTGAATTAAATTCTAAAAGTTAAGTAGGAACGTATGGTTTAGGATAGATTAAGATATATTTTCTATATAAAGTAATGGAGTCGATCTGGAATCAACAATTAAATCATGGTCCAATATGATCTAATTTATTACATATATAAAATTAATTAATTTGGGGATTTTGCCAGTTATTTGCTTTTAATGTCTAGCTACAAATATATATATATATTTGTGACTTTTCTATATTTGGCATACTGCCTGAAATTTATAAGCTTAACGATTAAGATCTCTTTGTTGTTGGATATTTGTATTATTTTTCAAATTGTAAAGTTAATGAAATTATTTTTTTTCTTTCAATTTTTTATAACAATTTATTTATTTTCCAAAAATTTATACATCATAATTTATTTATGTTTTATTTGATTATTTTAATTTATTTACAAGATTGATGATTTTTCTATATGAGTGTTCTAAAAATATTGAAATAAAATTTATTAATATTCTCAAATTCTCATTGAATTCTTTTAGAATAAAAATAGCAGGAACTGAATTTCCATTTCTTTTTTTAGAAAAGAAAATACATGTATTGTCGAATTATGGTCAAAATCGTTAGTTGCTAAATCCGATCAAATCCAGCCGCTCAAAGGTCAGCTCAAGTTCAAGCTTTAGAACAACTTCAAATATTGGTTAGTTAAATTGGTCGTGCCTAGATAAATCTTTCTCGAGAGTATAATATTTTTTTTTCCTAATAAATACAAATTAGGGTTTCATTATTCAAATTGCAACCATACAAATAACCAATAGAGGATCATACAAGAAACAAACTATCACAAGCAAAGAATACAGCAGAGTTTGTTGTAGCAACTATAACAAATATGAGAGACTAACAAGATTTATTGCAAATGATAACATATTTATAAATTATCGAAAAGAAAACTAAAAGGATTAAAAATAATAAAAAGGAAATTACTGACTAAACAAGTCCATCAGTAACACCTCAAAGAACAAATCTAAAAACAACCACTGAAGAAAAAAAAAAAAAAGAAAAAGAAATGGAAAAATGGCATCTTTTTTTCTTACCCATCAATCCCTTCTCTCTGTTTTTCTTGCAGTCGATCTCATCTTCTTCCTCTCACACGAAGTGATAATTTCTCATTTTCATTTTTTCAATTTCTTTATTGAAAGGAACTTGCTGCTTAAAAATAACATGTTTTTATTATGTCCATGAATTAAAGAAGAGCATTCAGGGTTTTAGTTCGGCTAAGTTTCATTATTCTTGTTTTAGGGTATTTTATTGTTCGGTCTAAAATTATTATGGGTCTGATAAGCCTAGGTTTATTAAGAGTGTCTTAAAATAGGTGAGTATTTAGTCCAAAAAGAAGGGGACAATGATAAAAAAAGGTCAAGAGGGGAAAACAAGGATGAGAGGAACATGAGAGAAATATAAAAAATTATAGATCGAAAAAGAAAGGGAGACACAAAATGACTTGAATGCGATTAAACAATTCTATTTGTTTGTATAAATTTGTGTATCATTTACAACATTTATTTTTCCTATTTATAGGGATCATAAAGTGATGCATCTAGAACCTCTAGGTTCTAGATTCAATTCTCACCTATATAAACATTTAAGTATAATGTGCATTCTCTCCCTCGTGGGATGTAATGCCTTTTAATGGGTTTGATAATGAGTTGTATTGCCTTTGATGGGCTTTGAGGCTATTGTAATTATTGTAACTGCCAATAGTACAGAATGTATAATAATCATACCGAATGAAAAAAAAAAAAAAAGAGTGCCCTTTCAAGCAAGGTGCACTTTCTAGACAATATGTACAAAACTTCAAAGATAGTCATAAATATATATGATATTTACAATTTATGAGTTTTATGACCAAAAGACCCCTCTTGGTACTATCTTTAATTTTTATATAGACATTTTTCAAGCTTTCAATTCAACCCTTAGTTTAGCCCTAGTTTTTGGACCGATGCCAATAACCGTTTGATTGAGAGCTGAACGATTTAGATAGGCAAGATGAAGAAGATGACAATTGACTGAAAAAAAGAGAGAGAAAAGGCATTAACGATGAGAGAGAAAGAGGGGTTTGAGGATTGATGTGTAAGATATAGGCATTGTTTATAATTAACTCGTTCCTTGAGTTGGTCTAACTTGGTTTCAGATAGTGGGTCCCACTTTTTTCTATTTTACTTATGGAATTTGAGTCGCTTTAAATTAAGAGTGTTATTATTGTAATCAAAATTCAAAATTAGAGTGCTTGGAGAATAAAGTTTATATTGGGGTATAATTAAAATAACCTGCAAAAATTCAGGGGCTTTTAACAATTTAGCCTAAAAGTTATAGTGGGGTACTTAGATTTTTTACAAAATCTAATCCTATCCATTGGATTTTTATTTAGTTTATTTTTAATAATTTCCAAACCTCATTTAGAATAAAATATTAGAATTAATCTCTCAAATCTGTAATGATTAATACATCTTGAATGTTTTTTGTATTCCATTAATGAGTTTACTTGTTTTAATTTATTAATTTCTCTTATTTTATGGAATTGTTATTCGTTATTGAAGAGTTTTTTTTTTATGTGTATCTTTTATTTAATCTTTGTTGGTAGTTTGAGATATAAGATAAATAATTGATTGCTTGTGATTAAAGACTTTAGACCTTTAAATTCATATAATTTTCTTTTTTTAATAAATAAATTTTGGTATTTTAAACTCTTTTAATTGTAAATTACAATAAATTTATGAAAATTAAAGTTCGGAACGATATTACAGAGATGAAAGATTAATTTTTTTTACATAAAATTTTAATTTTTGTATTATTATGATGTATTCAAGTTATACATTGTTTATTAATTAATTGTCAAATTTCTAAAAAAAAAAGTTAAAAGTTAAAAACTAATATTTCGTAAATATTAGTAAATACTTATTTGAGATTTTGTGAAACTTACACAACAGTGCAACTAATTTTCAGCGCCTGGGTTACCCGGATCCGTTTACCCGACCGAACAAAGAAACCAAAAGCTTATTGCTTTTGCTTATTTAAAAAAAATGCTTTCTTGTTTTATCTCTCCCTCTCACTAGAACAAAAAAAATTAGGATATGTCAGCATCCATGGCAATGCAACCCAAAACCAATACCTCTCTAAAACCCTTAAATATGTCCTCCCAAAATCTTCTACTTAGAACCCCAAATCTTTCTTTTAAACCCAAACCCTCTTATTTGAGCATACACTCCTCATCTAGCCTCAAAATTATTCAAAGTGCTCAGAGCAAACTAATTTTTCAGAGATTTTGTGAAACTTACACAACAGTGCAACTAATTTTCAGCGCCTGGGTTACCCGGATCCGTTTACCCGACCGAACAAAGAAACCAAAAGCTTATTGCTTTTGCTTATTTAAAAAAAATGCTTTCTTGTTTTATCTCTCCCTCTCACTAGAACAAAAAAAATTAGGATATGTCAGCATCCATGGCAATGCAACCCAAAACCAATACCTCTCTAAAACCCTTAAATATGTCCTCCCAAAATCTTCTACTTAGAACCCCAAATCTTTCTTTTAAACCCAAACCCTCTTATTTGAGCATACACTCCTCATCTAGCCTCAAAATTATTCAAAGTGCTCAGAAGCTCAAACTTTCAGCTTCTGCAGCTGACCCAATTCTCTCTCAAGAAGAAACACCTTCAGTTAAAGAGGTTGTTATACACAATTATCTATGCAAGTCCAATTTTTCTTTCTTAAAATTGTCTTCTTCTTTTTTTTTTTTCCAGAGAGGGGAAAAAAAGATTAGGTTTTTTCACGTTGCTCTACCCCTTATTTTTCTGTTTTTTTTTAATACATTAGAGCTGTGATTGGCTCTGAATGCAATACCCCGGCGCTTTGGGTTGTCTTGTTTTGTTTCAGAAGCTTAGAGTGGTCGTGAAGCCAAAATGGCAGGAAACCAAGTGATAGTATTGAAAGTTGATTTGGATGCAAATAAATCAATTGGGTATTGCATTAGTGACCAAAGTTATACCAGGCTTATTGGCACACTCCCTTTGAGTTCTTTAACTACTTCTGCCAAAGGAACGATAGCTTTGGGAGCGGCTTAAAGTGTGCTTGAAAGTAAGCCTTTGGATATCCAAGAGGCAAAATGTTATATTCCTTCTTAATCAGGCTACTGATTATCATTTCAAACTTTGTGGCAGCGAAATTGGTGGCAAATTTATAGTAAGTTAATTACAACAATATAAATTTAAATACTTGATTTGGTGGAAGTTAGAAGCAATTATTGGAGTTAGCTTTGGTTTACAGTCTGAAATGGTTAGAAATTAGGATTGCCATGTCTTTAGCCCTCACGTTTTGAGTTTTTTTCAACTGCTATATTGCCGTCTTTGTCAAAATTATATGGAAATGGTACCTTTATGGTCTAAATTTGATTAGTTGTACACTTGCATACTGCATTAAGGTAATTGTGCCAGAATGCTCTTTTTGGGCGGTTGGCATGTTTATTCTCAGTGACTATGTACAAAGTTAAGGTTAATTGTGCAGAATGCTCTTTGGCGGTTGGCATGTTTATCTCAGTGACTATACAAAGTTTAGAGGCAATACTTGTTTGAGAGTGATATTGTTGGATTTCTTTGCCTTTTCCTTTGTTGCATTGCATTGTTTTGTTGCTTTTATTAGTTCATTTCTGATAGGTTGTTTGGGGAGTGAAGTGTTTCAATGGCTAAAAACAGACCAAGTAGGATTGGTAGTACTAATTAGAAGTTGTCAATGATCCTTCACTGTTAACAATGGTCCTTCAACACAATATTTGGATTTAATATTGGGAATTAAATAACAAAATCAAATTTGGGTAGTTACTATAGCTGTATGTGGGTTTCCTGCCCTTTGGTTATTATTATCATTTGAAATCATTGCTTACTAAAATGGAGGGAATAAAAACAAAGATGTAATACTAAACTGTGTTTGAGAACTAATATCTAACATTTCTCAGTTGGTAAAACCAGTTTTACCTTCCATTCCCACACTTTGTTCAGTCTTCTCTGAATTTGGATGGATTTCCAAGTTGCTTGATGGTTCTGGAAGCTCTTAATCTAGTTGTTTAATAAATAAATGCCTGCTGAATGATACAACAGCAGCAACAACAACAACTACGCTTTAATGCTGAACTAGTTGGGGTCAGTGCATGATTCCTTTGTTTCCATTCGGTTCTATCCATAAATAAGTCCGTGCTAATGTCTAGAAAATGCTTTGCTGAATATTATAATGAGAAAATGCTTGTTGCTAAATAATGCAAGGTTAAAGGTTTTGTCAATGTTAGTGCAGTTATCTCCTATTCTATCTTTCCTCCTAGGCATTTAACTGCAAAAAATGTACAAATTTTGCGAAAATGACATATTAGTATAACAGGAACACATGCACATAGGCAGAGACCAAATTGATTTCACCAGACCACAAAGACCAAATAATTTACCCAAAAATGAAAATAAAGTTTACAACAATGAGAAAAGGTTTAATTTTTGAAGAAAGACACTTCATTCTTTTATTGCAAAACACCATTGAAAAACGTTTGGTGAAATTTTCACTAATTTAATATCTTACCCAATTATCCAAAAATTACAGTAAAAAGATGAAAAGTGAAAATAGAAAAGAGATCTCGTTAGCCATATTCCAACACAAGTTTCTATTGAATAAGGATGGTAATAACGACCAATATTTAAACAAAGAAGGAGAAACTAGAAAGTTGTCCAAGTATGAAATTCCACAAGACAAATAGTTTGGATAAGATTACACGATAAGAAGTTCTTCACCCAACACGGAGGAGTAAAAGAGACAGTCGCTGGCAATCGCTTGGTTTCATTCCTCGAACTCATGCATGTGATCTAATAGATAGTTGGCTGCTAGTTCTTCATTCTTATTGCATGCAAAGAAAACCTCCAATACTATTGCACGATCAAAGCCCATTGCTTCAAGCTGCCAAATTCAGACAGTCAATAAAGACCAAAAAAATTATTAGAGTTCGAAACAGGGTGAAAATCAATTAAAAAGCCCCTATTTGTTTTTAGTTCTTTTTTTGCTTTCAAGACCACTAACGCCTATTGTTTTTTTAGTTCTTTTTTTTGCTTCAAGACCACTAAATGAAAATTAAAAAAAAAAAAAAAATAACATTTGTATTATCGAGTACTAATTGATAAACAAACAAAATATAATATTTGTTCCAAATTATAGGCGTGACTTGCTAAGAGACAATGCCGCTTAAAGTAAATTTTTACATTCTCTCAGATGGAACCAAACAAACTTTTGGATAAGTAACAGGCATCAGGAAACTTACACGCCTCAACTGCTTCGCGCTCCTCAGGGGATAACCAGTCACAGGGCCTGAGGCATTGCTGAGGCCAACTGGCCAAGGGACGTTCCTAGTTACCATAGAATTTTCCTAGTTACCCATAGAATTAAGTAATAATTAGTATTTACAGGGAAGAAAAACTCAATAAAAGATTCCAAGAACCAAGATTCATCTCACCCCTCTCCTTCAACCGGTTCATTTATCAAGCGCAAGAAGTCAGCTTGATGCTCTTGAATGAGCCGCATAAGATGTGGATTTTGCTTCCCCAGCTCCTGAAGCATAGGCTGCAATAAATGACTAACATTATTGGTCATCCAATCGGCTAGTATAAAAGTCAACATCTGCCAACAGAAGAAACAATCAAATGAATCATCAAAACAAGAATTACCTGCAGGATTTGGGGGTTAGCTTGCACCATGGTCCGCAACGCTTGGAACTGCCAGAATAGTTAAGTTAAAGCAGTTCAGAGATCCCAAAGCAATTAATCTTATTAGAATAATCCCGAAGCGGTTCATTTACCCACGGTGCTGCAGTTGGAGCAGGAGCTTCAGTAGTTGTTGAAGGTTGAGTTGCACGAGAAGGCAAAGAACTTGCAGGTTGTGCCTGCACATGCAAGGAGGTATGTTAAATTGACCTTCAGATGGCAATGCATAGCATGATTTCAGGTCATATTGCCAACTAAATAGGAATTCAAGTGGACATATGGTATTATCCTTGCTTGAAAAAACATGGCAAAACAATCATGGTAGAAGGCATGACAAATTTAGTTACAATAAGGCAAAACAATCATGGTAGAAGGCATGACAAATTTAGTTACAATAAGGTATCTCCTATCTCGCACAATCAAAAGATATCAAATAACCACATATTTTTCCATGCAACAATATTCAAAGACATGCACATGAAAAGTCTTGATCATACAACTATTAGTCAGAAACCTATGACAAGAATGGGAAGTTATTAAAAGGAAAAAAGAAAAAGGAAAGGAGCAGCCATCGCAGATAAAGAAATACCATTTGCATGTCACGTTCCTCCTGGACAAGCAATAATATCTCGTAATCTTTAATTTTCTCATGCTACAATAATCGTGTTGCAGTCAAATCATTTATCTAATGACTAGGCTCAAAAATAATTTGCACATTATATGAGGTACACATACATTATGGAATAACTGATACATTAAATAAAAATAATAAAGGAAAACAATACAAGCATAAAAGCTGAGTCATTTAGAATATTTAAAAGCATCAACAAATATTAAAAGCATCAACAAATATTTTCTAAATTGATCAAAATACCCATAATAATCGAAAATCACTAAAATAAAATTTCAGGCATGATGTTTGTCAAGAGTGAACAAGTAATTTTGCAGGCTAAAGCATCTCATATTCGATTTCACCAAACAATGCAGTTTTCCTCACTCATTATAATTATGCCAGAAACATCATCCAAAAGTTAGGTAGACCCAACTAAGCTGGAAATTAAAATGTAATTGGATTAATATTTTCTACATACTGGGCTTGGAGTTGCAGTTGAAGCAGCTGATGCTCCGCCAGATGAAACCTTGCTCTACATATGTTCCAGCATTTGTGAATCAGATAATAGAGTTTGAATAATTTCGCGCTTACAATCTTAATAATAACATTATTGCAATCTTACAATTCATTAAATAAATAACATTATTTGCTTATATTGTTAAAAAAAAAAAGCAGTTGAAGCAGCTGATGCTCCGCCAGATGAAACCTTGCTCTACATATGTTCCAGCATTTGTGAATCAGATAATAGAGTTTGAATAATTTCGCGCTTACAATCTTAATAATAACATTATTGCAATTGTAAAAAAAAAAAAAAACCTCTAATTCCTTTTATTGCTATCCTTAGTGGAAAAATAAATTCAGATAAAGGAACACAGCAAGGAAAACAGAAAACACACCTTGCTTAACATAACGACAAAAAAACTATTTTCAGCAACTTTAATTTCCTCCAGTGTTCTGCTATCCTTAAGAACTTTCCCCTGATAAATCAGCATCTGCTGTTCAGCAGGGTAAACATCTGCACCCTGAGCAGTCTCTATAAATTTCTTGACATCGGCAACCTGAATTTCATCGTTAACATTGTTGTTCTCAGTCAAAAAAGCAAGAAGGTAGGAAAGTGACATCATATGAGAGAACTTTCAAAAAGAGATCAACAAACCCACTAGCAACTAGCTGTGCCAATAGTTCAATAAAGTGACAATATACAACGTACACATTCACAAAGGATCTTATGAGGCTGTGACAATTTAACAAACATGAAAGCAACAGAAATTACAAGTTCATAACCAAAAAACCTGCGATGCCAAACACATACACATATACAGGTGCAGGCGGATAAACATGCACACAGCTCGCGATAGTATATTCTCCTCAGTTTTTCTTCTTATCCTAGAACTCATCAATTCCCAATAATTCACGACTTTGATGACTTCAGCCAAAATTTTCCTTTCTGTTGTTTTATTTAGGATATGAACGAGTCTACCTTTGGCCCTACCCACTACTAACCAATTCAAGATCCTACTACAGTACATTCTTAAACGAGTTGAACTAACCTCATTCATTTATTTCCCAGATATAGTCTCAGAATTTATATAACCTTTACAAAGGTCCAGTTGACAAATTATTAATCCAAAACTTTCTATGACTAACAACAACACAAAACTCTCCAAAACTCTCCCTCCATACGACAATTAGTTCTGAATCAATACCACTGGCAGATGTAATCCACAGCGTATACACCAACACAATCAGTACATTCAATCGACAAGATGAATCTCAAACACATAATTATCAATCTATAATCAGGATAACTAACATAAGAATCGAAAATTTGTCAAACAATTAAGAGATTAACGAGGAAATTATACCGTCTCGTCGGGTTTCACTTCGATTTCAAAGTTAGTACCCTTCAAAGTCTTAACGAAAACCTTCATCTCGTCCTACCGATCCGCGATTGCCCGGGAAATCTACGATGCCCGGCCGCCGGCGGTAAAGCCTTTTCTCGGAGATGGAGGGGCACGGATATAATAAAAAATAGTTACTATAGATACAAAAGCAGAAAAGCCTAGAAAGAAGAAGTCGCTAGCAGTTTAAAAGCTGGGTTATCAACAGAGAATACGGAGTGATCAAGAGTGAACTTTATAACAGTTGCTGCAAAGCGAATCATCTGTTTCAAATATAAGGTATGTGGTACGTGTCTGGCTTTTATTGGTCAAAAAATTTATCTGAAACGAATTGGAATTGGAATTGGAATTGGAATTGGAGCTAACCGACTGAAACCAGGGATTAAGGGCTGTTTGTTTAATTTAACTCTGGTACCTCGCAATGGTTGTTCAAAGCTAGTAGTTTGGTAAATTGGTAATGGTTAATAGATTTTTGTTATTTTTATAAATTATCATATATTATTTTTCATTTTTTAAGGTGTATTCTATTTTTTCATTTTAATATACAATATAAATAAAATAATAAATTATGCATTATATTATTTTTTCATTTCTTAAGGTGTATTTATTTTTTCATGTTTAATATACAATTATAAAAAAAATAAAAATAAAATAATTAATTCAATATTTTAAAATAACTATAAATAAACATAATTACACAAACCATATCATTTTTTTTAAAAATTTAATTTATTATATTTATTTCAAATAAAAATTTCGACAATAGAACTCAAAAGTATGATAACTTCCACAGAGTACAATATACGATTCGGTTTAATATTAACAAACTATACAAAAGCTGCTATCTATATTTAAAATAACTATAAATAAAATAATTACACAAACATATCATTTTTTAAAAATTAATTTATTATATTTTTTATAAAATTAATAGAATTTAAATATAATATAAAATACAAATAGTTGGTAATATAAAAAAATACAAAGTGTATCTATGAAATTAACGATTAAGACTTCTATCAACTGTTAGCTCTTTACAGATAAATTATTAGCTCTAGAAACTAGTTGAATCTAACTCTAAGTTTGTTTTTACATAATTTTATCAATAGAAGTACGAGAATTTATTGCTTACACTAAGTATATAAATATACCTAGTTAGTAATTAATTTTAATTTAAATTAATTTTTTTTTTAAATAACAGACATGCCTTAATTTGTACCGATTGTCATCCTTAAATTGGTTGAATATATAAATTCAATGTAAGGAAATTTAAGTGTGGCCAATGAAATGTTTTAAACTAAAACTGAATTGGACTATAGTGAATTAAATTCTAAAAGTTAAGTAGGAACGTATAGTTTACGATAGATTAAGATATATTTTCTATAAAAAGTAATCGAGTCGATCTGGAATCAATAATTAAATCATGGTCCAGTATGATCTGATTTATTCCATATAGAAAATTAATTAATTTTGGGATCTTGCCAGTTATTTGCTTTTAATGTCTAGCTACAAATTTATATATTTATATATATATATATATCTTTGACTGTTCTATATTTGGCATACTGCCTGAAATTTATAAGGTTAACGATTAAGATTTAAGATCTCTTTGTTGTTGGATATTTGTATTATTTTTCAAATTGTAAAGTTAATGAAATTATTTTTTTCTTTCAATTTTTTATAACAATTTATTTATTTTCCAAAAATTTATACATCATAATTTATTTATGTTTTATTTGATTATTTTAATTTATTTACAAGATTAACGATTTTTCTATATGAGTGTTCTAAAAATATTGAAATAAAATTTATTAATATTCTCAAATTCTCATTGAATTCTTTTAGAATAAAAACAGCAGGAACTGAATTTCCATTTCTTTTTTTAGAAAAAGAAAATACACGTAAATGTTGAATTATGGTCAAAATCGTTAGTTGCTATATCTGATCAAATCCAGCCACTAAAAGGTCAGTTCAAGTTCAAGCTTTAGAGCAACTTTAAATATTGGTTTGTTAAATTGGTCATGCCTAGGTAAGTCTTTCTCGAGATTATAATATTTTTTTTTTTTCCTAATAAATACAAATTAGGGTTAATTTATTCAAATTGCAACCATACAAATAACCAATAGAGGATCATACACGAAACAAACTATCACAAGCAAAGAATACAGTAGAGTTTGTTGTAGCAACTATAACAAATTTGAGAGACTAACAAGATTTATTGAAAAGAAAATTAAAAGGATTAAAAATAATAAAAAGGAAATTACTGACTAAACAAGTCCATCAATAAAACCTCAAAGAACAAATCTAAAAACAACCACTGAAGAAAAAAAAAAAGAAAAAGAAATGGAAAAATGGCATCTCCTTTCTCTTACCCATCAATCCCTTCTCTTTGTTTTTCTTGCAGTCGATCTCGTCTTCTTCCTCTCATACGAAGTGATAATTTCTCATTTTCATTTTTTCAATTTCTTTATTGAAAGGAACTTGCTGCAAAAGAAAAAGAAATGGAAAAATGGCATCTCCTTTCTCTTACCCATCAATCCCTTCTCTTTGTTTTTCTTGCAGTCGATCTCGTCTTCTTCCTCTCATACGAAGTGATAATTTCTCATTTTCATTTTTTCAATTTCTTTATTGAAAGGAACTTGCTGCTTAAAAATAACATGTTTTTATTATGTCCATGAATTAAAGAAGAGCATTCAGGGTTTTAGTTGGGCTAAGTTTCATTATTCTTGTTTTAGGGTATGTTATTGTTCAGTCTGAAATTATTATGGGTCTGATAAGCCTAGGTTTATTAGGAGTGTCTTCGGATAAATGAGTATTTAGTCCAAAAAGAAGGGGATAACGATAAAAAGAGTTCAAGAGGGGGAAAAACAAGGATGAGAGGAACACGAGAGAAATATAAAAAATTATGGATCAGAAAAGAAAGAGAGGCACAAAATAACTTGAATGCGATTAAACAATTCTGTTTATTTGTATAAATTTGTGCATGATTTACAACATTTATTTTTCCTGTTTATAGGGATCATAAAGTGATGCATTGAGAACCTCTAGGTTCCAGGTTCAAGTCTCACCTATATAAACATTTAAGTATAACGTGGATTCTCCCTCTTGTGGGATGTAATGCCCTTTAATGGGTTTGATAATGAGTTGTACTGCTTTTGATGGGCTTTGAGATTAAGACATTGCTTTTGCTAATTCGAATTATATAAAATCGGTCTATTTCCGGCATCATACCCATAATTAGCGCATTCATCCTAGTTAGAAATTTCAGCTTCGTATCAAAGTCACGGTCGATATCGTCACTTCACGGTCGATAATTCGTCCACTCACAATCAAATATCGTCACTATCATCAATATCGTCACTTTGTTAAATTTTGCTTAAAACTTGTCAATAGTTACAGAATGTTTATTTAATAATCTTACATATAGTATCGAATAAAAAAAAAAAAAAAAAAAAAAAAGAGTTGCCCAAAAAAAAAAAAAAAAAAAAAGAGTGCCCTTTCAAGCAAGGCGCACTTTCTAGACACTATGTACAAAAATTCAAAGATAGTCATAAATATATATGGCATTTACAATTTATGAGTTTTATGACCAAAAGACCCCTCTTGGTACTATCTTTAATTTTTATGTAGACCTTTTTCAAGCTTTCAATTCAACCCTTGGTTTAGCCCTAGTTTTTGGACCGATGCCAATAACTGTTTGATTGAGAGCTAAACGATTTAGATAGGCAAGATGAAGAAAATGACAATTGGCTGGAAAAACAGAGAAAGAAAAGGCATTATCGATGAGAGAGAAAGAGGGGTTTGAGGATTGATGTGTAAGATATAGGAATTGTTTCTATTAACTCATTCCTTGAGTTAGTCTAACTTGTTTTCAGATAGTGGGTCCCACTTTTTGTCTATTTTACTTATGGAATTTGAGTCGCTTTAAATTAAGAGTGTTATTATTGTCATCAAAATTCAAAATTAGAGTGTTGGAGAATAAAGTTTATATTGGGGTATAATTAAAATAACCTGCAAAAATTTAGGGGCTTTTAACAATTTAGCCTAAAAGTTATACTGGGATACTTAGATTTTTTACAAAATCTAATCCTATCCATTGGATTTTTATTTAGTTTTATTTTTAATAATTTCCAAACCTCATTTAGAATAAAATATTGGAATTAATCTCTCATTTATTAATCTAATCCAAACCTCATTGAGTGTTTTTTTGTATTTTCTTAATGGGTTTACGTGTTTTAATTTATTAATTTCTCTTATTTTATAGAGTTGTTATTCGTTATTGAAGAGTTTTTTATTTATATTTTTTATTTAATCTTTGTTGGTAGTTTGAGATATAAGATATATAATTGATTGCTTGTGATCGAAGACTTTAGACCTTCAAATTAATATAATTTTCTTTTTTTAATAAATAAAGTTTGGTATTTTAAACTCTTTTAATTGTAAATTACAATAAATTTATGAAAATTAAAGTTCGGAACGATATTACAGAGATGAAAGATTATTTTTTTTTTACATAAAATTTTTTGTATTATTATGATGTATTCAAGTTATACATTGTTTATTAATTAATTGTCAAATTTCTAAAAAAAAAAGTTAAAAGTTAAAAACTAATATTTCGTAAATATTAGTAAATACTTATTTTAGATTTTGTGAAACTTACACAACAGTGCAACTAATTTTCAGCGCCTGGGTTACCCGGATCCGTTTACCCGACCGAACAAAGAAACCAAAAGCTTATTGCTTTTGCTTATTTAAAAAAAATGCTTTCTTGTTTTATCTCTCCCTCTCACTAGAACAAAAAAAATTAGGATATGTCAGCATCCATGGCAATGCAACCCAAAACCAATACCTCTCTAAAACCCTTAAATATGTCCTCCCAAAATCTTCTACTTAGAACCCCAAATCTTTCTTTTAAACCCAAACCCTCTTATTTGAGCATACACTCCTCATCTAGCCTCAAAATTATTCAAAGTGCTCAGAGAGCATTTACCACCCTCATTCTAGCCTCAAATTATTTCAAAGTGTCAGAGGCGCAAACTTTCATTCTTCTGAGCTTGACCCAATTCTTCTCAAGAGAAACACCTTCAGTTAAAGAGGTTTGTTATACACAATTTATTCCATTTTGCAAGGTTCCAATCTTCTTTAAAATTGTCTTCTCTTTTTTTTGTTTTTTTTTTTTCCAGAAGGGGAAAAACAGATTAGTTTTCACGTGCTCCTACCCTTTATTTTTCTGTTTTTTTTTAATACAATTCATAGCTGTTGATTTGGCTCTGAATTGCAATTACCCCATTTATGGGTTTTGGGTGTCTTTGTTGTTTCAGAAGCTTAGAGTGGTCGTGAGCCAATGGTAGAAACCAAGAAGTATTGAAGTTGATTTGGATGCAAAAAAAAATCAGATTGGTATTTGCATTAGACCAAGTTCATTACCAGCTATGGCACAATCCCTTTGAGTTCTTTACTTTACTTCTGCCAAAGGAAGATGCTTTGGGAGCGGCTTAAGTGTTGCTTGAAAAGTGCCTTTGGATATCCAAGAGGCAATGTTATATCCTTCTTAATCAGGCTTACTTGATATCATTCCCAACTAATGTTGGCAGGAAAGTAGGTGGCAATTGATAGTAAGGTTTAATTACACCAATATATTATAAATATTGATTTGGTGGAAGTTAGAAGCAATATGGGTAAGCTTGGTTTTACATGAAATGGTTAGAATAATTAGTGATTTGCCATGTCTTTAGCTCTCACATTGAGTTTTTTCAACTTGCTATATTGGTCTTTGTCAAATTATATGAAATGCGTACCTTATGTCTAAATGGGGATAGTTGTAACTTGCATACTGCATTTGAGGTTAATTGTGCAGAATGCTCTTTGGCGGTTGGCATGTTTATCTCAGTGACTATACAAAGTTTAGAGGCAATACTTGTTTGAGAGTGATATTGTTGGATTTCTTTGCCTTTTCCTTTGTTGCATTGCATTGTTTTGTTGCTTTTATTAGTTCATTTCTGATAGGTTGTTTGGGGAGTGAAGTGTTTCAATGGCTAAAAACAGACCAAGTAGGATTGGTAGTACTAATTAGAAGTTGTCAATGATCCTTCACTGTTAACAATGGTCCTTCAACACAATATTTGGATTTAATATTGGGAATTAAATAACAAAATCAAATTTGGGTAGTTACTATAGCTGTATGTGGGTTTCCTGCCCTTTGGTTATTATTATCATTTGAAATCATTGCTTACTAAAATGGAGGGAATAAAAACAAAGATGTAATACTAAACTGTGTTTGAGAACTAATATCTAACATTTCTCAGTTGGTAAAACCAGTTTTACCTTCCATTCCCACACTTTGTTCAGTCTTCTCTGAATTTGGATGGATTTCCAAGTTGCTTGATGGTTCTGGAAGCTCTTAATCTAGTTGTTTAATAAATAAATGCCTGCTGAATGATACAACAGCAGCAACAACAACAACTACGCTTTAATGCTGAACTAGTTGGGGTCAGTGCATGATTCCTTTGTTTCCATTCGGTTCTATCCATAAATAAGTCCGTGCTAATGTCTAGAAAATGCTTTGCTGAATATTATAATGAGAAAATGCTTGTTGCTAAATAATGCAAGGTTAAAGGTTTTGTCAATGTTAGTGCAGTTATCTCCTATTCTATCTTTCCTCCTAGGCATTTAACTGCAAAAAATGTACAAATTTTGCGAAAATGACATATTAGTATAACAGGAACACATGCACATAGGCAGAGACCAAATTGATTTCACCAGACCACAAAGACCAAATAATTTACCCAAAAATGAAAATAAAGTTTACAACAATGAGAAAAGGTTTAATTTTTGAAGAAAGACACTTCATTCTTTTATTGCAAAACACCATTGAAAAACGTTTGGTGAAATTTTCACTAATTTAATATCTTACCCAATTATCCAAAAATTACAGTAAAAAGATGAAAAGTGAAAATAGAAAAGAGATCTCGTTAGCCATATTCCAACACAAGTTTCTATTGAATAAGGATGGTAATAACGACCAATATTTAAACAAAGAAGGAGAAACTAGAAAGTTGTCCAAGTATGAAATTCCACAAGACAAATAGTTTGGATAAGATTACACGATAAGAAGTTCTTCACCCAACACGGAGGAGTAAAAGAGACAGTCGCTGGCAATCGCTTGGTTTCATTCCTCGAACTCATGCATGTGATCTAATAGATAGTTGGCTGCTAGTTCTTCATTCTTATTGCATGCAAAGAAAACCTCCAATACTATTGCACGATCAAAGCCCATTGCTTCAAGCTGCCAAATTCAGACAGTCAATAAAGACCAAAAAAATTATTAGAGTTCGAAACAGGGTGAAAATCAATTAAAAAGCCCCTATTTGTTTTTAGTTCTTTTTTTGCTTTCAAGACCACTAATGAAATTATCTTGTGGTATCCACACGTTTAGTAGTGGCCTTAGTACTACTTTGAATCCTTACAATCTCTGTATCAGGAGGAGGCGAGTATTCAATCGTTTGTCTTATTTAGGAGGCATATTTAAGTGGAAATCTCTTCATCAATATCAGTAAAACTGCTCTAATTAGAGAGACAGGTCTAAGTATTAGATTTGCAGAATTGCTTAAATCTATTTTTGGGCAACACCCAATGCTTTGGGTACTGTGGTACTTGTACAATAACTACATGTTTAAAAATGTGAACCAAATCACAATTCTAATTGTTAGTTTCACTCAGATCAATCATTGTAAATTTTTTTACTTTTATCGTTAATGTCGAGAATATTTCAACTTCATATTTAATACTCATTTGAAAATATTTGAATCTCAGTATTGAAACTAAACATCTTTTCACAATTTATGTATTAAAAATTTAAAAATAGAAATTTGTCCAGACTCCATATTGAATCTAAAACCAAGAAAAAACAAAATTTCCACTCCTCTCTCATTAGCGCCTCCATGCTCTCCTATTTCTCATTGATAAAGGCCTCATTAGCCTTGAATGTTGTGGATTTAAATACTCCACCAAGTCTTTTTTTTTTTTTTTATATGTGCCTTTCAAACTGGATTTTCCTCCCTTTTTTATGGCATCAGCATGAGATTTCTGTAGAATCTACTCTGGAGATCTGTGTGGAGTCTTATCCTCATCCTCATCTGAGTCATATCCCTCTGCAACTGCATTTGAATATTCAAAGTTTTTGATTTAATTTCTAGGAAAAGTGAGCTTTTTTATAAGAATTAAAATCTTGGAGGTTTGGTGATAGTAAGTTCCGTTCAGAATCCGAACATAAAGCAATGGTGTTCTATCTGTTACCCCAGGCTTGTTTTTGCTGTCTTCCAATTCTTTCCTGATACGATCTTCATTTTCTGATTCAGAACAGGTGTTGTTTGTCAGATGGATAGATTTTTCCAAATATTGATTTGTTATCGATTTTTTCATGCATCTAAATATCCATATCTTCCTTGGTTACTAGAACCACCATGATCATCTTGATCCATGTCCAGAGATTTAGGTCTTGACAGTTCAACGGCAACTCTTGCAGCTGCTGCTGCATAAGCTGCAGATTCGAAGGCCTCAAGAGCAGCGGCAGCTACATCTCTATATTTCTTCTTTGGTTTTAATGATGCAGATAACTTCTCATCAGGCATCAACTCCTCAGTCAAAACATAGGTTTCATCTTCAGATTCGGTATCATACCACTTAGCTCCTGATTTATAGGATTCTTGCCACTTCTGCTTCTGGACTGCTTCCCGTTTCTCCTGAAATCAGCATTAATGGTTTATATATATATATAATATGTTTCTTGTAGACTGCATCTTTTTATGAGTCTGTCTGGCAATGTTGCAAAAAGAATTATATTGACAATGTTGGTTAAAGGTCATTGAAAATTTATGTAAGATGAATTCTACATTTTCTGCTCATGAATATTTCAAAATATATAATAGCACTTTTAAAATAATACCTTTTAGAAAAATATTAAACAGATCCTAATGTTAAATAGACCTTTTTACCCAAGGTAGTCTTTTTTTTTTTTCGGTCAAACAAACTTTGTGTAATTACAACAATTTTCCTACCTCAACAGCAGGCTCATCTTCCACCAAATGCAAAACTATACCATTCTCAGAAGCAGTGTACTGAAGAACTTTCAATCTGCTTTCCAAGCTTGGCCGTCGGGTCGAGAGCTTCTGTATAATCTGAAAACCAAGAACCAGCAATGATGACAGGAAACATACATCACAGAAAATAAAGAACTGAAGTCTACCAAAATTAAAACACTTTACCTTAGGACTCACTCCACAATTATTTCGCAACTCAACGGCACGAGCAGCAAATTCTTTCCCAAATCTTGTTACAAAAGTCCAACGAAGCTGTTGCAGTTCTGGAAATTCTGCACATCTTGAAGATGCAAATATCAAACTCGAAATCGCCTCTTTAAGCTCTTCATGACACTCCCTATGTACGCATAATAATCCCGAATTCAAGAACAAGAAGAAGAATTTGCATAAATAAGCAAAATTCAAGAAAGTAGACGAAATAAACCTGTCTTTTTTAAGGAGCATAACCCTATCTAAGAGAAGGTAGCAATAATCCTCAATCATAGTAAAAACATCCATCATATTCTGTTCCTTGATCACATGCTCAGCCTATACATCAAACAAAACAATATTATAAAACCAACCCAAAAATCTATTAACATGGTACGAAAAGAAAAAGAAAGATTAAAAAAATTAATTAATTACACGAATAAGAGCTCGTTCTTGATGACCAAGTTTCAAGAGCTCAGCAACATCAAATTTTGCATGAGAATAAAGAACTTGTCTCTGGTTCTTGAAAATGGTAGCCCTAGCAATTGCAAGTTTTGTAAGAGTCTTGAGTTTTGATGTCTTCAACTTCCTTCCAAGAACAAAATTCAATAGAGCCTCCATTTTTCTTTTCTTTTTTTCTAAAAATTTTCTCTGTATGTGTCTGCTTATTAATTAAGCACGCCACAGAGAGAGAGCCTGAAGAAAAGCTATACATATTAATTTCATGAAAATCACTTTTATATAATATTGAATATAACAAAAATGTGAGTTGGAGCTCAGCTGGCAATCTGTGATGATGGTGAATCACAGTCACATGCCACGTGTTGTCTTGTAATTAGAAGCACCTGGTGTTGGTAAGTGACAGGCGGGTTAGGACATAATATATCCTGCAATTAGCATTGAAGAGGACAAGTATTTTTGATTAAACTATTAACGGCTTTCATAGTGATTGACGTATAGCAAGAAATCCTCCAAAAGAACCTTTTATATGAAGATGAAGGAGCATAACTTGTCACACATGCTTTCTAGTTTTCCTTGTGAGAGTGACTGACGACAACTTTAATACGCAACTAATTAACTTAATTATATAATTTCTTTGTTCATCCAAAAGATCTTCGTAGGATAAAGACTTCGGTACGTAAAAAAAAAAAAAAAATTTAAGATACATATATGATAAAAATAGCGAATAATCTCAAAATAAGATTAATTACATATCAAAAAATATATAAATAAATTTATTATTTAAAAAGAAAAATAAGAAAATGTTTCACTTCTCAACTAAGACTGAATAGCTACGTGTTTGATTGCAAAACCCTAATATTAATCACTAAGAAAACGAGTGAAGGAATGGTAGATTATATATCTTGTGATAGAAGGTAGCTTTATAGATTCGCCTTTTAGACATGTTAATGTTTCACATTACCAGATTAAGTTGATGGGAAAAATAAAAAAATTGAATGAGACAAATAGAATCTTTATAATTTTAACATTTTTGGATTTTAGACCTGATTTATATAGATCTGGCCATCGATTTAGTTTAGGTTATAATCAGATTTTGAAATTAGCCTAAAAGATTAGATTACATTTGAATCTATTAAGATAATTTGATTTTCAAATTAGATTGAAATTAAGAGGATCTCAGACTAATTCTGATTTTAATTTTGGAAATTGAATTTGACTGAAAGTAGTGGAACAATCGAAAACGTTTTGTAACTAGAATTGACCTAAATTAAAATCAAAGATAGGTTTATATCAGTTTTGATTTCAAAACTCTGAAGTTTGAATTCATCGATTCAATAAGTTGAAACCGACAATTCATTGAACGAGCTAGAGCTAGATATATAAATAAGTCAGCTTCTGTCGTTTTATTAGTTTCACCTCTCATCCAATAAAAATCAAATCATATTATTCAAAATGACTTTTACTTTAGTCGAAATTAGAAAGGACTAAAGTTTCATTTGATTCAGCGGCTCATTCTAATTGATAGCTGATAGCAAGATTGTTGATATCCAGTAGGTGATAGTTCATAGTGATTAGCTTATTATATAAAATTTTGGTAAGCAATTGTTGTTAAAAAAATAAAATGACCATTAACGGCATAATTGTTTTTATATATTATAATGTATATATATTTTTTAAAATTTATAAGGTAAATATATTATTTTTTTATTTTCATGTATTATATTAAGAAAAGTATTAATTAGATTTTTAAAATAATATTTAAGAAAAAAATTTTATTTTTAGATAACTATGGTAATAAGAACTTAAAAATTAGGAGAGTTGCAGAATTAGCCATCAACATCTAATGGAAACACAGTCCTCTGCTATCAAGAAATGTTTGAAATTTATAAGCTCATATTTATTTTCTCAAGGTACTATTTTCTTGGACAATTGATTGAAAGTTCTGTTAAGGACGTTTGAAGTTAGATAATTGATTGACAATATTGTGAAAATAAATGTAGAAGAAGAATGGTGTGAAAATAAACATAATATGAATGACTTCTGTAAACTATTTTATATTATATATTGAAAAATATGAATGTGATGAATAATTAAAATAAATAAATAAAAGTGATAAACTAACAATTTTGCACGTCCTTATGATTATTAAATTATAAATAGTGAGGAAGCAAAACTCACCTACAATATATATAACAAATTAGCTAAAGAAGATTAATTGTGCCTAATTAAAGGTAGCTCTGCCCTACAAGCTTAGGGTTATGACCACATGGACCATGACTTGTAAAAAGCTAACAGTATACTAATGCAAGAAAAAGAAAACCATAAAGGGTCTTATGGCTTTCTGCTTGTCTTTACAAGCAAATTGAAATTGTCAAATGGCAAAATAGATATTGAATAGCAATTTGCAAATTAATGTTTGTGAAACTTTTACTTCTTTCCCTTTTAAGCATTATAAATTTTTCGGTCAAAAGTGCCCTATCTAGTTGGGGCACGTACATAGAGATAAAGAGTAAAGCTTCTAAACAACACTCATCTTTTATATCCAAGGAATGGGAGTATCATTAAGGAACTCTTAACAGCTCCAGAAATTGGAAACTAATAAAAGAACCAAAAACCTTATGACCATCACTTAATCGTAGTATTCCTAGTATGAAAGCCACAGCAGCTATACACCATTTTCCAACCCAAACCCCAGTTTCTCTTCTTTCCTTTTCCTTTTCCTTTCCCTTCCCCCTCTCTCTCTCTCCTCCTAGGCATTTTAACTGCAAAAAATGTACAAATTTTGCGAAAATGACATATTAGTATAACAGGAACACATGCACATAGGCAGAGACCAAATTGATTTCACCAGACCACAAAGACCAAATAATTTACCCAAAAATGAAAATAAAGTTTACAACAATGAGAATAGGTTTAATTTTTGAAAAAAGACACTTCATTCTTATATTGCAAAACACCATTGAAAAACGTTTGGGGAAATTTTCACTAATTTAATATCTTACCCAATTATCCAAAAATTACAGTAAAAAGATGAAAAGTGAAATTAGAAAAGAGATCTCGTTAGCCATATTCCAACACAAGTTTCTATTAAATAAGGATGGTAATAACGACCAATATTTAAACAAAGAAAGGAGAAACTAGAAAGGGCTATTTTTGTCCAAGTATAAAATTCCACAAGACAAATAGTTGGGATAAGATTACACGATAGGAAGTTCTTCACCCAACACGGAGGAGTAAAAGAGACAGTCGCTGGCAATCGCTTGGTTTCATTCCTCGAACTCATGCATGTGATCTAATAGATAGTTGGCTGCTAGTTCTTCATTCTTATTGCATGCAAAGAAAACCTCCAATACTATTGCACGATCAAAGCCCATTGCTTCAAGCTGCCAAATTCAGACAGTCAATAAAGACCAAAAAAATTATTAGAGTTCGAAACAGGGTGAAAATCAATTAAAAAGCCCCTATTTGTTTCTTGGTTTCCATTCCTCGCAACTCATGCATTTGATCTAATAGGATAGTTGGCTGCTATTCTTCATTCTTATTGCCATGCAAAAGGAAACCCTCTCCAATTACTTATTGCACGATAACAAAGGCCCATTGCTTCAAAGCTGAAAGCCCATTGCTTCAAGCTGCCAAATTCAGACAGTCAATAAAGACCAAAAAAATTATTAGAGTTCGAAACAGGGTGAAAATCAATTAAAAAGCCCCTATTTGTTTTTAGTTCTTTTTTTGCTTTCAAGACCACTAAATGAAAATTAAAAAAAAAAAAAATACATTTGGTATTATCGAGTACTAATTTGATAACAACAAATATAATATTTGTTCAAATATAGGGTGACTTGCTAAGAGACAATGCCGCTAAAGTAATTTTACCATGTCACCTAGATGGAACCAACAAAACTTTTGGATAAGTAACAGGCAGTCATGAACTTACCCGCTCAATTGCTTCGCGCTCCTCAGGGGTAACAGTCACAGCCTGAGGCATTGCTGAGGCCAACTGGCCAAGGACGTTCCTAGTTACCCATAGAATTAAGTAATAATTAGTATTTACAGGGAAGAAAAACTCAATAAAAGATTCCAAGAAACAAGATTCATCTCACCCCTCTCCTTCAACCGGTTCATTTATCAAGCGCAAGAAGTCAGCTTGATGCTCTTGAATGAGCCGCATAAGATGTGGATTTTGCTTCCCCAGCTCCTGAAGCATAGGCTGCAATAAATGACTAACATTATTGGTAAATGACTAACATTATTGGTCATCCAATCGGCTAGTATAAAAGTCAACATCTGCCAACAGAAGAAACAATCAAATGAATCATCAAAACAAGAATTACCTGCAGGATTTGGGGGTTAGCTTGCACCATGGTCCGCAACGCTTGGAACTGCCAGAATAGTTAAACTGCCAGAATAGTTAAAGCAGTTCAGAGATCCCAAAGCAATTAATCTTATTAGAATAAATCCAAGTTTAACATCTTAAATACCTGTTGACTGTTACGCAAAAAATCCAAGGTGCCTGCACTAGCATTGGAACCCATACTGGGAAGGCCCTGATTGCATAACATTATATTCATCACTTAACAACTCCATAGTAGGGCTTTAAAGTTACAAAATCAAGTACATACCTGTGGAAATAGATCTAGAGGGTTTGCATTCGGCCCACCACTAGTAGGTACTGCTGGCTGTTCAGCCTGGGCTGGTGTATTTGCTGCCTGTGCACTAGCAGGAATTTGGGCAACAGGTTGAACCTCAGCTTGCTCAGGGATGCCCTGACATCACATTTTAAAATGATCATAGGATTACCAGTAGAACACAGGCAATTTATCTATGTATCAGAAAAATAATAGAAACAAATACAAGTACAATGATGATTTTATGCCTTCCCTAGAAAAGGGGAAACAGAAAAAGCTTAAGATGAAAAACTAACAACAGATTCAATATTTAAGCTTGAAATGACAAACAATGTCCAATTAAGCATATTCAACAGGTCACATTTAAGGGCCCTAGTTGATCCAGAACTTACAGAGTAAAGATATTCAACAGCCCTTTCAGGGTTGTTATATGCAGCACGTAAAGCACGCACAACAGTTTCACGGGTCCAACTTCCTCCACCCATATCAAGTATCTGTTGAATAGTAGCCTCTAAATTATTTCCTGCAACAAGATTTGATGCTGCTTGTCCATACACGTCTGATTCTGAACTGCTTCAACACCAAGAAATGAGAAATAAAATATAAACAATGAACATGAAAATTTTAAGGGCAAGATGATCATGCGTTTTTAACATCAAACATCATGGCAGGCCACTGAAAGATGGTTCTGTAAGAACAGAATACTTGCTCCCACAAGGTTCATTTGAAATTGTATATGGACCCATAATAGAACAGAATAATCTAAAACTAGCACAAGAAATACTCACGAAACAGGATTAGCTACAGCTGGTATAGATTCAGCAGCGGAAGGTGGACTGCAAAATTCAGAGTTCAGAAAATGATTGAAGTAATGTCATAGAGAATGCAATCTTCTTTTGCACAAAAAAGAAGAAGAAACCCAGCATTTAAAGAAAAGTAGAAAATGAATAAAGATAACAAATTCAAAACCCACGGTGCTGGAGTTGGAGCAGGAGCTTCGGTAGTTGTTGAAGGCTGTGTTGCATGAGAAGGCAAAGAACTTGCAGGTTGTGCCTGCACATGCAAGCAGGTGTGTTAAAATGGCCTTCAGATGGCAATGCATAGCAAGATTTCAGGTCATATTGCCAACTAAGTAGGAAAGCAATGGATATATTGTCACAATATTTTTGCTTGAAAAAAAATGGCAAAACAATCATGGTAGAAGGCATGACAAAGTTAACTATAATAAGGTATCTACTATTTCGCACAATCAAAAGGCATCAAATAACTGGATATTTGTTCATGCAATCATATCCAAACACATGCACATTAAAAGTATTGAATGTACAACTATTATTCGGAAACCTATGACAATATGGGAAGGTACTATTATTATAAAACTCACCTATTACATATGCATTCAATCCCATTCTAAAAACCCTTAAAAGGATAAAAGAAAAAAGGGAAGGAGTAGCCATCCTAGACAAAGTAATGCCCCTTGTATACCACGTTCCTCCTAGATGAGCACTAATCTCTTGCAATCTTTAATTTTCTCATACTAAAATAATGGTGCTGCACTAAAATAATTTATCTAATGACTAGGCTCAAAAATAATTTGCACATTATTTAAGGTATACATATATTATGGCATAACTATACATTAAATAAAAGTAATAAAGGAAAGCCATACAAGCATATAAGCTGAGACATATTTACAATATCTAAAAGCATCAAAAATTATTTTTCTAAATTAATCAAAATAGCCATAGTAATAGTACATCAGTAAAAAAAAATTTCAGGCATGATGTTTGTCAAGTACAACTGAACAAATAATTTTGCAGGCCAAAGCATCCATGTTAGATTTCATCAACCAATGCAGTTTTCCTCACTCATTATAATTATGCCAGAAACATCATCCAAAAAAAGTAAATTTAGGTGGCCCCAACTAAACTGGAAATTAAAAAGCGTAATTGGATTAAATATTTTCTACATACTTGGCTTGGAGGTCCAGTTGAAGCAGCTGATGTTCCACCAGATGAAACCTTGCTCTACAGTACACATGTTCCAGCATTTGTGAATCAGATACTAGATTTTGGATAATGTCAGGCTTTACAATCTTAATAATAACATTATTGCAATTGAAAGAAAATCCTCTCATTCCCTCTGCCGCTATCATTAGTGGAAAAAAAATTCAGATAAAGGAACATAGCGAACACACCTTGCTTAACATAATGACAATAAAACTATTTTCAGCAACTTTATTTTCCTCCAGTGTTGTGTCATCCTTAAGAACTTTCCCCTGATAAATCAGCATCTGCTTTGCAGCAGGGTATACGTCTGCACCCTGTACAGTCTCTATAGCTTTCTTTACATCGGCAACCTGAATTTCACCATTGACATTATTGTTGTTCTCAGTCTCAAAAAAAAAAAAAAAAAAAAAAAAAAAAAAAAAAAAAAAAAAAAAAAAAAAAAAAAAAAAAAAAAAAAAAAAAAAAAAAAAAAAAAAGGAAAGTGACATCATATGAGAGAACTTCCCAAAAAAAAAATCAACAAACCCAATAGCAAGTAGCTGTGCCAATAGTTCAATAAGGTGACAATGTTCAACGTATACATTCACAAAGGATCTTATGAAGCTGTAACAATGTAACAAACGTGAAAGCAACAAAAACTACAAGTTCACAACCAAAAATCTGGCAATGCCAAATGCATACACATAGTACAACAACAAGCAAATAAACACGCACAGGAACAAGCAAGCAAACAGCTCGAGACAATAGATTCTTCTCATTTTTTCTTCTTGTCATAGAAGAACTCATCAATTCCCAATAATTCAAGACTTTGATAATTTTAGCCAAAATTTTCATTTCTGTCCTTTTATTTACGATATGAACTTGTCTCTCTTTGGTCCATTCCACCACTAACTGATTCAAGCTCCTATTGCACGACATACTTAAACGATTTGGACTAACTACATTCATTTATTTCCCAGATATAGTCTCAGAACTTATAACTGTTGAAATATTAGAGACAGATATGGGAGAAAGATTTCTATATTTCTGCTTTGAATAATGTGATCACATCTAACCTATTTAAACACACAAAAGTTTCTTCTAAATAGGCTATACAAAGATATTCTAGATTATAGTCAACAATAACTTTACAGAAGTCCAATGCACAAATTATTAAACCAAAACTTTGTATGGTAACCCCAACACAGAACTCACTCTCCCTCCATATGACAAGTAATTCTGAATCAATACCACAACAAAAGATATAATCCACACTAATTACAGAAATTAAGGAAGTAGCATACACACAACACACAATCACAATCAGTACATTCAATCGACGAAATAAATCCCTAAACACATAATTATCAATCTATAATCAGGATAACTAACATAAAAATCGAGAACTTGTCAAATTAATAAATTATACCCTATCGTCGGGTTTAACTTCGATTTCGAAGTTAGTACCCTTCAAAGTCTTAACAAAAACCTTCATCTTCTTTTTAAAGTTTCCTCGTCCGACCGATCCCGAGTCTCCGATGCCCGGCCGCCGGCGGTAAAGCCTTTTGAAGTTGATGGAGAGGCACCGATATAGTAAATACTAGTTATTATAGGTACGACAGCCCAAAAGCCTAGAAAAGACGAAGTCACTAACAGTTTAAAAGCTGGGGCTGGGTTATGAACGGAGAATACGGAATGATCAAGTAAGTAACAGTGACCTTTAAATATAAGGCATGCGGTACGTGTCTTGCTGCTATTGGATGAAATATTCATCTAAGGGGAATTGGGATTGGAATTAACCGATTTAACCCAGGGGTTAAGTTTTAAGGGCCGTTTGTTTAGTTTAACTCTGGGAGCTTGCAATGGTTGGTTAACTAATAAATTTTGGTTATTTGATAAATTTTGATAATAATTATTGTTGAAATATAGGATGATTATTGAGAATATAATTATTTGTAAAATTATATTTTTTTAGTTTAAAAAAAATTATATTTTTATTTTTTAAGGGGTATCTTATTTGTCATTTTATTATACGATAGAAATAAAAATATTAATTAAATTATCTATCTATATCTATATATACTAGTGTTAAAACCCGCACGATACACATGACAATATTAAATGATGGATTATTCTTTTATAGCATCATTCAAAAATAGTAAATTATTCTTTTATAGCATCATTCAAAAATAGTAAAATTATATAATAAAATGATAAATTGTATCTCATTGAGATATGCTGAAAAGTTGCAACGCTAATATATACTCACTTTAAGTATCCTGCGAAATCTTTTACAAGGTATGCAATAGTAAAAGTCATATATGATATGACCTACATTAAAAAATGCATAAACATTATTGATATATGTTTCAATACTGATAATAATTTTGAGAATTTAACTAATTATATTGAATAACAAATTAAATATTTTTTTATTTTATGTTTATGATTTATTATTAATGATTGTTTATTTACTTAAAATATTAATGTATTACTTATTTGGTGTAGTGTGTCATAAGCGTGTGAATATTCTATTTTTTAAAAAATTATCTTATCATATACGTTCTCGTATTTCGTGTACCGTGTTTATGCAACCTTATTCTTGGTATATGAGACTACTCCATACACTAAGCTAATCAACTAAGGTTTCATTTTATTACCAATAAAAATTGAAGTATTTTTTTTAATTTGTTTTTCTGTCATTGAAATAAGAAATTAAGTATTTTTATTTTATGTTCATAATTAATTTTAAATTATTGTTTATTTATTTGAAATATTAATATATTACTTATTTAATGTAGTATGTCCGAAGTGTGTAGATATTCCTACCTTTTTTAAAAATTATTGTATCCCGTGTATCCTCGTCTCGTGCCCCGTGTCCGCAACCTAACTTCTAGTATATGAGACTACTCCATACAACAAGCTAATCAACCAAAGTTTTTTCTTATTACCAACAAAAAATGAAGTGTTTTTTTTTTAATTTGTTTTAATGACATTGAAATAAGAAATCAAGCATATTTTATCTTCATGATTTATTATAAATAATTATTTATTTATTTGAAATAATAATGTATTACTTATTTAATGTGTAGTATGTTCTAAGAGTGTGGGTGTCATACTTGTTTAAAAATTATTTTATCTTATATGTTTCCATATCTCATGTCCTATGTCCGTGCAACTTAGCTCCTGATATTTAAAGACTACTCCATACACCAAGCTAATCAACCGATGTTTTTTTTAATTTATTTTTGTATCGTTGAATTAAGGAATTAAGTATTTTTTTTTTTAGATTTATGATTTATTATAAAAGATTATTTATTTATTTAAAATATTAATGTATTATTTATTTAATGTATTGTGTCCTAAGGGTGTAGATATCCTACCTTTTTTAAAAATTATCGTATTTTAAAAAAATTGTATCGTTAACTCATACGTTCTTTGTAAAATTCGTGTCTCGTGTTCGTACAACTTAGCTCATGTTATATGAGACTTACTTCAATACACCAAGCTTAATTCAACCTAAGGCTTTTTTTCATCTACAATACCGCGCGAGCCGTTGGAGCGACTGCTTAGAGGAATATTGCATGCTACTTCGGAGTATTGTCAGATTCTTAACAGCTGAGTTCGATCGCCAGCGCACACACTCACCGGCCTCTTACGGAGAACGATGATCCAACTGTTATCAACTTATCCTAAGTCTAAATACAAGAAAAAATAACACAAAACCAATTATACAAAATAATAAAAAATGAAGCGTTTTTTGTAAATTTTTTGTGTCATTGAAATAAAAAATTAATTTTTTATTTTATATTTATAATTTATTATAAATGCATTGTTTATTTATTTTGAAATATTTAATATATTATTTATTTAATTTACTAAATGTATCGTAAACATGTTGAATGTCTACTTTTAAAAAATTATATGCATCCGTACATTCCCTATTAAAAAGAGAGTTGGGAAAATGTTAAACTATAAAATGGCAAAAAATAAAAAATAAAAAGCCTGTTTAAGTATATATTATTGTTGGCTCCCTACTTATAAAACATTTGAAATATTAATATATTATTTATTTAATATAATGTATCTTAAACATGTGAATGTCCTACTTTTAAAAATTATTGCATCCGTACATTCCCTTATAAAAAGAGAGTTGGGAAAATGTTAAAATATAAAAATGAAAAATAAAAAAATAAAAAGCTGTAAGTATATATTATTGTTGGTCCCTACTTATAAAACATAAAGATCTAGTTTAATTAATTTTGTAAAAAACGTTTGTGATAATTAATTGTTGGTCAAAATTTAATTATTGGTCCCTACTATTCCTATTTTTTGTTTTTTAATTTTTAATAATTAATCAAATTTGTTGGTCCCTACTGTTCCTCACACTTGTTAATTTGAAAGGCTTACACTTGACTTCTATATAATACAAACTGCTCTACTTTTATATACTTTATATATTATTATTATTATTATTATATATGAAAGCTGAAAGAGAAAGTTCATCGCATTCTTTTGTTCAACATTTTATTTTTATTTTTTAGAGAATTTTAAGTTTTTTCCTTTTTTATATATTTTGATTGACCAACTTAATTAATTTTTTCAATTTAATAGTATATAACATTGATATTGTGATAATTTTTGAAATCTAATATAATCTAATCATCTAATCTAATACAGCTAAAACTCTAATCATCTAATCTAATATAAAGTAAACTCTAGAATATAGCTAGGTTTATTTGAATTTGAATACATATTATATATAATCCCACATTCCCAGCTCCTCCACAACTAATTGACAATGTAATTTTCAACTGCGCAATACATAGATGAACTAGAGACAGAGAGATCATTTCTTATTCAACAATGTAGACATCTAAAGACAGAAAGATCGTCTTGCTTCTTCAACAATGTAGAAGATCCTTCCTGTAGTAACAACACCAAAGAACAGTAAAAACTCAACTTATCTCAATGCTTTCACTCTAAAATTTCTTAATATATATATATATATATATATTATATTGTTGAATTGAGATCGAATGCAGATAGTAATAATGTCAAGCCAAGAATAGAGATCATTTATAATATAAGAATGCAAATTTAAAATGAAATATTATAGTAATAGTAATGATGTGATATATGGATATTGATATATATGATGTGATGACGGCGGATGTGATATTTAATTAGTATTGGTCGCCCATGGATTAAGCTGTGATTATATTGATTGATTTGTGACTTTAAATAAATTAGATAATCAAATTTTTTGGGAGAGAGACTACCGGATTTTGGGAAGAATAATTAGAATAAAACAAATAAATTTAACAAGCCATAATAGCTAAAGCAAGTTACAATTATTATAGTGGATTAAAGTAACAATTTCAAATCACACTAAATAAGATAAATTAGAAACTTATTACTAAAACTCTAGATTTGTAAATTTTTATTTAAAAATCTCTTTTTCTTTTACATCTCTATAGAGTATTAGGAGAAAATCCTTCATAGTCGATAAAAATATGAGAATGCTAACGAAGAGTGAACAAAGCTAGATCATATGAGTAGTGTTAGATAATTCATATCATCCATCTGCATTTTTCATTTATACATATACAACTTAATGTTATATATGTATTACTTGGTAAATTGTTATTCGTAATGGACAATGTCGCTAATGAACATTGTTTGATTAGTTGTGGCGTGCTACATATATGCTTTATTTGTATGGAGTTGAAATGAAGTGGGTCATTGATGGATTTGTGAGGGTCGTTTCGTCTATGATACCATCGGCCATGTATGGGGAGATCGGCATCCCTGTGTGTATATGATGAAATATGAAATGAATGATATTGAAAACCACATGGTGGCCTCTTGTTGGTATGAAAAAGAAAATAAAGTAAAAATAAAATGAGACGGCTGGTCAAGTCAAGTTGAGATCGGTCAGTCATGTAAGGGGATTGACTCCCTGTTGCACATGTGATGAGAGGGCAACAATGTGTGAGGACAGCTCGTTGGGGGTTTTAGTGACGCCATTGATCAATCTCCACTTGATGTGATTATGTTAATGTGTTAATACTTATGATTGTTATTGCAATGTATTTGTGTGATCGATTGCATGATTATATAATTAGTCAGAGAACTAGATTGACTTACATACACATTTGTATGATTGTGTGAGATGAGAGGGGTTATCTACTCTATTTACTAAGTTTAGGCGCTTACCCTTACTTTAGTATTTTCTTTTAGGCTACAGGTCTTCCAATAACTCATTACCCTCTGTCACCAGACGTCTAGAAGAAACCTTGATAAATATTTTGAAATTTTTAAGTTCTTAGAATGTTTCGCAATTACAATAGTCATGTATAATAAAATTAGAAATTATTTATGTATTACTTATTAAAGTTTCTATTATGTAATGTATCTATATGACCTAGAGAATTTTGAAATCAAATTAATATTGAATATGATGATATGGGCCAAGTGAGTCGAGACTTATGATATTTGAATGTTGATGATATTGGGTATAAGGCCGTTTCTATTGAATAGAAAATTTGTTTGGTATGTATTTAGCTTATTACGGGCTTTAATGGCTTTAAGTCTAAGTAGGTCCTAGTGCCGGTTCAGCCCAAAGTAACGGGTTATGACACATAAAAAATGAAAACTAACTAAAATATAAAGTTAATTGTCATTAAGAATTGAATTCAAGTCTATGGGCTTGAGCAGCAGAGTTATTACCACCAAGTTAAAAGTAAGTTAATACATCTAGCACATCCACAATTTTTATAGAAGTCAGGGGGGGGGGGGGGGGGGGCCCCTTACCCCCCAATTACATTCATAGCACATCCACACATTTTTATAGAAGTCAGGGGGGGGGGGGGGGGGGGGGCGGTGCCCCTTACCCCCCTGGCTCTGTCACTGAGTCTAATATTAGGGCGAGTTAAGATCATGCTTACAAGCTCAGCAACCCAACCAACCTTACTTCTCGAATGTGGAATTTGTTAAAAAGACACTACCGTCCCATTTTCCTCCCTTGAGCATTGAGTTGAGTATGGTCTACGATTATGAATAACATTATGGCAAAACTGATGAGTAAGAGAATGAATTGAATTGAATTGAATTGAATGTCCAATTTCAGATTTCACTCCACCCAATTTTGGTGACTATGAGGCGTAGTGGCACTGGATGGAAATTACACTTAATCTTCTAGTTAAGGAATGGTACCACAATAGCACATCCAATGATCTCAGTTACTGGGGACTTGACTACACTCCCCGTACTGCCTACCAGAGTTATGTTCATGGCGTTTGCCTTAGATACTTTGGACCGGGCTAAGTTACCCATCGAAACTTTTGGTTTAACAATTTGTGTATTGGACTTCTGTAAAGTTATTGTTGACTATAATCTAGAATATCTTTGTATTTTGTTCTTTGAAAGTGTAAAAAATGGAGAGGGGGCAGTGGACGTAAGGGATTTAAAATATGATGGTATGGCAGTGTATTTAAAAATATGACGGTAAAATAGTTATTTTGGATAAAATATAGGGTAAGATTATAATTTTCCAATTAATAAACTTTTTCTTTTTTCTTTTTTTATCCTCTTCGTTTTTTCAAAGAGAAACAAACTAGCTGCTTTCAGACTCGATTAATTTCAACCCAAAGCTCTACGAGGTAAGAAATTTCTATTATTCATCTTTTATCATTTCCGGTGTTCTTTTGGTTTCCTATTCCTTTTCTTTTCCGTATCTCTGAATCACACTTATTTCATTTCAATTCTGTCAATGATTGACTGTAATTCGTTTGTTACCTGTTTTCCAGCTTGTCTTCGATAAAATGACGGACTGATTGAGTTGATGTTAGTTTATAGTTCTTTTAGTTCTTGGATCGCTTTCATTGTCAACTCAGATAGCTATTAACGAGCTTACAATTTTGAAGTTTCAGAGTTAATGCTTGCTAGACATTGTATTTGGTAGTATCATTTTGAGGTAAATCAGATAATTTAGGTCAGGAAGAGTTAATTGATTAAGAATCAACAGCTATGGATTTTTCCTTTTACTACCTGTAAGACGGATGGAAACAATAGCAGATGAACTTGAGGGTTTGGGAGAGATTGTATGGAATCTCAAGATGTATTTTCGTTGCCAAAAATCTGCAGTTATGAATTTTTGATATTATTAAATGAAACAAATTAGTATAACTTAGAAAATTAGGAAAGTCACATGCTTTATAATAAACGTGCTAAACTTTATGTTTACATTTTTTTGCCTCTGAACAAAAAAGACATTTATTTTAGTAAAATTGGAAACATTAAATGTCTGTTTGGTTTGCTTTGGAATGTGGTCTAAAGTTTTGTTGGTTCCTGAAATTGCATCCGCAGTTAGCTGAAACTGAGACTTCTAATCAGTATGGCCTGCATTACATAATCCTAGTGCAGTCGGTTGCGAAGCTTTGTTGAGTTGTTAGCATGTCTCTTTGTGATTTTTACAACATTTCCTTTGTTGTTATTATGGTTTGCTCTTAGTTACTTGGTGCTGTCTTTTTAAGCGCCGTTCTCAGATTTTTGATAAAGATGGTTTCTTGATGTTCATTTGAATCAGGTGGGACTATAGAGAAATACGAAAATGGAAAAGAAGGGGAAAAAGAAGATTGTAAAAGACAAAGTAGATGTTTCTAGCCATGATGATGATCTATGCTGGTGGTTTGTTCACAAAGGAATCGAATCTTCATTCCTCTCTATTGCTGTGTTTGGGTTGTTAGTTCGCGTGGCTATGTCAGTCCATCCGTACTCTGGCGCTGGTACTCCACCCGAGTTTGGTGACTATGAGGCGCAGCGGCACTGGATGGAAATTACACTTAATCTTCCAGTTAAGGAATGGTACCACAATAGCACATCCAATGATCTCAGTTACTGGGGACTTGACTACCCTCCCCTCACTGCCTACCAGAGTTATGTTCATGGCGTTTTCCTTAGATACTTTGAACCTGGCTCGGTGTCTCTTTTTACATCCCGTGGTTACGAGTCCTATCTTGGGTGGGCATCATAGTACTTCAGTTACTATTCTTTCCCCTTTTGTCAAATCCTCCATTCTATTCTGAACTGAATGTTTACTTCTGCTTTTGTGCTTTTAATTTTTCTGTGCTTTTCTTTGCAGGAAACTTCTCATGAGATGGACAGTCTTATCCTCTGATGCACTGATCTTTTTTCCTGCTATTTTTTATTTTATTCTTGTGTATTATCGCAATTGTTCAAGTGGACGTAAAAGTGATGTAGCATGGCACATAGCCATTGTTCTCATCAATCCATGTTTGATCTTAATTGACCATGGTCATTTTCAGGTATTACAAACTTCTGCTTGCTTATTTTCTTCTTCACACCTACCTTGTTATTGAATCGTGTTGTAGTATAGTATACCTTTTACCATCCTTATAGTATACCTTTTACCACCCTTAGATGCTTCTGTTTCAGTATAACTGTATCAGCTTGGGCCTCACTTTAGGAGCCGTTGCTGCTGTTCTCTCTCAGAAAAACCTTGTGGCTGCTGTCCTCTTCTGTCTTTCTCTCAACCATAAACAGGTGCTTTTCTTTTTTTCTTATAGGTTATTCAGCTTTTATTTCTTCTGGCTCTCTGAGTTGGTGGGCGGATGGCTCATCTGTTAGGTTAAAATGGGTGTTTACTTGTATTTTCTATTTTGAAGATGGGTGGTTTATGGTGATTAGCTATAACTCTTCACTTGAGCAGTATGCAATAGATTGTTATTTGATATTTTTCTTTATGATTTTCTTAGTTATTAGGTAAAATGATCATAATATTATAACTATGGTTTCTGCATTGCACCTGCTAAAATATGCTCAGGAGAAAAAGTAACATTTGGGTTTTATCGCTTATGTCTAAATCATTTTGTAATGCTTCCCCCTTCATGTTGCACTACATCATATGCTCTTGCACTAATATTAGGAGTGAGTTATACTCTTAAGTTTGCACTTGCTGGACAAACATGACTAAATAGAAATATAGGGCTGGTGATCCACAAAGAAAAATGTGGTTTCATTATAAAAGCTGTTGTAGATAGTGTTTTATTGTTATGCATCATCAAAGGGTAACTAATAGGGCGCTATTTGCATTTGGCTTATTCAGTATGTATATAAAAGGTTTCTTTAGAACAAAGGCTGTTGAGAGAATCAAATGCAGGGTGGGGAGACTGATAATTTTTACTGTAGGAAAAATTCCTGAGGAGCTTGCTTGGGAGATGATCATATCTATCTGTTGATTTTATAATATGATGCCAACATGTTCGACAGAAAAACCAAATTTCTTAGTATGTAACCTAGAACTTTCTTTCTTGGAGAAAATATATTTGTATTACTGATGGATGATCATGTTATGTAAGTACAGAAAATGCTTGTTCAGTGACATAAAACCCTGAGCATTTGGTAAAATGATTGTAGATCTAACTGGAATTCTTTCTGAGGAATGTTCAGTAGGTGGATAGTGCAGGTTATATTTCATCAATACGAGTTGAAGTTGAGGATAGCTAATAATGCTTGTACGAAAATATGGTACCAAATGCCTATGTCATGAAATTGTATGATTGAGGTGATGGTGAATTGCTATATGACATCTTTTGAAGAAGCGGATAGTAAGGTTCATTACTTTAAGAAGGTGAAAGTTACCTTTTTTGGACAACAAGAATAAATAATCAGTGTTCTTCCAAAAGTTGGCTCTAAGTTTTTTCATGGGCTGGAGTCCCTGTTGATTGGTATGCAGGGTCTGATTCATTCATCTTATTTTATCTGTCTAGGAACCACTGTTGTGGGATTCGGAGAATCCACCTGAACTTTTCCATGTATACTTTCTTAATGTGTCCCTTTTTGACAAGAAAAATCAGTGAAATACCACGTGGGCATAAATTGGAAAACCATTATATTTATTCTGATGTAATAGACAGATCAGCCATCCAGGTACCTATAATCAAAAGATCTAATGGTTGAAGTCAAAGGGATTTGTCATTTAATTGAATCTAATATCATGGTTCGCTTATAAACAGCTGATGCTCAAGTACACTTAACACTGGACTGGGTGACTTCATTTTCACATATCGTGCTTCCGACATGATTACCTGAATATATGTCATATTGGTCATGAATGAGAAATTTTTATGAATACTCTTGAGCAGACTGTTTACGATAGTCCCTGTGCCTTTAGATGCCACCCATTTGTGATCAGTTTCTCGCAATTGTGTGGGTTGAGCTTCCTATAAAACCCAAAATCACATTGAAGCTTATAATTGTATATAGACTAATGTCATTAAACTCCACTGCTACCTTGCCCGCCCAACACCAAAAAAAAAAAAAAAAAAAAAAAAAAATGTATATTAGACTAATGTCAATTAATACTCCACTAGCTACCTTGCCCCGCCCAACACCAAAAAAAAAAAAAAAAAAAAAAAAAAAAAAAGGAAAAGAATAATTCTGTGAATATAATTAGTTTTTCCTATTTCTCAACCTCTCTATGATGCAAGTAGGTCTATGGAATTGTTTTACCCCATGGGATGAAGATACATGTATAAAGTTGCTAATGGCAAATAAGTGGAAAGGTCCCATGCTCTTTACTTTGTTTGGATTTAGAATGTGGCCAGGGATCCTGCAACACTTAACTTTTTGTGTAGATTTAAACTTGGTTTAAGGACAGAAGGAAAGAAATTGCCAGTCAAGTAGTTAGTGGTTAAAATATGTCACACTTCATGTTGTGCATATGTAGGCCTTTTTGGAATGAGATCTGTGGGCGCTTTTGGAAACAAAATTCATTTACTAAATGATAATAACATAAAATGCAAGTATAGTGACTAAATCATGTTTTCCTTCCAAGCAAAGTTGCAGTTGAAAAATCTAAGATTCTTCTTATATGTTTTATCTCATTATTTCTAAGGTTGGTTTATGCTTATCAGAAAGTTTCTTTACTCCCTTCCAGATGAGTGCCTATTTTGCACCTGCATTTTTCAGCCATCTCTTGGGTAACTGCTTAAAGCGTAAAAATCCTGTGCTTGAGATTTTGAAACTTGGACTGGTGGTCTTAGGAACATTTGCTATCGTTTGGTGGCCATATCTTCATTCAAGAGATGCTGTTTTGGAGGTAAAGATATATAATTATAGTAATAAAAGTTCGTTTATATTTTCATTTCCATTGGTTGATGGATATGGCAGTGTTGTCACCGGGTGCTCCAGGCGCTAAGGCGGGGCGAGGGGTAGGCGCTTGGTATACCTTCAGGCGAAGCGATATTAACTAGGCGTTGCCTAGGCGCCAAGCCGTTGCAAGGTTTGGGCGAGCGCCTCAAATAGAAATTGCTACTTCCCACATGGATATGAAAATCTTAGGTTAATATTTAATAGAAATATAAATACGAAAAAAAAAGAGCTAAAAGCGGCTGGGATAGTGATGCAGGGGAAGATGTAGGGCTGTCAGTTTTCAACAAGTAAGCTAGAATAGGGTTGATTGTAGGTGGAACAGTAATCAGTAATTAGGTTTATTTGTAGGTGGAACAGTATCAAGTAATTAGGTTGTATAACCTTGAATTAAAATTATGAGGAAATAAGATGATTTACAATGCTACTAGTGCTGTCCTTTTAATAGTGATGAATCCTAACTAAGACTCGGAATCCTAATTAAAGAAAGAATTAAAACTCTACTCCTATTCAATGAAATAAAATAGTAAATCTATATCAAATAAGGTAAACGGAAAACTAAATCAAATCTGAAATAAAACAGTAAAATTAATAAGGAAACGGAAAACTAATGCAAATCTGAAATAAAACAGTAAATTAAATAAAATCCTAGTTGTGCTAGGAATCCAATTAGGGCTAGGATTGCTCTTGCATTATTCTCCCCGGGTTTGAAAAAGACTCAACTCCGATGAGTAAACCTTAAAGATCCTTTAGGAATGCATAACTTATTCCCTTTGAATAAATAACCATCTTGCAATCGATATGGCAGACTTTCAGCTTCTGAAGAATGCAGCAAATTAGCCTTTATTATGCCAAAACTAATTTGAGTGCTCAAAATTGACAAAATTGGGGATCTTCTGCTCAATGCATCAGCCACAATATTAGATTGACCGGATTTATACTTTAGTGAGAAATTAAATTCATCAAGGAAAGAACTCCACTTAGCATGTCGATTGTTGAGTTTATTCAGAGATTTTAGATACCTCAAAGCCTGATGATCAGAAAAAACCACAAACTCACGATAAGCTAAGTAATGCTGCCAATGTGGAATGGCTCGTACCAAGGCATAGAACTCTAGATCATAAGTTGAGTAACGCTTCTTAGCTTCAGACAACTTCTTACAAAAAAACTCAAGAGGTCTACCCTCTTGGCTAATAACAGCTCCAATCTCTTCATGTGAAGCATCACATTCGACAATAAATAATTTCTCAAAATCTGGAAGTGCAAGAACAGGTGCTCTAGTCATCAAAAACTTGATTCTTTCAAATGCCTTTTGTGCAAAATTTGTCCACTCAAACTTTTCGTCTTTCATAGATTCAATTATAGGACTCATAATTGAACTGAAATTTTGGATAAATCCCCTATAGAAAGAGGCCAAACCATGAAAGCTTCTAACTTCTTTGATGGATTGCGGTGCTGGCCATTCGGTAATTGCACGAACCTTTTCTGGATTTGGTTTTAATCCTTCAACAGACACAATGTATCCCAAGAATACCACTTCTGGTTGCACAGTAGACACAATATATCCTAGGAATACCATTTCTGGTTGCAGGAAACTGCATTTTTTCAGGTTTATGTGCAGCTGCTCTTGACGAAGTACTTTTAACACTTGTCGCAAGTGTTTTAAATGATCTTCCTTGGTGCGGCATTCAAATAACCCATCCGGCGTCTTAAAAGCTGTTTTCCATTCATCACCAATGCACCATGCCTTTCATTGCTAATTATTGGTGGGATATCCACTTTCAAGTCAAAATTTTTCGAAAGCAATTTAGAAGCCCCACTAGTTGATCAATGCATATCCTCCAATCTGGATTGGAAAGCGATATTTGATTGTAATCTTATTTATAGCACGATATCCACCACACATTCTTTTCCAAAGAACCGTCTTTCTTTGGTGTTAATAAGGCTGGGCAGGCACATGGACTTTTTATTTCACGCACCAGACCTTTTTTCCATAATTCCTTAACCTGTCTTTCTATTTCAGCCTGCCTGTAAGGAGGCAATTTGGTATCGTAGGCCAGATTTTGTAAGCATGCTCCTTGGTACCAAATCAATAGATGTTGGATGCTTCTTAACGGTGGAGCTTTTCGGTACATCTTCACTAATCAACTCCTTGAATTCCTGCAATAATCGTTGAATTTCACAGGAATATTCAACTGATTTTTCAACCTAGTCAGCTCCTATTAGTTTGCTCACTAAGGCATACGTGACTCCCACCTCACTATGCGCAACTGCAAATTCTTTAACACTTACAAGCCCATTTAATTTACTAATTGCAGCTCCTTTATTTGCTATTCGCCTTGTTTCTTCCTTGAGAGGATGCAAAGTGTACTTCTTGTTGTCCTTTTAGAACGAATAAGTATTAGGCCTTGTCTTATGGTCCATATCATGATCATACAACCAAGGTCGTCCCACTAGAATATGCCCAACATCCATTGGTACTACAAAATCCATTGGGTTAACTACATCAATAGTGCTTTCATCTGCCAAGTCATCTCCTTGTCGAAATGCACCTAAGATGGAAGATGTTATTGGTAATCGTCGTGTCCCTTTCCTTCAAACAACCTATTTGTATCGATTGAAGGATGTTTTGATGGTAGAAAAGCTTTTAATTTTTCTTACAGCCACCTTTGATATATATTTTCCCCATACTTCCTCCATCAATGACTAAATTCACAACTTTGCCTCACAAATAAACACGTGTTGGAAAATGCTACGCCTCTCCATCTTCTTTTCCTTCTTTGTTTTCATGGCTGGTCATGATTGTTCGATAACAACTAAAAACTCACCTTGAGCTGGTTGAGCTGGGTGAACATCAATTTCTTCTACTTCCTCATCATATTCATCAAAAATAGGGCCTAGGTCTCCATCATACTCGGCTAAATTCACCCTCCTTTCTGGACAAATGAATGAAGTATGTCCCTTTTCTCCACAAGTAAAACAGCGAACTTGAGAATTGTTGCCTCTCCTTGTAGACGAACCAGAATTGTTTTGTCAACCATAAGGTACTATACCTTTCCCTTTATCGTTCCCATTCACACGGGTTGTCTCTTCATTGTATTTATTAGTAACGGCAGCCTCTTTCTTGCTTCGTTGAGTTGTTTGAATCCCTCTTGCAGCTCCGAAATTGTTTTGCCAATTGCTTCTGTCTATGGGCCTTCTAGCACCGTAACGAGAAACTCGCTTTTGAGCTGCTAAGGCATATTGGCGAGCATCTTCAAGTTTGTGTAATCAGACTATGCCCATTTCATCTCTAAGGGACTGATTCAAACCAGCAAGGTAGCGAGAGGTAATTTGTTCATTACTTTCAGATATTCCAACTCCAGATATTCCATACTCGCTCGAATGGACAAATTATTAAATTCTGCAGTGTACTCTTCAACAGACATGCTATTTTGTTTCAAGCAGTGGAACCTTTCATATAGTTCCATTGCGAAATCAGCTGCTAAAAATTGCTTCCTTAGCTTAGTTTTCATGTGCCCCCACGAGCTGATTTTAAGCTTTCCTTGTAGTGCATGCTGCTCCCCAACTCTCTTCCACCATTGAAGTGCAGTACTCTTTAATTAAGCTTTACAAAAGGCAATTTTTGGGTTTCAACCATTGGTTTCCATTCAAAATAATTTTCTAAACTAGTTTCTCAATCTAAATAGTCTTCGGCATGCGATTTCGCATGCGATTTCCCATGAAAATCAGCAACTTCAATTTTAACTCCTCCACTATTTAAATCAAGAGCATGAAGTAAAACGCTCTTCCAATCTGCCTCATGCTGTTGGGTTTGCAGGTCCAGCTTCATGAAAGGGGTTTACGTTCTCGACTTCCTCTTCACTCTCAAGAGCTTCTTGAAAATCAAGGTTTTGGTGGTTGCCTTTCGGAGTCTCCATTTGGGCTTCCACGGGTTCCTGATGCTGCGAGGCTTGTACAGCCCGGGTCAAATCCTCAATCATTTGCCGTATCTCAGCTATTTCATCTTGTTGGGGCTGATTGCCTCTGCCTCTTCCAACCACGGTTTAATTCAGACAAAAAAAGAATCCTAGGATCTGTTTTTGTGCTCTGATACCAGTTGATGCATGGGAAGATGTAGGGCTGTCAGTTTTCAACAAGTAAGCTAGAATAGGGTTGATTGTAGGTGGAACAGTAATCAGTAATTAGGTTTATAACCTTTGAATTGAGGTTTTAATAACCTTATCTGAATTTAAAATTAGAGGGAAATAAGATGATTTACAACTGCTACTAAATGCCTGTCTATTTTTATTAGTGATAAATCCTAACTAGAACTAGGAATCCTAATTTAAAAGAAAGAATTAAAACTCTACTCCTATTCAATGGATAAAATAGTAAATCCTAATCAAATAAGGGAAAACTAATGCAAATCTGAAATAAAACAGTAAATTAAATAAAATCCTAGTTGTGCTAGGAATCTAATTAGGACTAGGATTGCTCCTGCATCAGATAGAGAAAGTTTGACAGCCATTTAATAATTAGGTCAAAATTTAACACAAATATGGAAAGAAAAGGAAGGAAAGTGGCTGAAAATTGGAAACTTTGACAGCCATTAAGTAAAAAGATCAAAATCTAATCTAACCATTAAAAATAAATATAACAAATATAGAAAGGAAAAAGAGAAAGTGGCTTCAAATTGGAAGCTTGACAGCCAATCAAAGAATTAGGTGAATAAAATCTAGCAAAAAGAAAAGGAAAGCACGTAGGATTTCTAAGGAAAGCACGTAGGATTTCTGCTACATGAAAGAACATAGCAGACTCAACATAAAGAAGAAAATCCTTGGGAACTAGAATTTTAAGTTTACATGACATTGTTTTGATTCTTCAACATTCATCTAGAATTCTAAATTATTTAATGTGCTTTTTGAAATTAATTTTTGGATGCATAATTCTAATTCTAAATGCATGATAGAGTTTCGAACTTTTGATTTCTTTAACAATACATCTAAAATTTTAAATCACCTAATGCTTTTTGGAACCAATGTAGAATTCTACATTTTGAGTTGAAATTAATTTTTGGATGCATAATTCTAATTCTAAATGCATGATAGAGTTTCGAACTTTTGATTTCTTTAACAATACATCTAAAATTTTAAATCACCTAATGCTTTTTGGAACCAATGTAGAATTCTACATTTTGAGTTGTCTGGAATTTTTTAATCCTCATATCACTCAGGCGAGCGCCTTGAATGGCACCTCGGGCAATGGAGGATCTTGTTGCCTCAAGGGCGCCTAGCACTTTTGATATCACTGGGATATAGTTCTATCTGTGACTTCTTGGGGTTTAAAAGGATAAAATTTCATGTGCATTCTTTTATCAGTTCACATGTTGATCCGACAAGTGGAACACACGGACATCTCTTCTTGCAGTTCATATTTTAATCTCTAAGCGAGGCCTTTGGTCACTATATCATCATTGATGCTCATAATTGATATTAATTCTTGTTTGTTCATGACTTTTCTGACAATCTTATCCTCAAATTAGTTCTTTGAAGGATAAAATATATGCCATTTTAGTAGCTTTTAGAGGAATTGAGTATGCATTATTGTATATCATGTTTTAGTCACTGGCAAGCAAGTTAAGGAGAATGGGCTAGTATATCCTTTTTGTTTCAGAATCTTGTGCTGTGTAATACTGTTGATTGTGATACTTTTAGTGTTCTAGTTGAGTAAGCATTCTGCTCTGGAAGAGATTATGATGCAAGTGCAAATGGAAGTGCTCAAACCATTTCATATTTCTTATATGTTCCAATTGCAGATCACCAATTGGACACTAACACCAATGTTCTTATCACATGAATTCAAGAAAACACGTTAGATGTTGTTTCAGAAGGGATGTATTGGAGGTTGAAAATGATCATTTAGTGTTCACATGAACTGGAAACAAGAAAAGCTTGATTACACTACTCAGGAATCATAAAGTTGATAATTATATACCCTATGATGTAGGAGAGGTTGAGCAACCAGCGTACTAATGCTATCATGACATGCTATTTCCAAGCAACTGATGAGTTTTAGGATTCAGAATTAAGAAAATAGGGACTTTTAGGGTTAGGAAATTGAATTCAAGTGAGAAAAGAAAGAAATTAGAGGGCGTTCAGGGCTGTCAGCTGTGAACAGAACATGAGTTATGCATGAGCAGTGATGGAGTAGCAGCAGCAAAGGGAAGATAGAGAAGTGGGAAGAGAAAAAACCAGGCACAGAGGCCATGCAAATGAAGTCAAAATATAAGAAATCTAATAAAACAGTTAGTTTATAGGTATTTATAGTCTTACTAACTAATCTATTACTAGGGTTAGGAATCCCAAACTGGAAAGATTTTAACCCAATACTGAACAGCAGCAACCAGCTTCTGAATGTTTCTAATGAAAACAAAAATTAACTTTAATAGAATGCTAACTCTCAAATAGAAAAATGTAGAAAAGGAATATGAATTTATAATTAAAAATTAAATCAAAATAATGTTGCATATTGTTTCTTTTTACTGCATCACCTTAATTTACGCAATGTATGATTCTTTCTACAGGTTCTTTTCCGTCTTGCTCCTTTTGAGAGAGGGATATATGAGGACTATGTGGCTAACTTTTGGTGCACTACATCAATTGTCATTAAGTGGAAGAGATTATTCACAACACAATCGCTTAAGTTGCTCAGCTTAATTGTTACCATATTAACATGTCTTCCTTCAATGGTTCAACAAATAATGGCTCCCAGCAAAAGGGGTTTCCTGTATGGGCTGCTGAATAGTTCTTTCTCATTCTACTTATTTTCATTCCAAGGTAAGTGAAATATCCTTTCTTTTCCTCATTATCTTATATATGATTTGTATTTTGTGTAGCAAATATTCGCATCACTAAAATAAATTTGCAGTTCATGAGAAGTCTATTCTGCTGCCACTTCTTCCTGCAAGTCTACTAGCTGTGGAATTGCGTGGTCCATTTGGGTTATTGATGCATTATGCATTGTTTTCTATGTTCCCACTTCTGTGTCGGGACCAATTGATTGCTCCATATATAGCTCTTTATGCTCTCTTCTTCCTTATTTACTTTACACCTGGTGGAAGAAGAGATGCTAAGATTCATCATTCCACCATGCCCACTTCCCTTTCACTTATTTTAGCCTTTTTTTATCTGTGCTCTCTTGTCCTTCACATAATTTACTTGACCATTCGTCCCCCAGAGAAGTATCCTTTCCTTTTCGAAGCAATGATTATGCTTCTCTGCTTCTCTCACTTTGTGGTGTTTGTTTTTTACACCAATTCAAGGCAATGGATGTTGTCAAGACAAGATAAAGAAAAGAAACTAAATTGACCTTTCTGTGTTCTAGAGATTAGTTTTGGATACTTGATAATCGATAATTGATATTTTGTATTTTTTTTATTGGTGGGAGCATTGATGTAGAGCTGGCAAATTCATGTGCAAGCATTTGCTGGGGACATACTGTTTATGTGAACGATTGATCAATTGAAGATTCTAATGTCTACTTAATACAATTAATGTACAACAGATTGAATTATCTGCATGGTTTATTTTCTTTTACATCATTGATTGAGATTAGAAACTTTCTGAGTTAAGTTCGCTTACAGTTTCTTTTGTGTTTCTTTTGATTTTTCAGTGCTCTTTCTTGCCTTCTCTGAATTTTTTATTTAAATGTTATCTGACAAGAATCCCTTAAGTTGGTGTTTGTGTAGGGTTAATTACAATGTACCCCAAAGGTCTTTCTCAATAGATACTTCAGGCTTTTTGAATTTAGCAATTCTAGTCCTTATAGTACAATGAACAAATATACAAAGTTTTGAAGGATTTCAGGGGCTAAACTCTTTTAATGATAATTTAGAGACTAAAGTGTAATCTGATTTTAAAAAGTCTAGAGACTAAAGTTTGGTGAAGAATTTCTGATTTTATAATGGACTAAGTTTTTCGGTCATTAACAAACTTAAATGATTAAAATTGCTAATTTTGAAATGTAAGGATTAAAGTGTATATTGCGGAAAAACCTAGTGGTTTCTTTTGTAATTAATCTGTGTCTATATAAAGCAATGATGATGAAGACAAAGGGTGCAAGGTGGGGAAGCTTTTTTAAGCAACTTCAAGAAGTAGCCCTTGGAAATCCTTTGTAGCTCAACTGTGGTAAAAGAAGTAGAACTATACTGTGAAGCTTCTTGTGAATGCGAATGCCTACTTGGATTATGTCTTGAGATTTGGAATAACAGCTGGTGGTAATAAGATGAACAAACTGTTCAAGCACAATGGTCAATGGTTGATTCAATCCCTAAGCTGCAATGATCTAGAATTGCAATATAATTAGTAGAGCTGAGTGAATTTTAGCTTTAGGATATTTGTTTATTCAGCTTGGATGAAAATGTAATGGATCCAATTAGGGCATGGATATATATATATATATATTTTCAGTTTAGGACACAAGAATAGTTTGCCATTGCTTCTTGATATTTGTACAGCTTAGATTGCATTATTGTTGAAAAAAAAGAATGCATTAAGTTGTCTTAACACGTCACTTGGCGAATTATGGAGACTTGCTAGATAATAATGTCTAAGAAAAAAGAAGAAAGTGAGTCACTTAAGCCTAGTTCTTGTAGTTAGCTATAGTTTTTGGTTTTGGAATGTAACAGTGATTAGCAAGTTAGCATTCAAACTCGACCGACAAAGGAATGGATGAGAAAGCATGATTCAAAATGTTACTTATCTTATAATTAACCTAGGAATTTAGCATGTTAATTGATGTTATACAAGTTAAGCAATGAATGTAATTAACTAGGTTTGATTCTCGAGATGAGATCATAAATAAATATTTTTCTTTTTTTAGGAATCCCCTAGTCCTAGCATAGATGGTTTTGTCTTTAATTAGACTAAAGAGATGAACTTCGTACCGTGAGAAAAAGCTAATTCATGATACCATTATACCACTGTACCAAAAATAAAAAGAAGAATGTATACCATTTCATTCTAGATTGAAACATGTCGATTTCCCCTTCATATCTCTCTTTTTAGGTTTTCTGGGATCATTGGAGTAGAATATTTTAAACCTGAGGTCTATAAGATTTGATTGTTTGCCCTGATTGAGAGGGAATCGTTGTATTGCACCAGTAGAATATGCTAAATCAAGCTGTTTCTGATGACAAGTCTTGCCGTACTCTATGGTTGTAACATAAATTGTACTAGGAGAATTTTTTTTTTTTTTTTATTAGAATGGCTATCAATCAATTAAAGATCACCAGCTAATTATGGAGTGATTTGAGACCAAATAAGGTTAAAGTGTAAGAGAATTTTGCTTTCTTTTATATTATCACTCTATTTCTGTATTGAGAGTAATATGCTTTACTCCTTTAAGTCTTAACCATGTGCTTAAAGCACCTTGGGATTACTTTTTGTTCTTCTGTTGTTTGTGCAATACAGGTTTTTTTCTTCTTTAATGCATAATTCTTTTGAATGACATGTTGAAATAGATTTTGATGCTGTTAATCACCAACCTTTGCTTAGCACCTGTTATATAATCTTATGCTATGTGGGTCTCATAAATTATTGTGTTTCACAGAGAAGAATCAGATTTTGTTTTTCTCCCGTTTTTGTCAAGAGAATAATCATACTGTTGCTTTCATTAACTATTTCCCTGATTTGAGAAGATGTTCCCTTCTTATTTTTCCTATATTCAGCTAAAGAGACTGAAGTTTCCATAATTAGACAAACATGAGAAATGTTTTGGAGCCTATTTAGACCAAAAATGTATTTGATCATATCAGATTACATCATTCCATTAAGGCTTAATCGATTCTTTCTCTGCAACTTTCAGTATTTTTAGTAACATTTTTTAATTGAGGAAAGCATTTTTCAAATCACTGTTAGCTAATGTGATGAGCCATAAATGTAGTGGTGGATAGTTTAGAATCTTGATAAGACTACTGTTAGATTTTGATGTGCTCGTGCCATAATTTTTGTCCTCTTTTGATTTTCACAGATTAAGAGAATAAAATTAATATAATTAATCTATAATTTTATACTCTTAGATTAATTATTTTATTTGTTCCTTCTTAAAGGAGCAATTAAACCACCTAATTATGACAAAATACTCTTTAATATGACTAAGTTATTCATTATCTCAATTAATTACTCAAATCTATAATTTTTTTCCCATTAATCTAGATTAAGAGAGAAAAAAATTGTGATCATATAGGTTTTAGGAAATTGTATGTGGGGTTTTAGGAAATTGTATGTGGAAACCGGAACTGAATTGAGATCAAATTGATCAATTGAGATCAAATTGATCAAAATCGACACTAAATTATGGTCAGTAGTTCCTTGTTTCAAACCGTAATTAAAATTCTATATTTAAGGATTCTATATTTAAGGTTTGATTTCGATTTTTCATTTTTTGACACGGGAAACTATGGTTTTGATTTAAAATCGACAGTTTCAGTTTGAAACTGTGAAACGAGTTCATAACTTATTTTTTATTTATTATAATTTTTAAAAATAAAGTTTAAATATTTTATTTAATTTCTTTGTGTTTTTCAACAGTATTATTATTATTTTTTTTATCCAACCTATAAATCTAAACAAGAATTTTGAAAAAATTTAAAATGAATTATCTAATTTCGGTTTCAAATCGAAACATAAATCGGAATTGACAGTTCCAAAACCCTCTTAAAAATCACTTAAAAAGTGTTTTGGTTTTGTTTTCACATTTTTTAAAATTGAACCGACGGTTTTTAAAATAGGTTATGTAACCGTGCTCATATCTACTCCACCCCTTATATATATAGGATTAGTGTAACTGTGGTCATACCTACTCTACCCCATAATATAGGATTAGTTTGACTTTCAAATAGATTAAAGAAAACTAGTTAACATAATTAAAATATATTTCTTTGTTTAGTTTTTTTCTAAAATATCCTATATGAATATATGCAATTGAGAAGATAAATGTACATTAAATATAGTATATTAAGAAATTAAACAATAAATGATCTTTTGAAAAAGAAAATAGGACTACATTTTGAGAGTAATAAAAAAGAAGTTTAACGTGTATTTAATCATTAGCAGATTAGGATTCTCTTGTAACCTTTCCGCCATTGATGACATAAATTTTAAATCTTTCTTAATACTGCAATTTAGTCCTGAAAAATCATCTTTCGGAGGAGGTTCTGCTTTTTGTAAGATGGATAGTTTAGTATAATGATTGGATAAGTTTTACGCACCGACTCACCAATCACTGCCATTAATTAGATTAGTGCAATTGCAATTGAAAATTCCCTTTCTCAAGTAGAACATATCCAAAGATGATTATTTAGAGATTCTTGATAAAATGGATTCTTATAATAACTTTTTTTTAGTTATAAACAATTTTATTTCACCCGTGATGTATGTTATTGTTATTGTTATTGTTCTTCCTGATATGACAATCGTAATCAAATGAATGAAAAGAAAGTTTACTATATATTAGCATCCACAGCATGTGCTATTTGCAGTTTCTTTTTATTTCTTTGTCTTACTGTGGGTGGTGATGTGCAATGCACTCTTTTTCATTTATTTACATGACTATAATTGTTGTGTGAGATGGAAAAATACCAATAGGTATATATATATATATATATAATGAAAATTTAATAATTCATTATCAATGAATAAAAGTAGTATATATCATAATATTCCAATAGGAGTAAAAAATACAAATATAGAAAATTGAAACCTTCTGTATGGAGATATTCTTAATCCTAACATAGCAGATTAATCTTCTGGATAAAAACTGATATATTTTTAAATAGAATGACAAAAGAAACTTTCCACAATATTGTCCCGAAAATTGTGTTTTGGAAACTTGTTACAATTGACACCCGCAGAAGAGTGTAATATACCAAACTTTAATAGAGTAACATGCTGCGCTATCAGGTTCTATAGGTAAAATAAATTTACCCAAACTTAAAGATCTGTACTCTAACCAGAAACAACCAATACAACCAATAATCCATCTTATCTTTTGAATTGCTTGAGAAATAAAAGATCCATATAAAAACTTCTCAATAACGAGGAACAATCCCATGAAAGGGAAGAAATTAATAACCCAATTAATCTTTTCCATCAACTTTGGTAAGAAATCAAACACTCAATTTAAGTTGATGCTTAAAGTTCTGCTAATAATATTACCAAAAACACTCAAGTTCTACAGATTCAAGAGACTAAATTTAAATTTTGTTTATAACGATCATATGTTTGGATATTATAAGAAAGAAAATTAAACAAAATAAAGAAAAACAATAGAGAGGGACAAGAAGAAACCACCGCGACAAAAAAAGACAGTCTGCGGTAGTTTAGAAACAAAATCTAGAAAAACATACAAAAAAAAACCAAGAGAGAGACGATTAGGTTTTTTTTTTTTTTTTTTTTTTTAGAAAGAAAATAAACAAAATAAAGAAAAAACCAATAGAGAGGAGCAAGAAGAAAACCACCGGGCGGACGACAAAAAAAAGACGGTCTTGCGGTAGTTTAGAAACCAAATCTAGGAAAAACATGACAAAAAAAAAAAC